CAGCATTTTTGCCAAAATTCAACTACCTACATAAAGGGGTTTGTACTACAACATGCATATATTGCAACATATACATTTACAGTCGTTTGTGTTTGTAGTGACAATTTTCATTCAGTTTATACAGGATATCCCTCCAAATACATACACAAATGCAAAGTTGTTAAACATAAAAACATAAACATCTTCATTAAAAACGAGCTTGATTTATTTTCCCCTTTTTCAGAGAAGACCTTTACCATGTATGACTTTCACCGAAAAAACACATTCATATCAAATATAAATACGAAAATTATACGTAACAATTGAGATCTTTGATAATGTCAAATTAACACCGAACATGAAAATCGACTCACTTTGTCCGTTTGTCACACCATATGGAGATTGCGAGAACTCACAAATTGAAATCAACTGTTCAACAACATTTTGCTTTCATCTCTATATTTTGATCTTTGTTGACTTTGACTTGATTTATGGACATTTAGATCGAATTGGGTGGGTTTTGTTTTTTCATTCTTCTTTAAATTGAAAATATGTCGATAAAAATACCTAGATCAAATGTAAATTGAAAGAGATATTAATCTCAAATTTCAATCCTTTAAACAGATTCTGTTCTCAGTTTTCTTTTTGAACACCACCAAATCAAAAATAATAATCGATCGTTAGACTATAAAATATGTCATTCGATTGCGTTTTTGTGATTCATCTTGTGATTTGTGAATATTCATGTATTTGTGATTCTTTGAATAAAAAAAAACATAAAAAAAAACCTGTAAAGAACCTTATCTGCAAAGAACGAAGAAGATGAAGTAATTGAAGTAATTAGATTTCAATAATGAATAAGTAAAATAGTTTATCCCAAAATATTTTCTTTGAATCAGAGAAAAATGCAAGAATATCTGAACAAACGTAAAGCTTTTTACTATTCTTCTTTGTTAGGTTATACAACGACATGCCTGTGTCAACTTTGATCTTATGTCTTATGACGTTATTTTACATCATGTGAATGTTTACATATTCGAAAAAAATAACGTAATTATTTTTCTTTAAGAAAGCAATAAACCTAAAAAACAAACAAAAAAGCATTTTCGGAAAGGTAAATGTCACCATGAAAGCAATGCACTGGATAGTAAAAAACTAGTCTGCTACACTATTCCAGTTCGATAAGAAAAATAGATCTGGAACATTGGGATCATAAAACGAGGATGTCACTTGTGTTTTTTCCACATTCTACATTTAAAAAAACGCTCAAAACATACTGTTGAATACTTGGAACTAGGCGAAAAATCTGTTCTTTCGTGCCGAAATATACACTCGTTATCGCACTACTGCTTTTTTACTCTGGGCAATTTGAACAATAAAAAGAGACAATTGCACTTCTTTGTATAAGCATTCAGTGTATAAGTTGTCAACCAAATCTTGTTTCTCAAGGCCTGACACAACATAATGTCACCAAAAACGGATTCGTGCATTTCAATGGAATTCAAATTTACTGACGACAAAAAACAACAGTAGCCTTTCTTCAAACATGTTAAATATCCTTCATGATACGATCTTCTCAATGTCTTTTTCGAAAGTGAGCACTTCTTTGAACCGAGTCGATATGGTCCATATGTTCAACTAACCGATTTAAACAATTTCGAAATGCAAAAAAGCGCAGAAATTAACATGTGGATCATGCTAATAAATATACATTCTCTTCTTATCAAATAACATCCACAACACTATTACATGATGCGCTTTATTCATAAAAACCAAGCATACTTGACCAAATTTCCAGTTTTTGGTTGATTATTTTCAAATAAAAAAAACAACGATCATTCTCTAGGTTTACGCACAGCATCGAATTTTATGTGCTGGCCTCCTCTGTTACGCAGGTAAACGAGGAACAAATCATTAACTCAGTATGAACTCAACAAGATATGCGTAGAAAAAAACCTAAAGACACCCCATACTAATATTGTGTATGTGTTTGTGTAGTTGAATGCATGGAGCGAACATGCAATAAAAATATTTGAACTTTTCTTTATGCAAAATTTTAAACGAGCATGTCTAAAAGAAGATTGTTTGTTGACAGTATGCGTTGAGAGAGAGCCATTCTTTTTTTCGTAAATAGTGATCATGTTTACAACATGGCAAGGAGAGTTTCAATGAACCCATATCATTTCTTCGCAGAATTATTTATCACTGTGTTTTTCGTTATGAAATAATATTCGCCACGGTTCACAACAATATAGCGCTAAATTGGAATCGGCATTTGTTTGTTAATAATGTTCTGAAAATCAAACGAATGTTCATCGTTTGGGTGGTGCATATATATTTATTTGCTAATTACGATTCATCCGAGAAGAAACTTAAACTTCAAATTCATTCATCGTGTAAATCTTCCTTTTGTTGATTGACTTAGATCATAGATGCCGCACCTATCGACCCGAAAGCTTATATTTGAAGTTCAAAATAAAACTGTCAATAACATGAACATACTTACGAACTTTAGGCCGTTAAGCGTTGCTATTTGTATTGATGAAAAATAAAAAAGAAACTACATAAAAATATTGTTTGTTCATTGTACATTTTATTAATATTTAATTTAATAAATACTGAATATGACTCTTCTTACAAATGGAATATTCATTTAAAAAAGGGAAGAGAATTCAATGTTTTTTCGGATATAAGTGATTTTGGTCCGTATTAATTGAATGAATCCATTGTCAGTGTGTCGCACGATGAATGGTCAGCGTTCGCAAATTATGAAAACCTTTGCCGCATTCCTCACATTTGAATGGCTTGTCCTTTATGTGAACACATTTGTGATCGAGCAAATGGTCTTCTCTTATGAAGACTTGGCCGCATGAGTCACATGGAAATTTTCCTTCACTGGTGTATGTACGCTCATGAATTAGAACATTGTAACTTTTTATGGATGAGTTATCACCGAAGCGACAAATATATCTTCTTCTATGGTTATCTGACTTCATTCTATTTTTCCAAGATTTTTCAGAAATGAAAATTGAAAATATAAAAAACAATAACAAATTAAAATATAGTTAAAGTTCTGTTTTAAAACGAAAAACGTCACAGAGTCAAAGGTATAAAAAGAATGTCCGTACCTTAATGGTTGATGCTAGGGTTGATGAATATTTAAAAGAAACTGTATAAAAAATATCACTGAATCGAAGAAGTTGTGTGGGATGAAAAAAATAAAAAAAATATTGAATTTTGGAGAACAATTTATCTATTTTTATTCAAATGATAACTCTACACCAGATGTTTCAACGATGATTAACCGATTTCAACTAATTATTTACAGAAATGATTTATGTTGCAGGACAAAAATGTCAACCATAATAAATAGGTCAACTGGTGGTGAAATCGCAAATTACAAAACCTGCACTGCTGCTTGTGTTGGTTATAGTAAATGTCAAATGTCATAGAAACTGTAGTTGCTGCAGGTGTAATTTTGTATGTGTGTGTGAGTGTGAAAGAGAAGTTTTCATTTTCATTAACCCTTTTTTGATCGGACATATAAAGGCTGCACCAAGAAATATGATATGAGCTTGATAAAATGTTATAAATTTTATGCATTTATCTAACTGGTATGTAACTAAAAAGCCCAAATAAAAAATGATCATGTGTTTCAGCAATGTAATTTTGTCAAAAGTGAAAACAAGTGTTTTTTGAACCAGACATGTTTTCACATTTTTGCATAGAAAAATCTTCAAATATTATTCACTCTTGTTTTTCTTCTAGATGTGTGCTAAAAGCACTACATGAAATGTTCTCTGTTCTGTTTTTTTGTTTGGCTTTTCTTTATTTCAGAAATTATCGCCGCCCGTTCAAGTTACTTGATGGAGTTGTATGGAGTTGTCTTAAATCTATGTAAAAAAAAACTTCATGATGCTCTTTTATTTTCATCGAGATTTGAGCTCACTTTAATCCTCACCCATTCAATTATCAACTGTATTTTTATCGTAGTTGTTTTGTATCCAGAAATGTTTTTCTAAAAACAAAATAGATTGACCATGTGTACAGTCCAAATTTAGATTTTCTTTTATTTTGATAAGTTCAACGACAGAATAAATCGATCAGATGTGCATTGTATTCATAATACTCTATCAATAGATAATACTATCTATCTCTATCTAAAATTCGTTCATTCTATTTTAAAATATTGATTTAAGTGAAACAAGTATTGTTAGCAACGGACATTTGGGAACTGGTTTAATTTACAATAAGTGTTGACTGCTGACGAATCTGCTCTTTAGACTTTGGTCTGCAACTTCTAAGCGAAATGCACTATTTGAAATGTTATACCATATTTAAAAGATATATTTTCAAACGTACTCAATTGTGGAATGTAATCGATAGTGAAAACTAACTGAAAACCATAATTTAATATTGCCATTTTTCAATTATATGTGGGCATGAATCTTACACCAATTAGTGATAGTAAAAATGATTTAAAGTTTTATTCATATAACTTCGATGAATTCAACCATAGATGTCGTTCATATCGTTTGAAAAGCTCAAATACGAAATTCAATACATTGAACTCAATGAACTTCAATTTTTTCTGAGCTCAACCGATCGAAAAACAGTATAAGAACAGTCTGCAATTGATTTGAATAGAGACCATAAAATTGTTTGCTATTGAAACGTTTGATTGCATTCAAATTGAATGATTCAACACGATCAGGTAAGTGAAAAGTCACACACAATAACAATCAAATGAAAGCGCATGCAATTCTAATGCCATATATTGTATAAATATCCGGAATTCAAATTTCTATAATTGAATTCATTTGCAGCAGCCTTGACTTTTGAATGAACGGTATGGTTTCGTTTCAGTGCACATGCAAAAACGGTGCAACAACATTTCAATCGGCGGCTGATTTTTTTAAGGTGACCGCTACGGTAGACAATTTTTACCGGAATCGACTCCAAAGGTGTTTAGACGATTCTCTTTCATTCGCGACTGTCGCGACTTCGTTGTTTATGTTACCACAATTCAGCACGTGAAATACGCTTAAGAGCTTTGCAAATACGTGTGTGTTAAGTGTAGCGATTGATGATGCCACATGATGTAAGAAGATAAAAAAACCAAACCAAAACAAGTTATTAACTTTTATTTGTGTGTTGTTAGTGGCATCAGTATAAAGCAAAAAAAAAAAGTGGCTTATAGAAGCTTACGTTCGTCCAACTAATTAATATTTATACAAATAACACGCGATTTTATAGTCGATCAGAGAGAAGTTAGAATCTCGATATGCGATCACGATCAGTATTTGTTGTGTATTCGAGTAAAGAACATCGCAAAAGCAATGTTGAATATTGAAATTTCTGGTGATTTTTGTTATTGCTAGTAGCAGCACCCTTTGCATCAATCGTGAAACTATTGTTAGCAATCGCATTCGATTGAATGTATTGAATTGTTGCAAACATCAAATTAATACCTGGAAACAATGACAACAAAAAGCAAAAAAAGTGAGTCGATCGGTTAAAAGTGTTAATAAAAAAAATCTGAAGCTATCAAATGAAATCAGCGCTTAAAAATGCATTCTCACGTTCGGCATTTTTATTTTGGAGTGAAAATTGAGTGTGAAATTATTACAATTGTTCTCCATCAAAATGTTGTAAAAGAACATTTGAGATAATATTAAAATGAACCAAATGACGTGTACTGTGGAAAACAATTAATTTTAAATGTCTTTTTTTATTACTTATTCAAGGGTCCATACTGGGGATTGGCTCATTTAAGCACAAATTGGATAAAGTGCGAATAATATTTTTTCAAGGGTAAATGATCATACAATTTTGAAGTGTCATTATCAGAAAAAAAAATGCGCATAAATCGAATCACAAAATGAGCACTCTATAAATAGATCGAGAGAGTAATTTGTATCACAATTATTGTGTCTTATTTTTTTATCTGCGTGTATTTGTGCGGTGTACCATAAGAATTCATTGGTTTCTTGCTAAAACAAGATTTTCTTAACGCTTTTTTTCTTTCTGTTCTTTGCTCAACAGAAACTCGTTCTCAACGCAACGGACATACGAATTGGATGAATCATGTGCAATGTTCGGCAATGCTCAGTTCGATGTGTTACGAAAGACCGTTTTATACATTCATTCTTATTTAGAAGGACCCGAACATGAAAGTGTTAATACCATTGTCGACGCCTATCTCCAGCGAAACGATCACAATGTTCTTATAATGGATTGGTCGCAATTAGCTAAGGGAAATTATCTTATTGATGTTGTTCCAAATGCAAAACAGGTATTTTTTTTCTATTCGATTCTATTTTGTTCTATTCAATCGTGCATTTGCGTGAATAAAAAAATAATAATGTTGTTTTGATGTTGTAGCTAGCAACAAAAATGTCGGAAGTAGTTTTAGATTGGGTAGACGAAGGGATGGATGTAAATCGTTTTCACGTCATTGGTCATGGGATCGGTGGGCAAATGGCCGGAATGATTGGAAGATGTGCGCACCGAAAATCAGAAGGCGAAACCAAATTGATGCGAGTCACAGCCCTCGATCCACCGGCTGCATTTCCTCTTGGCGCCCGCGTCAACGAAAAAGATGCCGAATTTGTTGATATTATTTTTACCGATGCATGGTTTCACAGCACACCAAAGAGTTCAGGGACAGTGAATTTTTGGCCTAGTTGTCCGCAACGAAAATCAAAGCTGTCAGATGGTAAATTCAAGTCGTTTTTTGTATGGTCAAATGAAGACTTAATCAAGTTTTTTTTTGTCACAAGATCGGCGAGCGTGGCAAATGTGGGCTGAAACCGTTCAGCCAAGTGAACAACCGGTTTTTCTGTCGGTTCATGCCAAAGGATTGAACGATTTCAAGAAAGGACGTGTCAATCATTCCGAAATTGTTCAAATGGGCATCGACTGTCCAATGAGGTAATTGTTTGTCTCGTTATCAATCTATTTTTAGCATCGAAGTGTCAACAACAATCATGGATTTAATTATTTTTGGTAAAATTAACATCGAAATCATGTTTTTGCAGTGCAAAACGTGGAGACTATTTTCTGCAAGTTAACTTGAACCAGCCGTATGCAAAAGGAATTAAGGGTCTAAAGTATGAAAAATCGCGAATTGATTTAATCACTTAGTCATTGCATGACTTTCAAAAAAAAAAATTATGGCGCTTTGGTGTTCGAAATCAAGTGTGCAAAAAGTTGCTTTTGCTTCTGCATTGATTAATCATTAATTTTTAATCTTCTAGAAAAGATGAAACGAAAATCGTTGAAACAAACATATTTTCTTCTATTTGTTTATCTGACCTTGAATCGTAAATTAGTTGATCTTGATATATTGTGCCAAATTTAGTCTTGTCAAAAATTTCGGATGATATTTAAAATTAAGTGATCTTTCTGTGATTTCAAAGAAATCATATCAGAAATGTATTTTTTGTGAAGAAAAAACAAGAGTTGATATTAAAATCTATTCCAATATTGTGATAGAATTCCGAATAGCAAAAAATTGTGATTCCAAACGACATTCCATGCAAAGGTGGTTTTTGTTTAAAAAAATTCAAAGATATATTGTGGAAAAGTAAAAAAAAAGATGTCATAAAAATAAACTGGTGCAAAACTTTAAATTGAATTTTAATTATCACAATAAATAATTAGCAGCTTCCGCTAATCGATTGAAACTGTTATGATAGTTACAGGTTACGGAACAACGGTTACAATTCAAGGTAAACACTTGGCACAAATTAATTCAAGTAAAACCAGTTGCTTTGAACTGTGGCACGCGTTATGTTAGCATAAACACAGGCGTATTGAGCTTAAAATTAGCTTTAGCATTGAAACACGCACAAAGCTTCCACGTTGACTTTTAAATATTCGCAAAACCATTGAACAGTTGACGGTTGGAATTTGAAAGGTATTAAATTTCAAGTTGAACGTAAAACGTGTATTTGTTTATCTGTGAAAAGAATCAAAATGAGCTTCCATAATCAAACAGGTTTAAAGTGTCTTCATTCTTAGTGTCTTGTCGAAAAAGAAGAGAGTAGTTTCCATTCGCTTCCATTACTCATTTGTTGCGAAGTGCATTTCATTTATGCGGCTACATTCATCGTATGAAAAAGCAAGCAAGAAAGCAGAAAAAAACGCAATCGATTGATTTCAGGTATTGAGGCGATTTTCTTTATCTATATTTGCGGAAATAATCGTTTAAGCGTAGAATAAACATCGATTCATCAAAATCGCAAGCGAAAAAAACGTACATTTTAAAATTTGTGCGCGAAAAGGGTTCAAATAGATTATATTTGATTTTTATTTTGCAAAAACTTGCGAGTTTTAGATTTTAGCTCGAAAATCAATTTCAATGGCCGTGCAGAGTATTTCATGGTGAAGTGGCGAAGTTAATCTTAAATGAACCTTTGGTACTATCAACTGTGCTGCGCGATTTGCGTTTCAGTATACAAGAAAACCTGTTTTTCGTTGTTTTTCTTATGGTTTCGCTTGCAAAAGGTCTAACAGTATCCATAAGAGTTAGTTCCGACTTGAAAAGAAACAAAAAACAAAAACTCGCATCCAGAACGTGTTACAGATTCTGGCATTTTTTTGATGTATTGACGCAAAATAAAAATGAATTCAGCGCTAAGAGTGGCTGAAAATTTGTTTAACAAAACAAACATTCAAAGACATTTTTCGTTGCAGTGAAACTGCGTTGTTTGATTCATGCGCGTTCATTTTTTGTGTATTTCGTCAGGGTTTTCGGACGGACTAATTTGGATTTTGGCTTAAAAGGTACAGCTGAAAGGCAAGTTGAATAATTGCTTCTTCGAATTTATGATTTCAAGCGGCTTAAGATCAGCATATAAATGACGCAAATTAAATAGCGTTTTCGTACACTCATTGTACGTGTCTCGCATTCAACAATTTCACGAGATTTTTTGAAGAGTTTTATGTACTGAAATAACAATACAAAAATCAAGCGACTTTTTTATGAGTTACGGCAAAAAAACGCACACTATGCTTGGTTTTTTTTTGAAATTATGGCTGTGGTTTTCGTAGAGAAAACGACAATGATACTAGAAATGATTATTTGTTTTATCTACCGCTCTCATTGTCAATCAACAATGGTACACGTAATTTGAAGTCAGCACTTGAATTGAAAATTTCCAAGTTATTCAAACGGAAATTGCATCAAATCTGAATGACAAATGGTAGGTTTTTTCATAAGAAATAGAAAGGTGTGAGTTCGTTAATCAAATTAATGATTAACATTGGTATACTTCACTTGCCACATATACTGCTTCGTTCTACAAATTAACAGTTGTTATCATTTCAAGATAGTTAGCATTAAAATTGAACAAAACAAACGTTAACGTTTAATTATTTCGGTTTGCTTGTTATCAGTCCCGAAAATGAAGGGAAAAAAGTGTCGATTGGCTAGACAATAAATGTCGACAACGACTGGGCAATCTATTTTTTTTTATAAAAATAAACTGAAAAAGGACGCTATAAGAAAAAGGTCAATATCGTTTTACAACTAGCTTTTCAATGCGGCAGGTATGTGTTCAAAGAGAGATAGAGAAAAAAAAATGCATCGAAAAGGCGTTTGATTTCTTTTTTTTTCTCCTTTTAAAACCTAATTCTTGCACATAAACCTTTTGTAGCTTGCTTGAATGCATCTTGCTTTTCAAATGAATTGGAAAAAGTCACGCATTACAGTTCTTATGGTTGTTTGTATAAGTGGCAATGCACGTGATATCATTCAGCATATTCCAAGTTCAGGTAGATGTCATAGGATAGATCTTTCTGCTCTTTATTTTCCTCTCCTTCTCCCTCTCTCTTCCTCTTTCTCTATTTGTTTCTTTCCTTTTTTTGTTTCTCTCATTCATTGTGATCCTCGCACACAGACACTTCGATGAAGGAATGATTTGTATCCTTTGTGTTCTACCAATTGATGGATGGAAAATGCGCAAAATTCAAACAGTAGGAGAACATGGTCATGCCATACAAACAATCGAACAAAGAAAGATTATATGTCGATTTTTCGGGTGATCATTGTTTGCCCAAAATTGTATTTAGCAATCGTATACTGCAGAAAATCGTTTTTTTCTTCCTTAAATGTATTAAATCGTTAAATTTCATTTTGGTCGTTTTTTCTGTTGAAAACTCTATGCAGTAATTTCTATCTCATCTTGGCGATCATAATAACAAGAATGAAAAAGATAATGTTTCTTCTTTTGCTGTGTCTTTCCTCTTCTTCTTCGGTTTTTTTTTTGTTTTTGTCTTTTGTGCATCCAACATCCAGTAGCTTCATTTTATCATTATGATTTCATAGCCATTTTTAGTGTCGTTGTGAAGCGATTTCACATCATTTTAAAAAATTAAATATTATACTGACGATAGCAAATGGAAAATGAGCATTCGCTGAAACATCAAAGCTGTGTGTGTCCATAAGCGTATAAGTCGCATTGGCGTAAGCATAAAAGAATGAATAAAAGCTTTGAAAACAAGCAAACATCATCGTGAAAAATAAACAATATTGAACAAATAAAAAACAAAATCCACTTATATACTGTTCCGTTTCATTTCATTTTGTGCTCGGTGTTCTATTATACATTCCGAGTTATGCATATATTTCTTATGAAAATGGCATACACAATCGCAATTTACACTACACGAAGTGTGTGTGTGAGAGTACGGTGTATGTGTTCTCGATCTGGCAAACGTACACGCGCACCTCCAATATTATACCATTTTCTGTGAAATATACGCGACAGCGTAGTACGTTCGAACGCTAGGTGCACAATAAATGAGATAAGTAGTTTATCCATTATGTATGTGTACACTGTACACCGAAACCGATTATAATTTATGCGCAGTAACACAGCTTAGTTCACACTAAGTATGTACATTTCAAAAGCCATTTTATATTTTCTTCACAAACATCTATAAGCGAACTCAAGCGATCACCATTCAATCCTGTTGTGATCAAACTCATATCGTATAGCTTCGAAATGAAATGGATGATAGAGCAAGAGAGAGGGAGAGACCAAACGATTGTGTATGCATGGTGTTTCACTTTGGTGTTGTTGGGCTTGCATCGTGTTTGCCATACACTCAGCATTATTAAATAGTTTTGGTGTCGGTTTCCGTTAATGCATGGCTTCCTTAAGGTAGCACATCTTATACTACCAGATTTTATAGGTAACAATGGCGTAGGCTGACAATAAAATTTATACAAAGAGACGGCAAGATAAAGTGAACTGAACACCCAGTGGCGTACATATTCGTGCGATTGCATTGAATTCAAAAGTCAAGTCATATCGATCTTTGAGCTGAACATTTATTTTATGCTCGGATTAAATTCATTTTATTTCATATGCAGCTTAATTCAAAGCCGTTCGGATCGAATGAATGAAATATCCGACGCCACTGTGGCCAATGTGAACGTTTCTTTTCTTCTTCAATTTTTTTTGTATTGCTTATGTTGCCGTTCGTATCACATCATTGAAAATGTACACAAAAAAAAGAAGACGAACCACTAACAACAAAGCAAAGAGAAGAAAAGAAAACAAACACATATGTGATACACCGTGTTTGTGTATGTGTACGCGCTTCTTTTGACTTTAGCATGAAAAAGAACGCATAGATGTGGGCACATTTTTTTGCTTTTACGTTAAATGAACGAAATATTTGCCGTTTTTTGGATGGAAGTGTAACATGGCAATTTTTTTCTTCGGCACCAAAAAAGTGTAAGCTCTAATGAATCTCAATCCATATTATTTCTTGTGGCACTTAAGAATATAGGAAAGAGCTAGAAGTACCCGAATTTCCACGGTATATTCTATCAAGTTTCATGCTTTTCAAACATTCTATCATGAAAATGATCTTGTAATCGCGGAACAAATGATCATTGATTTCCAATGTTGACTGCCATATTTTTCATCCAGAACAAAAAAAAAATATTTTCCATATTTAATAAAAATTGTCCATGTTTTGTCTGAAACCGGCTATATCATAAATGTATTAGTATTGATCTAGTGTATAAGCCTCAACGTTAAAAAGACCATTGCACAATCGTGAATGTTATACGGTTGCTCGGTAAATACACAAGAAAAAACAAAAAACCGTATGTATACACACGTACATGGACGCACACCAAACAGTGTTTTCTTTGAGTCGTTGCCGTGTACGTATACAGTTTTTGTTTGGATGTATGCGTGCACATTCCAATCCGAACGTATATTCTGTGCGAGACCAAACAGAATGATCGTTTACAACAGTTGAGTAGATTGCATCGTCCAATGCGCACCTGTATCGCGCTCCGTATTTTGGTTTTTCTTTTTAAAAAAATCGGATAGAAAAACATTGTTAAGTGCAACAAGTAGTTTGAATTATTATTAAAAAAGTAAGGACAAATCAAGTGTCACCAAATCTAGTGTAAAGCAAAAAATGTGAAATCTTTCCAAAAAAAAAAAAAAGAAATAAAAAACCACCAACAAAAAAGAAAAGAAACGATTTATATGTGTGGTATATTTAACTGAGGAAGAAAAGATAGTGAGTTTTTCTGTGAATTAAAAAAAAATACATAAAAAGAGTGTGCACTATCATATCGTGACTTACGCCGGGAATTACAGAAAAGTTTGTGATAACATTTTGTGACAAGATAACTACCGTGCATATGAATAAAGTGCTTACAAATAAACAAAAGGCTTTTGTGCCACATATTCAAATGGATTACATGACACCAGCTTGAAAGTTGGGTTTCACCAAGCTACCAAGTCTCATATTGGATTTCACGCAATTTTCACGGACGTTTACTAAGCAAAACAGGTAAGACAATTTGTGTGCAATACAATTAAATAGAATATATAGTTATTATATGACAATAATTGCTACCTCGATTGCTACTTCATGCGAAATATAGCCGCAGCAAAAAAAAAATGTTGCCAGAAGTTGATGCTGTTAATATAAAAACGGCGAGACGCAGTGGTTCTATATATATACTTTTTGTTTATAATATTATAGTAACCAGTCATTCTGCCTTTTACACTGTACTACTTTGTCGTTTGTCGGCATTTAAAAGTCGTCAGTATCACTTCATCAAGTGGATCGACTGTAATGAGTAAAGCAAATCACCAGTGGCAAAAACATTAAATGCAAGTTGTTGTTTTTTGTGTTATAGACATCTCAAAATCATGACACTAATTCGATTCAATCTCTCAATTCCACCAGATACATCTAATGTCAATTTAATTAAGTTTATTTTATCTGTTTGATAAAAAGCAACATTTAAAATTTAAATGTGACTGAATGCAAGATGACAGTGATTGAAAATAGTCTCGTTAAATTTGCATGTCAGCGAGCACACATAGCAAAACATCTTTCGTCAACATCATGAAAATATCACAAAAATTAGTGTTCTTAATTCTAATGGACACTTTTGGTTTTTTTATTTGGTTCGAATCGCTGAAATTATGGCTTTTTGTCCATATTCTGAATGTGGATGTTGCTCTATAATTCACTCGGTGATATTTTCGGTGGCTTCGCACTTCACACATCCACTGTGTGCGGATTGAAGATGATGGAATGAAACGACAGAGATTTTGATGTCAAACCAGTTTGAAGACAATAAAAAAAACGAGTTAAATGATTTTTTTTTTTTTGGTTAACGTTTTGTGTGTTTGGTAGCCAGTCCATATGGGTGTGTGCGTTGACTTATTGTGTTTTAAATACGTAGTTGTAATAAATCTGAGCTCATCAGGGGTCCACGGGAATTTGTTTTACTCTCATTTTAAGCTTAAACAGCGAATGCCTGCCATGCATATGGGCCATCCATTTCATTTGCTTCAAATCGATTGCGATGGAATTCCATCAATCTTTGTGCTTCAACCAAATAAAAGCGGTGTGAGGTAATTCATGTGGTTTAGACATTTCTTTTCAACCTTCAATCACCTTGAATTAGCTTCAATATTTCGATTTTTTTTCGTGAAAGAAATTTGGGCAATTTATTTTCAAATGTTGCATTGTTTTTGGGTGAAAGAACTTACGGGCTTGTCAATGGACTCAGTCAAATTCAAAAGACCCTTTAGTAGAAGTCAGTCGTGATCGATATAATGAGCAAGAAACAATTAACATTTTTTCTTCTGTTACATCTTCACTTGATTTTGAATGTGATTCTAATCGATTTCCATCGAGTCTGGTTTTTATTATAACCCGTATAAGCCACAGAATTGATCGTAAGCAGTAACCACACTGCGATTAAGATCTAATCTTTGAAATAGAATGTGGCCGCGAAGACCTTACTGGCGACTTATTATCCTTTTTTTTTTCGATTCCAATCATAATCAAATGATAGCGATCCGCTAAAACCACATTCCAAACAACTTCAATTGGAACTTTCATCTCAATTTGTAAATCAAAATTGTAGCCAGACGCAACCAGCACCAAAAGTTTCTGTGTAGGAATTGTGTCCATCAAACTTTCGGTCATGACCATTTTACTTAAAATGCAAAGGCGATAGATTTACGATCGATTAAATGTTCACGCCATTCGACTGAAACAACCATATATAGCACATGCTTCGTGTATGCGTTGCACATCAAAAATATTTCGATAAAAGACACCGGAGAGCAAGCATCATGCCAAACATAAACGGTTCGATTCGATATGTTTGACGTGTTAAGATCAGTTTGTATCCATTTCGAATACAAATAGATTCCGTTCAACCACAGACAACACACTCGAATGCATCGCCGCTATAATATAAGAATTGATCTGACAATTTAATTACGTTTATTTATTTACGTTTTTTCACTTCACTTCTGATACACACACGAAAAAAAAAAACAACGCTCATTTACATTTTATAGCCGCTTCGAATGGTCTCTGTTTTGAAGCCCCAAAATCGGAATACATTATCCAAAATGAACCATTATCGAATTATTAAAATCAAAATACAATAAATTATCGGATGCGTTACACACGCAGATGTCGAATAAGAAGCCAAAACTATTTCTCGTTGTATATTTGATTTTCTTCGAATCCGTTTTTCTCTACATATTCGTCGCTAGCTGACGTGCAACCAATCCGGGAGATAATGAGAGAGAGAAAGATAGGATGAAAAAAACCTGATTTCGATTATGTTCGACATGAAAGAAAAGGCTTTAGACACTAAACGTTTCAGTCGAACATTAAATATTCGTTCTTGTTTCCAAGATGTATTTTAGCATTTTTTTTTTCTCTTTTTCTTGAGATCTTGGAACAGATTTTAAATACTGGACTTTGTTAGAACAAGTTGTGTATTTTTTTTTTCAATGTAATTTACACGTTAAACCTTTTCAGTGTCCGCTTCTTTTTATTCTGTTTATCAAATGACGAAAAAAAAAATAACATAGAAAGTTTATGTTTGTTCCACACAGTGGTAAAAACTGAAGTGTAAAAAAAGACAAGAAAAATGATTCGAGTCCATTGCAAAAGCTGTGAATTTTAATCCGATTTCCGATGATTTCTCATTTTTTTCGGTATGCGCACTGTTTTCAGTTCAGTTTTTTTGCAGTATGATTTCCCTTTGTTCGAAAGTTAATTCCCATTGGGGAATTTCAACTGGATTCGTTCATTTCATATGAGAGAGAAAAGATTGACTTGCAAACATGGCCAAAGGTGTAATGCAACCCAAAAGAAAACAAATACATCTCTCGCATTCCAGAAAAATATATACGATTGAAAAATAACAGAACTCAAGTATTTGCTTAACGTGTTTGAAAAAAACCAAAAAAAACTGAACAAATGTTTGCTTTGACCATTTATCTTTCAGTTTAGAAGGAGGCAAAACAAACGATCGCCTCGACATTTTTTTTGGTTTCATCTGATTTTCCGAAATACACTTTTTGAGATGGGACAAGGAATGAACATACGATTTTTGTTCTTTAAACTTGTCGTTCGATACATGCGTATTTTGCCTTCTTAATATTTTTTAAACGATGTCACACATTCCGCTCTCGTTTGAAACAATCAAAACGGTCGGTCACCAGTTTAATATTGTTTCTTTTCTTTTTCGTTATTTTTTGTCTTCACTTATTCATTTTGAAGAAGTGAAAATGTGTCTTTGTGTTGACGGCTCTTTTGTTTGAAATATATATTCAAGTATTGAATCATTGTGTGCAACAACAAGAAGAAAAACATTTGTTTTAACAGAAATAAAAGGAAATATGTTTGGTATAAGGTTTCGATGTTGTTGTTTGTTTCATTCTAGAAAATGCCTTCAGAAGAGCGTCCATTATCATTGGTTCGATCTCGTATCGACCAATTTCTTCATTCATCCACATCTTCAGCCATTCGGAATTCATCCAGTAGTCGTTCATCGTCTGCAACTGGCTATGACGCTCAGTTTGCATACCAACAACATTTATCCAGTGGAATTATGAATCAGTCGGTGCGTCCGCATCGCGAATCATCGGCATTTGTTCCTGTTCTTCCATCGCGAAGCGTATCGGTAAGTACCCATATGAGGCTTGAAAAAATAGATCGGAGCTAAAACTAGATAAATATTTAAAATGCAAATTAAAAAAAAAATCAGTAGAAACCCAATTTCTTTTGAGCAAAAAACTTATGTTTCGGGTAAATTTTTCAGTTATATCCGCCGGGAATGCTGGAACAGTCCGAACAACTTGCAAAAGAAAGCAGCAATCAACGTAATTCAGCGAGTTACAATATTTTAGTGCAGCAAACAACAATTGCCATGATGGCCGATAAAGCAAATGCAATGCTAATGCAACGGCCATCATTAAGTGGTGGAACCGTTCCGCAACAACATATCTATACGAATGGTTCATTTTTGGGGACACCAGTTCCATCACCCGGTGCGGGTGCATCATTTACATTTCCAACAAATTCCGCATTATTTCCACAAAATGTTGTGCCACCCGGTTTGCATGGCGGTTTGGACCGTCGTTTGACGATGCGAGCGCCTGGTCGAGCTTCACGACCAAAAAAGAAGTTTATATGCAAATTTTGTAATCGAGAATTCACAAAGTCATACAATTTATTAATTCACGAACGAACACACACCGACGAGCGACCTTATTCATGCGATATTTGCAAAAAGGCCTTTCGACGACAGGATCATCTTCGGGATCATAGGTATGTTCAACTTATTCAAATATTAGTATTTATTGTTATTTTTAAATGTTGATAATATTGTTTATATGTGTTTCTCATCAATTTGAGCGTGAACTTTGAGTTTTCAATTGAAGTAGAGACTTATTTTAAAACCCATATCTTATCGTCTCATCGTTGAGATTGTTATCGGCGAGCGACAGAAGTGTATGTGAGCTTCTTGAGTGAGAAATACAAATTGTAAAAATGTAACCCGTTCAAGTAGCACGCACATGTCAACTAGATTCATGTCAACTGACATATGATCAAACATTTATTATTTACATTTCATTCAAAACATGTATATATACTACATAGATTTGATGTGGTTGTTGTTAGTGAACACCATTTTCGTTTCGAGTCGTAACGAGAACTCTTGGCGACGTAAAATCTTTATCAGAGAACAAATATAATCTACTTTTACTTCGTCGAGCTGAATCAGCAGTTACACAACTCAAAATTAGGTACAATATGGCTGAATAATATGGAAATAATATTTGATTCATATCATTGAAAAGCTATTTTAAAATTCGATTAATTGCCTAAAATCCCTTTTTTTATTCAATCGATTGTACTTGGAAAGATCTCAGCATGTTCAATTAAAAATTGAATCTTAAATTCCTCTCTTTCTCTCGCTCTCTTTCTTCATATTTCTCTTTGATTAATTTCGAATAAATTTTTTCTTCCATTTAATTGAACAAAAATTTAATTACTCCTAATGGAATGTAATAACTGGAAATTCATCTAAAAAAAAAAGAATAATCTTGATGCTGAGATTACTTATGTGTGTTTTTTCATACATATACGTTCGCTAAGATTTCTACATAAATTCCAATGCACAACAAAGTAAAGTGCTCAAGATTGGTCCGTTCATTGTCCGAGAGCGAGTTGCAACTCGAGGTGTGTGTGAGTGCGCGCGCGCTGATTGAGTATAAAGAATGTTTTTTTTTCTGCTTTTAAATGTGTACAGAGTCTGGTAATTTACTGTGTGCTCTTGCTGTTAGAACTGGTATGCAGAGCCAATCGAAACTCGTTACACGTATGACTCATTCGATTGCATTGAAAAGCATCGGTTTTTTTTCGCCTGGTAAAATAATACACACACACACACAGCACGCACACATTACATACATCACATTGCAGGTCAAAGACGTAAATGCATGATTGATGACTGGCTCTTTTGAATTTCTCACACGAGCGAAACAAAAAGTGTTCACTTGATTCGTTTTTTTTGTTGTTGTTGTTGTTCTTGCACACATTGCATAGAATACATTAAAAGTCGAATGAAAAGGGAGAAAGACATCAGAGAGAAGAAAAAAAAAACATCCTCGGCATTGTGCTTTTACTTGGAATTATTCGTTGGGCAGAGTACATCTAAAGAGCTAAAATGAATTACTACTGTAGAAAAAAAACGAGAAGCATTGAAAGAAATGCATGTAAATACGTTCCTACCTATTCACACTGACTACTTGATTTTTTTTAATGCACACTTTTGAATACCAAAATAATGCTTCGTCTGTTTTTTTTATTCAGAGAATGTTACGACACAGAACAGATTTCTGATGGAGTCGGTTTTTTTTCTCTGTGTCTCGTTCGTTTTTAAACTTTAACATTCAACCACAATAATTGGATTTAATTTAAATATTTTATTTATTTATTTGGGTCTTAATTAAACTTTGCATGCCAGATTCTTTCGCTTGTTTGCTCATTTAGTTTTTACCTGAAACACGCTAAACACAGATCAAACGATCGTTTTATTTAGAAAGAGCGATGGACTGATTTTTATTCAATGCAATATTGAACGAGTTTTATTTTCTGTAGAGAGAAAATGGGAAAGAGTAAGGGAGAGAGAGAAAGAAATGAAAAGAAAAAAGAGCCATGGGCTCTATCTGAAAAATGTAGTAAAGGTTTTGCCTGAACGAAAGAAAAAACTGTAACATACGGAATGGGCTCCTAAATTAATGAACACACTTGGTTTACTGCACGGCCAAGAGAGAAAATAACAAAATGATGTGAAAAAACAACACTGTACACACACAGCAACCAAAAAAAAAAGTGAGAGAGCGAGAGATAAGGAACACGTAGGGAAAAAGGTTTGAAGAAATCTCTACAAAAAAGTAAAATATAGTGGAAAAAGCACACACAGAGAGAGATACAAACCGGTTTTTGATGTTGATACACAAGAGCTATTTATGGTGTTTTTCTTACGTCGCGACTCCGCAGCTATCTTATTACATTTTGCCTTACCTTTACTCCACGTCGTCCATTCCGACATAAGATCGCGCTGAACATACACTATACACACATTTAGCAACAACATCGCGATCGGCATACAATGTATATTGTGCACATAACGTGTGTATCGAATGTTTATCGTCAATACGGCTTTGAATGGCGGAATATCCATTTAATTTTCGAGTCTCATTTTATCGCATTTTTGCGAAACTTAAACAAAAGTCAACAGACGAAAACGCATACAATAGTCCGAATATAGAATCGAAATGTGTTTGGAATTGTGATTTTAATCTTCACACTACCGTCCAATTTCTCTAATTGAAACTGGTCATCCGCATTCGTTGTGGATTTCTTTTTGTAATATGAATAAAAACCAAAAAAAAAAAACAAGCAATGATCCTCGTTTGGTGATATATTCGAGACACAGAAGGAAATGGAAAAAAAGAAGAAGATAAATCCGTTCGTTTTGACTAATGAATAATGCCATCTAATGATGCAGATACCGGTCATAAAACACACTTAAACCCCATTCCATATCGCTGTTGAAAGGTGTGAAAGAATAATTTCTACTTTTAACCGAGCGGAAACTATTTGTCTACCGACGTTTTTAACACTTCAGTAAAAAAGATCTATATAAATAACATTTGGAATGAGAAAACGAACAACAAAAATTAAGGTGCTCTTTGTTTCGAACGAAACTTATTGCTTTGTTTAGTTTGAAAAATGATTGCCAGGATTAGAATTAATTAGTTCACATCTTTTTACACGCTTGATTACAGGCAATCAGAGTTCGATTGGTATCAATAAAATCACCAAGCCGGATCCGTACACAAAGCAAATGACGGAGAATGTACGCTTTTTTTTGAAACATTGAAGAATATAAAAAAGAAATAATTCGCTTGGAAAACATGTTTTCAATTTCAATTAAAATGTAATTTAATTTGCTCTGCACTAGATTGAGACTGTAAAAAACGAACAGAACAGAATATGAGAATGCACGACAAAATAAAGCCACATATGTGTGTGTGAGAGAGTTGTTGTTTGTGAGAAATTTATCGGCCATAGACAGAATTGCATCTCGTGAATTGGCGATGCATCTTCTCGAGATGAAAACGTAGACATGAAACTAATTATTCCAGAATTGTAATTAAATAATAAAAAAGAACCGAAGAAAATAAAATAACAAATCCCCCACACAATATTGCTGCACAAGTTCAATCAAGAGCAAATAAAAATGTTTAGTTCTGGAGAAAGAGCAGAGACGCAAAACAGAGAGAGAGAGAGAGAGAGATTTTTATGCAATAATTTATTATCATTACAAAGCCTTTGAGAAGATTGAGAACACCTCCAAGGCATACCATGTATGTGATCAAATCTCAACATATACATGTTCACTAATGTTCTTGTTACTTTACTTTGATGCATCGTACATGCTCACTGTGTTCTTGACTCTTTTTTTTTCATTTGCGTCGCCTGAGTTTTTGTCTACTTCTTCTCTTCTCAAATGAAAAAAAAAAATCACTGCCTTTATGCATCGATGTATGAACGATGTAAGTGTGTAATGTAATGTGTTCATGTTCTTTCGATGCCGTATAATTCTTGTATTATAAATTTTGCATCGGTTGCAACCGTACAGCTATTGTATGTGTATTTGTATTATTTTTTCTGCATCCGAGGCGAATCACCTGCGATCAGATTTATGATTAACGTCTCTGGGGTAGCTGTAATGATAGGCTGCTTGCAAAGTGAACGTATAAAACATATTCAACATAAACGTATTCAGCCGCCTTTTTTGTTGCGTGCATTCATATCAATTTTTTTCATTCTTCTCCGCTTTTTTCGTGTTGTCGTCATTTTGCTTTTCAAGTCATTCAAATTCTGCAACGAAAAAGAAAACCGTGTTTATGAGAGAAATACATTTACAAAACAAAAAAAAACACACATTTTGCATATGCATAATCAACGTACATTTTTTTTGACTTAATCATACTTGAAGGCCCATTAAAAATTACCGACATAAAATTTAGTCTCTTTGTAGCAACAAAAAACAGCATAATTTTACCTTTCTCCGTAGTAATATAACGAAGAAAAAAAATATAAATGTAATTTGTTTGTTATTCTTATTCTTATTGCAGGTATATTCATTCGAAAGAGAAGCCATTCAAGTGTGGTGAATGTGGTAAAGGATTTTGCCAATCGCGAACACTTGCCGTTCATAAAACGTTGCATTTGGAAGAGTCGCCGCACAAATGCCAAGTGTGTCAACGCAGTTTTAATCAACGTTCAAATTTAAAAACACATTTACTTACGCACACCGATCATAAACCTTACGAATGTCGACACTGCGGCAAAGTGTTCAGGAGAAATTGCGATCTTCGACGACACGCATTGACACATTCGATTGGTGGTGATACACAATCCGAATTGAATGAAAGCGGCAATGATTCAACAAACGAAAAAGTTATAAACGACGATGATAATGAAGAGGCCAATGACGTTGAAGATGAATTTGATGACATTCAAGTTGATTCGCCGGTGAATGAACGCAATACACCGTCACCTGTAATTCCGGATAGCAATGCTTACGATGACAATGAGCCTGTTAAAGGTGAAAAACATTGTGAAAATGAAAATGATGGTGGACCACCGCCGAAAATGCCACGACTCGAACAGAAAGATGACAATGAATTCACGGGCATTACACATTGCCACCATAATGGTGGACAATCGCATTACACAATGAGACCACAACTAATGTCTTCTGCGAGTTGTTCAACATCCGATGGAAAATTGCATGTTCGACGAGATTTGCATTACAAAGTCGAGGCATCAACATCCATTCATTCACCGAATGTGCCGACGGCAAGCACAAGCACTATTGTTTCGGCTCCGGTTCCATTCCGAAAACGTTCGGCTGGCATTGCCTATGAAAGTGCTGAGAATGATCATCCTTTAGTTTCCAGTTCACATCTTGTTCCATTGCATTCATCACCGTTGAATCTTTCATCGACACGAAATCAAGAAACTCCAAGTGGTAAGAATCCATATGAAATTTCGATAATTTCTTCATTTTATTAATAATTTGTTTTTTAAATAGTTCCACAGCCACCACCACCGCAGCCAGCTCCAGCACCACGTCGAACTGGCTTCAGCATTGAGGATATTATGCGTAGATGAATTAACGATGACGAATCATTATTAATTTTATAAGTACAAAGGCTGCCGTCAAAATTCCGTACAAATCATGTTCAAAAGTGAAAGAACGTTTGTTTCATTTGGCCATAAAATGCATCGAGACTGATTACTGCAACAGAAATGATGGAAGTTTGCATAATAATACAAAATAATTTACTTCATTATGAAGCAACGATATGTTCACTTGTTCACGTCTCACAGCGATATGTCAATATGGAAACCGAGTGATGTCTTCCAAGGGAAATTCTTCAAATCGACCGAAATCAACGAATTAATTTGTTCCAAACGGAGAATCGCGTTCGTAAATTCAACAGATTCTCAAAATGACGAAATATCTCTTAAAGTATAAGATTAGATTAGAGGACATATCTCGTTCATTTTTAGCTACTTATAAGCAAAGAAACTGCGAGATATGTCACATCATAAGGCTACGAAGTCCACAACTAAAAACAAATCTTAGCTTAAACAATATCTTGTATTCATGTTTTGCATCGAAAGAGTGCCTTTACATTCCGTAGATATTTTGATCTGATAAAAAAAATGTTATATGTGTAATATTCAAAACGAAAGTCGAAACCGTATCTACATGAATTATATATATAAAGACGAAACAATTTTCTAGTAGAATCTAAGCAATATAGCATAGAAGAAGTGAATTGAGTTTATTTCATTATAGAAATTATACGAGAGTTCAATAATAAAAAATTTTTTAGTAGAAAAACGTACTTCCGCGGCTTAAAGTCAACCGAAATTGATCTTCAACTGAATCAGTTCAGCAAGATCGCTTGCAAGTGTTTGAAAAATTCATTTGGAGAAACAAAAAGAAGCAAAACCGTATGACTTTTCAAAATGTATCTTTTCGAGTTAAATAAGTGAATCGCGTCCTTTGCTATAAATAAGTAAATATGTTATGAATAAATCGTTTCTCATTCAATCATATGTTCATATCATAAATTTGGTAAGACATACTATGTGATACGATATTCAGTTTGAAAATTGTCTATTTGTTATTAAGAAAATTTTTATGAACAAAAAAAATGTTATATTGATTTGGCATCCATCGAACTATTTAGAATTCGTAAGAGCTCAATTCAGAGAAACAAATAATTTTTTTCTTTTTTTATTTTTCATAGTTTTTAAATGCAAAATAATGTAAGTAGTGAATATTGAATAAACTGTCATATTTTGATCAACGAACACTTTTTTGCGTTTTTTTTGTTGAAATCATCACTTACTTCTTTCGGCCACTTTTAGAAAATGGGGTTTATTGATGCCGTTTTTAAAAACAATGCGTTTTATTCCCGTTGCAAAACGAAAGAAACGAATGTAAGTCAAACATCTACATCTGTGCATCTGTTGGCCGCAATAAAATGGTAAATGGACATGTTTATAACTCCAAAAGAATAAATCTTGATTTCAAAGTTGAATGGACTACTTCATGGTGAAATTCTTTTTTATAATTGATATAATTTATGATAGTGATTGCTTGTCACAACATTGTTCCTATTTTAAGCTGAACACCCATATTTCCATATCATATTTTTATTATGCAAAACTTTTCCTTTTTCAAACCATCTAAATTTATCCACGATTCGCACTCAACCAGCAGTAAAACATTCGTTTGATGCGTCCAGTGTGTGATGAAAATAAACAATTCAAAAACTTGAATTTGTTTTTTATTTTTCAAGTTGTTTATTGGTTTTCAACGGTCATTTTCAAAAGACATAAATAACTTGTAAATCGTTTATTTATTTGATCACACAAAACAATAAGTACACGCTATAGCTGTTTCTAATAAAATACTATTATAATTTTTGTGCGAAAACTATTTTCGGTTCGTATGCATTAAACAAATATATCGAATACGTTGTTGTTGCTTTTTTTTATTTGAATTTTCTGTTTTCAAATGTGTAAATGAGGAATTTGGAATAATTGGTCACTTTGTTTTTTTTTTAGTCTCCATTCGAAATAATTTGTTCGGAGAATCATATTAATATGATCGCTTTAATCGCGATTCATTTTTTTTTATTCATCTATGTTTTTTGGTATTTTAGAGTGTGAGTGTGAAGTTGGCAGTGATTTAGTGTGACTTAAATGCTACACAGAGAGCCTAATCGTTGAAAATAAAAGAGATTATTTGAAAAGGTGAACATCTATTTGGCATGACATTCTAAGGGGGAGACTGTTACTTGTGGGGGATCGATTAGAATAGTTTATAATATTGGTAGATGTTTTCCTTCGACAAATTCAATTAAAATGAATGCATAATAATTCATGTGGTTTTGTCATTTTCATTTCATCAATTAATCGCTTCAAGCACAGATTTTCCATCAGTCATTTTCATAAGACACGCACACACATGAGGCATGCATGAAAGACAGCGTAAATTACTCATTCAACGACTAGATCATCCCATTTTGCATGCTCTATAGATATTATAATAGATAAACAGTTTTACGGTAAATAACACATTTATATCTGTAATGATCGGGTTTTATTTTCTACTCTTTGTTATCGTATTAACAAAGTTAATGTCTTTCAAAATATCCAAATTCAAAAATCAAAATGAATTGCATCATATTTTCCGCATCTTAATATGCATATTATAATGGTCTGTACTTGGTTTTATTCCAATAAATCGTACAGTTTAGAACTTGATTTCATTAGAATTGGCAAATGGTTTCAACAAGAACTGATACAGCAAAATATATATATATTGGTAATTTGATTCATCAAAATATGATTTTGTATAAATAAATGTATATCTAAAAAAACACATTTGTGCATTGTAATATATACTCCACTCGGCGGGGGGCAAATACATAAAAATTAATTTCAATAATTTTGATTAAAACCATTACGTTTTGATTAATTTTAGATGAATCGTAATAAATGTCTTCTCAAGAAATAACGATTAAAATAAATGTTGATTTGAATATACTACAAAAATGAGATTCAACAATTTTAAAGCATTGAAATATATTTAGTTATAGAATGAAACGAAAAATAACTTTCTTTCACACTTTCGACACTGTGTGAACATTTGTTTGTTGACCGAAATAGTAACACATAAGATTTGGCACAAAATATGTATGCGGCTCATAGACTCGCTCTGTCGACGACTTGAATAATATATTTGCAGTAAAATTAAAAACTCTGCTTTTTTGTGGTTTTTTTTCTTCTCTTCGATAAAATCACGATATCATTACCATTTGGGCGACACATTCTTAATAATATAGTATTTTTGGTGACAGATACATTATAATTTAACTAAATGATTAACATTCAAGTGGATAGATTCAGTTTAACTGAAATCAGTATAGATTAATTTATAAGGTATATCTAATAAAACTAACTACCATAGTCCCATTTTCAGTGAATTCAAAATCATCTGGACAATGTTTAGTGTTGATGTTGGTTTTTTTAATGAACGACCACAGAAAATATGGGAAAGCTTTTTTTCGTTTTTTCGAAAACCTAATTTTTTTTTTGGTCTAGTCTAGTTGAAATATAATATATATTCATGCTTTTTTATCATAAGTGCTTGTGGTTTGTTTAACGATCACTGTTGGTTACAGTAATCACATAAACTCAAGAGTCTTGATGCTGAATTGCACTTTAAATTGATATTACAATAACTTAGGATGCCTTTAACCATCGATCAATTGAGTACTCCAGTGCAGCGATCCATCTAAAAATTAATACGATTGCTTAGCATCGAAATCAACATGTTTTCATGTCATATTTTATACCTTTTCTTCTCCATGTCCGAATCAGCGCTAAAGCAATAGGCACGTAGCTTTGACTCTGGTGGCGATAATTCAAATGCATACTTTCGGCCAACGGAAACATTTGGTATTACAATGTGATATCCTTGCAAACATACCATCCCTGGAAATTACGAATTAAATTTTTTTTTTTATTTTCAACCCAATTTATTTTGACCGGCTAATTTATAGCATCAATTCAAATCGTATTATTTACCCTGTGGAGTTTTGCTGTTGCTATCCAAATAAAAGTACAAACAAGCATCTTTGAGCACACAATACCGTTTTGACCATGTTCTCCATCGGCTTCCCAATTTATGCAGAAAACCAGCCCAATCTGGACGCAGAATACTGTTTGGTGGTAATCGCATATTTCGGGTGCTTGTCTCCAGCCATTGATCACTTTAAAACAACAAAATATGTACATAAATATGATTTGCTAATGGGAACACTTTGTTTGCTTTTTAGCTGTACCTCTGTGCACTTGCATGACTTGTGACGGCCAACCAACGACTAGCTGCCTCTTGAGTATCGGCTGCCAAATAGATTGGTGGCCCTTCAGGTGACGAAATGCAAAAGGCAAATGGTTTACCAACATCAGCAGCACAACTTTCAACCGTATGATTTGTTAGCAAAATAAAACCGACCGGTTGAAATTCCTGTGAAATTTAGTTTCGATTTTCGAGTTAATTTATCAATGGGGTAGGTGAGAAACATATTTAAATACCTGATCTGATTTAAAGTAATATAAAGAGTGATCTGGTCGCAAGCAAAACCAACGTCGGATCCATTTTTTGCTACCAACTTGATTATCCTCTCCTTGCCGCCATAAGTATCCGGAATACAAATATGAATTCGGTGTTTCGAGTGCTTCGGTGGCTAGATCAAATGTACGAGCAACCTGTAAAAGTTATTTGAAAAATATATTTAAAAATGATCATAAATGCATCGCATTAAAAAAGAACGTAAAAGTTACCTCAAGCTCTAAAACTTCACTGCCAGCATGAGCAATATCAACGACATCTGAATGCTTTTTATCAACAACCGGTACACCATTGACCGACAAAATGATATCACCAATCTCCAAGCCACTTGATCGAGCCGGTGTTTCTGGTTCAATTGAAGAGATGACAACTGGCTTTGAGCCATGTATTCGAAAGCCGAATTCGCCATTTGGTTTGCGATGTACAATTACCGTTTTGTCGGTATCTGTAAATTAAGGGAAATCTATTTTTGAATTTGACTGCCAAAGAATTTCTAAGTTAAAACAAAAACGTATCCAAATAACGAATAACAACGGCTGAGTTTATATTTAGGAACAAGCAATGAACTGCACCATTTTTATCAATTTTGACTTAATTTAATTGGCAACTGTTTTTTTTATTATACCGCTCTTCTTTCCAGTGATCTTATAAAGTGCAACACACTCTTTGGTCCAAACGAGATGCATTTGTTTTAGAATGGCTTCTAAGTGTCGATAAAGCATTTCGTTCGTATATTGAACGGTTTTTGATTTCAATGTTTTGGTGTTGCAATTCGGCATTTTAAAGTGGTTTTTGCGTTTTAAATTGCGCTGGAACTTGATATCGAAATTAATTGCACGATCTCTATATCACTTGCTTTAAGGTTCAACTGAATGCTGTTGTCTTGACGGAAAATTAAAAGCGACTGACGCACTGGCTCGCCATTTGACTGGTACAAATGGTGCTTCGAATCAAGGAATAAAGCAACAGCGTCTATTGTGCGTTCTATTTTTGAATTAATTTATAAGATCAACTGCTGCTGTTTGAAATTTGATGCATTATTTTTATTATTTACGTTGCTGTTAGTAAATTACAAATTGCAGTCACTCGAATATATATATGTGTGTGTGAAATTTTCCGTAAAATAAAGATCGAGTCTGTCATTCAAACTATTGTAGAAAACAGGTTTCGAATCTATTTACAGAATTCAGAAGCAAAAAAAAATGTTGTGCGAGCAAAAGTGTTGCAAAAATAGAAGAAAAAAAATAACTTACGAAATGAATTAAGAGACTGAAGACGATACATTTCACCACACGTTTTACGATGCACCAATCGATGCGTTAGATTTTGATATTTTTTCTGGAAATCTTTCTCCACTTCGGTTCGACGATCACCCACATCTTTAGTTCGTTCTGCAACATTTGAATTAAATGCAAAGTATTACTCTCGCAACAAATAAACACGATCGTAAAAATGCGTGTTTTTAATGGCTTACCCTTGCTTCGATACCAGACTTCACGTTCAGTGAGCTGAATCCAAATGCCATGTCGATACAAACCCTGATAGACACCTTGCTCCAAATCCGAATAATTATTGCGAAAAGTAAATGAATTCTCGACAACAACACATGGACTTGAGCCGGCCGTTCGAAGTGATTGCTCCTTATTTACATCGTCTTTTCCACGCTCTTCGCTCTTTTAAAGACAAGAATAAAATCGTTTAAAACTCCTTGCAAATTTGAAATTGGCTCTGTTCCTACCTTAGCTCGTGCACTCTCCTGACGAATTCGATAGTGTTTTCGTTCGCCGTGCCTTTCCTCGGATCGAAGCCGACGGTCAAACTTCTTATACATTCTGTGCGGTTGACGTGTACCTTCTGGTGAATCGGCAAAGTCTGCCGGAGGCATAACAATATTGGCCGACACCTCTTCTTGACCCAACGTATCATCGATTGCTGCAATAATCTCCACTTCTTTTCCACAATGATGACAATGGACCTGAAGAAAATTAAGTGTATATTAGTTTGTTACATTGATTTGCCCTTTCCGAATATTTACATCAACTTCGCTGTAGAATACGGAATCCGATCCGGGTGAAACCGATCGTAATGAGAGTTGAGAAGTTGAGAGTGCTTTGAGCCGCGTTTCTGACGGTGGATCAGTTCGTTTTTTCGGCGACGTTTTTTTCGATGGCGATAATGATGGTTGTGTGTATTTGGACGGGATAGTTCTATTGTCGGTTTTTTCATCTGTCACACGTTCAGATCCGGCGACTGTTGGCGTTTTAACTTTTCGAGTTATTGGATCTTCATTTGGATTTCGAGCTCTTGGCGAACTACATTATTAAAAATATAACAATTACAAAAAGCAAAGAATAAGTTGGGAATTGGTATACCGTCGTGTTTTCGGTCTGATTCGTTTTGTTTTTGCTTGTGATGTGCCATCCAAAATATGCAAAGCAGTTCGATCATCGGGTGAAATGCGTTTGAAGCAAATTGGTTTTTTGGTCGGTGATGTCAATGATTTCATATTTTCCTTTTCAATATCCAATCGCATTTTTTCTTTTCGACGGCGTCGATCATCCTCATTCCAGTCACGTTGTTTTCGCATTCGACATGGATGTTCTAAAAATAAGCATTCATTCCATAAAATGTGAACCTTTTTTGATTGTTTTTCTATTAAATATTAAAAAGTTGAGCATGTTTACATTGAAAAAGTGATAGAATCAGCAAAAAGTCGGTCACACATTGTGCTATAGTTGCTGTTTTATCTCCCTTTTTCTCGCTCAATGAAAAAAGTTTTCTTTATTTGTCAACCGTTATTGATTTTATGCTCACCATCATCATGTGGACTTTCATAATAGCCCGATGAAGAGTATCGTTTTTCACTTTTCTCATCGTCCGAAATGGATTCGGTTGTTTGTTTTGAAGTTGTGGCAATGGGCTGTTGTATAACGACACTATTTCGTGGTGATGTTGATTTAATCGCTTTTTTACCATTAAAGTAGCTTCCGGACGAACTACTGCTGATGGAATGGGACGGAGATGGTTTTACAGACGGTTGTGGTGGCAACGATAACGAATCTTCGGCTGTTGTTGTTGTTGGCGCATCTTCGCAAATATTTTCCACTCGAGCCAAACTATAAATGGACGATGCACTTTCAAATGATGAACCATTTTGTGTTAATGTTTGTGAACCAGTTTGGGCAGCAACTGAAATTGAATACAAACATAAATATTGACATAAAAAGGAGGCGATAAAAAAGTTTTTTTGATGTCGAACACTGTCAATAAAATAGAACAAATCAAAAACAGACGAAAAACATGAAAACACAACATCGATCTCATGCCAATGATGAGATTCGAACCTGGCATATGTGTGGTAGTTGATGCGACAATACCTCGTTTCGATAATGCATCGGTGCATGTTATGTAGTCATCTGTGTTTGTACTACCTTCGGACATATCGGTCGCTCGACGCGTATCGGAATGATGAACGAATGGTTGCTGGTCGGACGATGATTTTACTATTGGAGCAGCCCTTTGTAGTTCGCTGACTCTGTAAATATGAATTTTAATTTGAGTTCAAACTTTATCTAAACAAATGTCAAAATTTACTTACACATTTGAATAGATTGGTTCGATTGGGTCAGCACTCTTGCGACGAATATCTCCACTTCGTATGGAACCGAGTTTAATCGTTGGCGTTTGAAACACTTCAACATGTTCGTTGCTCACATCATCGTCATGGGTTGTTGAAGCAGATGGAGTAACAGCAATTGACGGCATATTCGTCGGTATTGTTGCGGATGATCTACGTAATGTTTCGAATGTAACACGTGACGGACTATGTGCTTGCGGTATGGATATCGTTGGTGTTCTTAGATTCTGCAGATTATGAGACAATTGAAAACACAATATCCAATAAAAGTTTTTGTTTGTAAAGAGCACTCTAAATAGCGGCATTTTTTTTGTTTTGCATTTTATTACCTGGTCATATGAATGTTCCTCTATTTCGATGGCTTCTGTATCCATTGAACTTCGTTGCTGATGTTGTAATATAAGATTTTTGCGCTTTTCACTTGGAGTAAGTAGTGTTTTTCCGCATTCAGATACGCTATAATTAACAAGAGATTTTCATTTAAAAGTGCTCCTATCTCTCTTTGAACTGCATTCGAACACTTACTTTGGATCGATTTGAAGAACGGTAACTTGAGATTCATTCCAATTGCCATGTGAATTACCGTCGGAATGATCTCGCGCTAAATCGTTGACCAAAGAGTCGGATGAGGGAAACGTTGATATGTCTTTGTATTTATCAACTGGCGACGCTGGTTTTGAATCGCCAGACTTACCGCTCTCATTATCATCGAGTGCTGATTGTTCTAAGCTAACGGAACGCTTTATGAATGCTTCGCGTCGATTTTTTCCATGCACTGTTTTTTCTTTGGGCAATTTCAAAAATGTATCCTTATCGCAAGCACTTTCATCTTTTATTGGAAATGGACTGTATGAATAGCGTTCGTTGTCATTATCGGGAACTTTAAGATCTTCTTCGCTCGTTGATACAATTGGTACATCGTTGTGATTGATTTCTCGTCGTTTGTCTAACATTATTTCACCCTCCGACATTGTTTTCTGCAAGCGACCATTGCGTCCGTACGGACTTTGGGGCGGAGACACACTTGGCTTGAAATCGATAAAGATTTCTTTTTCATCTTTCGATTCATCGTCTTCCTCTTCATCCGAATCACCGCATGTGGAACAGTATTCATCCGATTCGGATTCCTCATCATCATCGTCGTCATCATCCGACTGTGCTCGATTATAGAATATATTGATTGAATTGCGACGCACAATCGATTGCAAATCTTCAAAGTCGCTTCCATTCAAATGACGCAGTGTTTCTGGTATGGCACAAGAGTACCTTCGTTTCGTCAAATCAACACTTTGATTTGAACTGGCATTACTTTCCAGCGAAAATGTTCCATGTGCACGAAATTGTGCCAAACCGGCGTTGATTCCTTCAACCGCATCGGTTGTGGTTTCATTTCCATCAAAATCATAATGATGCGCTGGTCGCCTCGGTAAACTATTCGTTTGATGATAATCATTTGTATGATAAAAACACTTTCGACGCGGCAAACTATTCGAATCGTAATGCAATTGAGTGGCATTTTCCATAAATTCAATGCATCCGCCGGTGTTTATCAAATCAGTGTCGATGAAATTGTTGTTCGACTGAAGTGTGGCAATATCATGCGAATCGATTGAACGTTGTGACGTGGTACGTGAATGTGTGTGATGATCGGACATGAAGATATCACTCTTTGAAATTTCAAAATCGCTCGGATGTGAATACGTATCGAATGTACTGAAAATCGATCGTTGCTGCTGTTCAAATAATTCATGCGGAGACCGAGGTGGTTCCTCCGACTGTGTTCGATGTAATAACTCATGATTTATGTAGTTTGGAAAACTGTAAGAGAAAATGGAAAAGTCATATAAACCATAAATCGACTTCGCAGAAGGAAAAAAAAGCAAACAAAAATAATGTAATAAAATAACTTTTCACTTACGTATTTATCAATGGATCACCCTGCACTCTTTGAGTCATCGCCTCCGATAAACTTTTCGTTAGCTTGCGACCAAGGATGTTGCCATTGATGCAAGTACGATGTGCACTGTGCGGACTTGTGTTCGACATATTGCTACTGAATGAAAGAGTGCGCGATGCAAACACGTCCGTTTGCGTGGCCTGTGTTTTCTTCACATTTCGTTTAAGCTTTTCAATTAGATCCGAATCGGTCTTCATTTTTGCAGCATTCGTTAAAATTGGTTGTGTTCGAAGTTTATCTGGCACAAACTGATGGTCTCCGTGTAATTGATGATGATGATGTAAATGCTCAGTTAACGTTCGTACTTTTTTGCCACCAATCAAACGTTCTTGACTTTTTGTTGTGTTCAATCGTGATACAGAACGGTCAACCGATAAATCTTCAAACGAGGTCAATGTATGCGAACGGGCAAAACTCACATGTTTCGTTCTATTTAAAATTGAAATCCATTTATCTTTTAATTTAATTTTTAATCACATTGATCATGTGTATACAATTCAACAGTACCTTGGCGGAACAACCGATACACTTTCTGTTGACATTAAATTTGAAGGTGTTACCGATGTTGTTGTTCCAACATGCGATGGACAACGATATCCTCTGCAAAAATAAACATACATACACATATAAAATCGATATTATCAAGGAAAATTGAATGAATGTGGTTAAATCATTATGTACAGAGCATCCACAAAAATTGGTTCATATTTGATTGTCGGTTAAATAAAAAAAATGATAGGATTGAAAATTCGAGCAAATCCAATTTTAATAATATTACTCATATTATATGACCCAAATTCATTTTTTTGGGTAATGCTACGATAAGCAGATTAAGAAAATAGAAAAAATGGATAAAATATCTTTCTGCCTTTATAAAAATGAAATTTGTGTCAAGAAAAAAAAGAGTCGGAATCATTTGTGTTTAAACATTGTATGGTTATGGATTGTAATGTACCTGGATGCGTCTGCGGCAGCGGCAGCCTCTTCAGCAGCCATCCATGTGAATCGTTTTGGATCGTTGCTGCAGAGAAAGGACGTGGGTCGACGGCGAAAGTGAAAATTTTCGATTTCGTCTTCATTTTCAATGATGTTTCTGTTGTTGGTGCGCGGATATCTAACGGTTAGAAGGGTGTTACATACACTGATATTTGGATGTCATGCAAAATATATTAAAATGATTACATACTTTGGATACTTATGAAAAGGTGCATAATCGGCAAGATTTTCATCAGATGGATGACGACGACCCACGCAAACACTGAGAAATGATTGTTGGTTACCACGATTTGACCAACAACCAAAGAAACCATCTCGTCTCGGTGGCTCAACGGTGTTCAACTGTCGTTCCGATAAACAGTACTACATACACAATAAGAGAAAAAAAAACACAATGACAGCATACAAAATGATTGAATACCATTTTAATGTATAATAATGCCACAATTATTATCAATACACACCTGCTCTTGAATATCTGCCTTCGAGTAGATGGATGGTTTCGGATATGGTGCCGAGAGATTACGTTTTCTCCCAACACTTTCATCCTCTGAGTCGTAGCTTCGCGAAGAAAAATGTCGATGCTGCGAATTGATTTGTTGAAAAAAAAATGAAATATAATTCGAGTTTTTCTTATTCTTTTCATCCGAAAATGAAATAAGATCGAAATCATAAAAACGTACCTTAGATGAAGTATCGATATTTCCCAGCGAATGAGCATGCTGAAGACCTATGAATTTACATTGAAAAGTACTTGAATTATTATGATGAAAATGGTTTGGCAATAAAAAAAAGTTTTTCCACTTAAAACGGTATCTCGAACATTTTTTTTTTTCAATTTTTTTGAAACGATAACTTTTTGATGGCACACAAAAAGTCTATAAATTACATGAAAAACTACTTATTTTACTATGTTTTTGTGGTGTTAATATATTTTCATAGGATTTCGCCATCAATAAGTTGCACATTAAAAAAAATCATAAAAAAATATATTTTCTCTTATTCGGAAAACTTTCCAATAAAATAACCAAAAGCTATAAAACCGAACATATTATGCAGACCACAAATTATTGATTATAATGCTTACCTCCGGTCTTCAATATTGTTGTCATAATTAGTACGTCGCCAAAAGCACTGAACACAGAACATTGACAGATTGTGAAAAATCAACAAATGTCGATACGGAAACAAGAGAAAGTGAAAAAATTATGCAAGCATCTTCAATTTGCACACAATCATATATATTATATTATGTCAATTCAAGTGTGATAATTAAAACACATTGCTTAATATCCGTGACACATGCAACATATTTGTTCTACATCAACTTGATTGAGAATAATGGCCATTCTGTACACACTTACGCAACTTAATACAATAAATTAGATTTCATCACTACAATATGCGAATGAAATTTTGTATCAAAATTCGTTGTACGAAAATCGAGATTTGTCCGTGACAGAGAGATAGAGACAGAAAAAAATGTTTCAAAAAATTCGTTTGTATTCCGGTTGGTTTTTAGTTTTGTAATTACGAAAATTAAATCATTATATTTTAGACGAGAGCGAACTCATTTCTTTGCTATATCAATGACCTAGAGACGTTCGTTCACTTTGCCATGTACACTTTTTTCACCATTCACAAAATTCGTGAAAATCGGTCAAACGGATCCTTTTTTCTCAAGAGCACCAAATTGTTACTTTTCGTTTTTTAAAATAAAATGCAATTAATGATGGTTTTATTTCGAAATGATGATGTTTTTTTGAACAAAATAAAAACTTAAATGTAGACGAGAAATTCAGGACACTTGGTCCATTGCGATGTGAAAAACAACTGATGATGGCTGAGCAAATCCAATAAACTGGGGCTCAACCTCCACCAAACAGTGGTATACAAAAACTGTCCGAAAGTACTCAGTACGATAATCGTGTATTGGAAATTCGGACTATGTTTTCCGTATATTTTTGATAAAATCATAAATTTACACATGAAATAATTCTTGAATTGACAATTCATAAATTTTTATCGATATTTTTTGCCGTTTCGCGAATAAAATATGGTATTTTTGAAAATATAAAATTTTCGTACAGTTTTCATGACTACTCAGAGGGAAATGAGAGAAAAGTTCTCGATCTGCTCATGTCAGAAGTTTCCATGGTAACCAACATCTTTGACATGCACACATACATAGATTTTCCCTTCGAGACGTGCTTTCATAATATAGAATGTTCATTGATGAACATTTATTTTGGATCCATGTGGAGTGAAATGAGGAGACAAATATAAGTCCACGCGTTTCTTTTTCAGAAAAAAGCGATGTGATGTAGCTTTCGCCAGTCACACATATGCCCATTTAAATGATGGAGAAATAAAACTTTGGCAACGAATTATACGTTAGACGTTTAATGGCATGCACTTGAAAATTGTAATAAATATTCTTTTAACGATATAGGTGTGACAATAGGTAGCATTTTTCAGAGGCACTTTCGCGTTGATAATATTTATGGACACATTATGCCATTCGACGGTGAATTTATTGATAACGTCTTTATGTGAATCTTAAACAGATTGGCAAAGTATTCAGATATTCAAATCATTTATCAAACCGTTGTTTGCAATAAATTATCAAAATTCACCCAGAGGGAGAGTGTTTTTTTTTTTGAATAACTCTTTTAACGTGTTTGCCAATTTTTCAGGTTCATTAAACGCGTTAAGGACCATTTTCGTTATTAAATGACAAAAAAGAGAATCTCATGTATTACAAATAGCAATGGCATATTTAAATAATGTTTTCGAAATATGATTTTATTTTTTTATTTTTTATTTTTTATTTTATACATCGCAATCGAAAAACTATGAAATGTCGAAAAGTTTGGTAATTTCTGCCAATTTTTCATCTCTTTTTTAATTTTTATCACAAAATTTTCGGTATAAATCACATCGATTGAAGATATATCAAAAGTCCTAGAAATTTTCAATAGATGTCGCCAAAAACGAGTGTTGTCAAATGAGTTCGAATTTCGAAAGTGTTTTGTAATGTTTCAAGGTTTGAACGAGCGAGACGTCTGTATGGTACGGTATGCTCACTACGACCGATAGGCAATGAAAGGAAGAAAAAACAAAAACAACCTACTAACACAAGCGCAACGGCAAACATGTGTTGGAAACGATTACTAAGGTGAAATACATTTGAAAGTCAAATGATTCGTGTGTTGAGTTCGAACTAAATGAAATATTAAATTGTCAACCAAATCACATCGTATACGGTAGCATATTTGTGTCATTTTTATATTTTATTTGTGAGTACTTCTATGTGTATGTGTGATGCTTATACGCTACTGCGCTAAAACGATTGCCAAGAGAGATATATGAACTTGTGGAATAGCAATAGACAAAGAATCATCTGTCTATACACAAATCAACACACATATACACTCAGAAGCATTCACTTACTCACTTCATAATACATTAACATGCCTTTGTTTTGTTGTATTTTCGATTTCGTGTTTCTCGCTCTCGAAACTTCAAATTTATAATTATATTGTATGAAGAATTTTTATTGTGACGGAAGAGATTTTCTCTTTTTTTTTTCGTTTCTTTGTCGCTACGGGTTTCTTATAACAAAAAAATAATAACGTTTCATTGTAACAGCACAGATTAATCGAAATTGTACAAGGTTATAAATTAAATTGTGGTGAGAGTGTTTCGTTGGACTTAGCAATCGTTTCAAATATTGCAGTTTTTTTTGTCTATTTCAATACACTGTGTGACAATAACAAAGACCCACTCAAAGTCAGCCATAGACCAGCACTTTCGTTTCCAAGTAAAAGTGAATTAGTTTTGTGTCGGAATAAAATTCCATTTTTTAATTACTCGATAACGGATAAATTAGCAACATAATGGATATTGACGAGAATACAGGTCAAGGGACACCGCCATCACAGCCAACTGGTGATGTTGAACAATTTCTTTTGCACCAATTTTCAAGAATGGGCACCACAGACCACGACGAATTAGTCAATCAACTACAAAAGGTTCTAGGCAACCAATTAAATTACAATACAGCCCGTTTCTTTTTGGACATGAATAATTGGTAATTATTTTTTGTGATCAAATGGTTTTTTTCTTCTTTCGGTTGTTATTGATAAGACGTTTAAAAATGTTTTTGTTTGTCATCTTGTTTGTACCTATTTAAACACGTACAAACATGTCCACATTTGAGGTTATGTGTAAATGTTTTTATTTTGCATTCTTTTTGCTGCCCTTCAAATCAATGCTCTCATTATTGTTGTGTTTATTTTTTCGTCAATCTATTTAAATGGCCAATAGTACGATTGCATTGTTTGCTTGAGGAACCAACAAAATCAATCGAATGCTTTTCGTATTTCCGCCTTTTTTGAATTGTGTTTGTTGTTCAAGGCACCGTTTTCAATATGTCTTATCTCCGTCAGCAATATTATTATCAAACATACCCACACACTTTTAGTGTGTTTTTCTTTTAATGAGCTCACTAATAAAACGTATTTCTTTAGCAAAGACATATATTCAAAATACGATCAACACCTTTGATTGTGCACTTAGGTGACACAGCAAAAATATGAATGAACGTTGATAATTTCTATAATTTGTTTGAATACATTCATTGTAATGTGATTGGAATTTGTTTACTTTTTCAGGAATCTTCAAGCGGCCGTCGGTTTCTATTTGGATTACTATTCCGGCATGAAATTGCCGTCGATGCAAATCATATCAGATGTTACGATTGGCGAGGGAGAAGCCATTACGCCGAATACACCGTAAGCATATTGGACATTTATGTGTTTATTTTTTCTTATTTCTCTTTCAATATTGATAACCTTTTGATGACTTTTTGACCAACAAACGTTCAATTTTTTTTTAGTTTTGTTCAATCGTGGAGCGTTCGCAACAACGGTGACGAGACATGGCCGCCATGTTATATAAAATGTACATCGAACGAAAATCTGCCGATTGTTCACATTGCCCCAGTAGAGTCTGGTCAATGCACTGTTATCTCAGTGTCCTTGCAAAGCCCCTCAGAACTCGGTTCCTTCCAAACCAAATGGCGCCTATTCACATCGAATGGTTCCTGCTTTGGTGGTAAGACATTTACAATAGTTTCTCTCTTCGAACAACGACCAATCTAAGATCATATCGTCTATTATTGGTGACCGTTGTGTATTTAGTTGGGTCGCTCTTTACCCAAATTCATTATTTTCTTGTTCTTCTTTGTTATCATTTTGTTACTCTTTCACAGACACAATGTGGTCGATAGTCCAAGTCACAGAAAGCGGTACACTTGCGTTAACACAACAGCTGTCCGAGCTACGAACAAATAACGGGTCTGAAATTCCAATCACCAAACCCATGGTAGAGGTAACTATTATTCACGATGAAATTCCATGGTGTATCCTTAAAAATGCTAAATGTGTCTTTTGTAATTTCTTTTGTAGGGTCCGCAATCCCAAATCGACGATTGTGATATGTGATGATAATTTTGTGCGTTGCCACCTTGTTTTTTTTTAAATGTCAACTTTATGCCTCCATTCATTCGTTATAATACTGTGTGCGAGAGAGGAATGAAATGAAATGAAATGTAATATATGCTAATGCACTATAGTTATTAAGAGAATAGATGCATTGCATCTAATAAGCAAGTTAAAATGCGAATACATTATTGAGTGTCTAGAGAGTTTGGGACGAATTTTCAAAATTCGAAATTTAAATATCGACCGAAAATTGAGTTATTTTTTTAACAGTTACATTTTGCGACCGTTATTAATCGTGGTTTTTTTGTTTCAAATATTTTTGGTGAATCATTTATTTACTTTTGAACTAATCGGCGTAGATTTTTCGATTTTTTATAGCTTTTTTGCAAATCATTATTATATTTGAAAGAAAATAGAAATTCGCCGACACATGAGCGTCATTGAATACAATGAATTAAAAAAATACAGAAAAACACATACATAAATCACAAAGTCATAAAAATCCAATGTTGCAAGTCAAAAATAGCGAGATCTTATAAATTGTTCCATTTTACAAAATTAGTTTGTAACAGACGACAGAGTTGATTATAACACATACACCCATATGCATATAATAATAATAATGGATTCGCAAATCGAATATGTCGTAAATTGAATGTATGATGAACATTTATCAATAGTTGCAATGTCAGGCATATATCAGAGAATATATTTAATTAAGTGCGCATACGAAAGAAAAGAGATTATGTCATTTTCTTTCATTATTTTTATCATGTTTTGAACAAATTGATTATCCATTTTCTTAATTACATTGAAATTAATATATGAAAACAAATGGCATTAGATTAAGATCGAAAAACATTGAAAATAGAAATTTCCATTAAAAATACGTTGCGTTAAAATGATTGATACGGTGTTTTTTTCTCTCCCCCATCTCATCCTTTGTTCGCATTAAATTGTCCTTGTTCGCGAAACTGTTTTCCGGTCACTTTACATCACCGTATTTAACATCTTGTTAACTGTGCGCACCACAACGAGGCCAAAGACGGCGAGACTAAATGTGATGAATGCAAGTACATTTGCAAATCCGTAAACGGCTAAGCTGAAATGAATGAATCAAATGAGAGAAACACAAATGGTGAAAATAAAAACAACCGTTCAACTATAGTTTTTATTCTAGATAAAATTTTATTGACATTCATCGCAATATTGTAACTTATTGAAGACATCATTTAAACTTGTTGCTCAATTGTACATTAAGTACTAAAAAGATGATTTTGCGATAAAGAAAGATAAACACAACACAAGTAAATTTTGGATATTAGCGGAATTTTTTTATCGACGTACAGCATCTTCTAATCTATATTAAACAGAACCGAATCAAATAGTATATAATTATCCTCTCCATTTAACTTAAACTTTTTAATTGATGTTTTAAATAATTCATGATTGTGCTGTTGAGGGACAAGGGAAGGGATGCGCGTGGGTTGGGAATCATATTTCATTTGCACAAGTATGTATTCAGCTTCCGTTTTTTTCGCTCTCTCTCTCCTTGTGTGCATGTTGATTGGGCCATAGTTACACCGTACAATACTTTATACACTGATCTATTGAAAATGGTTTCTCGGAGCATGAGGCATTATTAAATGGTAAAAACATGAGCATTTATAGAATGAAATTGTCTTTTACTTTCTCTCTTTCACTCACATACACACACGCGCACACAGCAAAGGGAGAGTGTGTTAATGTTCAGAGAAAATTTAAAAGTAAATTGTTGTAATTTTTTTTTTGCTTTTCGTATTAAATTATGGTGCTTATCGATCGTGGAAATTTGTTGAGGCTTAATTAAGCCTTTGCCATCGGTTTTCGTCGTTCGAGTTGGACTTGGAATCCTTCTTCACGCTTCAATATAATATCGGCTTGTAATTTGAAATCCTCCTCCTTCAAATCGGAACGAATGCGATAGTTTCGCAAAATGGTAGAAAGTAGAACCTTCAGTTTCAACATTGCATATTTACGACCTGGAAAAATAAATAAATAGCATTTAACAACCGGTAGCAACATCATCATACATCAAAAACAAAGAAGCACTTCAAATAATAAACGGCATCAGCAAGCCGAAGGAGAAGCGAAAAAAAAGGAACACTCTAATTTAAAATTCAAATGCATAATTGATGCACTGTACAGAGAAAAAGAGAGTCGGACAATCATCTCATGAATATAAGATAAAGTAGTCGTTCGCTTACCGACACAGCTTCGTGGACCAGCTGAAAATGGTATGAAGGCATAGTAGTGACGATTAGCTTGTCTTTCCGGCAAGAAATTGTCTGGATCGAATTTTGTTGGATTTGGATAAATGTTTTTGTCACGATGCAATAAGAATGTTGTGATAACAACTGTAGCACCAGCTGGAACTGTGTATTTACCGCCGGTCAATTTCAAGTTTTCTTTTAATTCGCGAGCAATGATTGGCACCGGTGGGAATAGACGTAATGTTTCCATCAAACAACGTTCCAAATATTTCATTTCGAGTGTGTCTTGGAATGTGGCCGGACGATCTGAATCGCCGAAAATGTCATTAAGCTCTTGAACAACTTTCTCTTGAATATCCTGGTGAATGCCCATCAACGATAAGAAGAATGAACTTGCAGCGGCCGTTGTATCGTGTCCTTCAAACATAATTGTATCGACCTGCAAAAATAAAATAAAAAATGCTTCTTAGTACAATTGATTTGCGATAGAAATTTTAGCGATATCTACTTGTTCTTTAATTTCCTTATCGGTGATAAGGGCTCCATTTTGTGCACTTTCCAACAATAAATCCAAGAATGCCAAACGCTTCTTTTCGCCAACATCATCGGCTTCGTTATCAACGTCCAAATCGTCTTTCAATCCGGATGACTGTCCAAATGATAATCCTTCAACGGTTGTTGTTGACCGGATCTCTTCTAAACCAGTGCCAAAACCTTTGGTATTGATCTCAGTACGGGCCAATGAACCGCGGGCACCCTGTTTGAATGCGTTCTTCTTGTTTCGAATAACTTTCATGGTGAGACCGTGAATGGTGCCGAGTAATTTGATTTGTTGTTTAGCCAAATTGGTCAAATTGAAAATCCAGTTAGCTCTCAGCCACAAGCTACGATGGCGAGCGTGTAAAATGTCGCACATTTTCATAACAGCCACTGGAAAATAAATTGAATCAACACCCCATAAAAAAAGGGTTTATAATTTCATTTATAGCAACTGAAAATGATCGTAATTAAATTGTGAAAACATACTTGCATAGTCGTATCCCGATTGACCTTGAGTCTTTTTCGATACACCCATAGCGGTTTCTGTTTTAGGGAAAAATGAAAAAACATCATCATCAAATCCAAAGTTTTAATGTGCTAAATAAATTTTAGTATCGGTGCAAAATTGATTGATTGATTGGTTTGCCCCGATTTGATGCGATGTGTCGTTCGCAGTTCATCCAATAAAAAAAAATGTAGTAAAATTGGTAATGAATATGAGCAAATTGCTAAATCACATTAAAATAAAAGCAAACAGTGCGGCGCGTTGAAATGTTTAGCAAGAGTGTTTGGTTTGCCTTCAGTGAATTCACCTTATCAGTCAGCACTAGTGGTTATTAGACTCATAAAAACAACCGATGTATATACACACCACATAACAAATCGCACACATGTTTACGCTAATATATGTATAAACACAGTTTTTCTTTTCTATTTCTTCTTCGTCTCGTTTTTTTGCAATCGCACCAAATTATGTGAACAGTAGCGTTTTAAGTTATTATATAATATTGGTATTGGATTTGTTCATATTTTTTTTCTCTCTCTCTCTCTCTCTCTGCATACGAGCCATTCAATTCAAACAAGCTGGCATAAGCAATGGATGGTGCCTCTGCATGAATACATGACCGTTGAAATATAAGCCGAACAACCGAAATAAAGTTGCAAAGCAACCAGACAACAACAACAACACACACACAAAGGCGCGCGCGTGAGATGTTAGAAAACCACTTTCTCTGCTAGACTATAGAGAATGTGAGATAATACCTTTGATCGATTTATATATTTTTTCATCATCGCAGTTTTTTTTTCTTTTAAATTCTACTGCTGTATGCATTTTCGTTATACAATTGAAGTTGAAGAGACAGCCTACGATACGTAGAGTAATGAATTGGTTCACATAAATATATTATTAATATGTGTAAATTTCGTACAATTTGTTTTATGCTGCTCTGTTTGGTTTTTAGTGACTCCGCTATTCATTTATTAATTTTGCTTTTTGCAACTTTCGAGTAACAAATAAAAAGCAAAAATGAGGCAATATTGCAATTATGCATTGATGCCGCCGTCGTTGTTGTTGTTGTTTTCGAAGTCGTCGCCGTCGTCGTCGTCATCGAAGTCATGAAGCAATAATTTTGCTGCATTAATGTTTCTATCAAATGCGTTTGCTGTCGTCAGCAATGAAATTCAAACAAACCAGAAATGAGAGGTTTGCATTCGATCGAACAGTCGTGTGCGATAGGCGGTTATATGGTGAAAGGAATAACGAATGATATCATAAACGATTAAATATTCTTTTTTAAAAAAGAAGTATATATTATCCCAATTTACATACGGAGATCAACACTTAGCACATTTTCCATATATTTGAATAGACGGAATGCATTACGTTGCATTGAATTCAGAATAAGGAGTTAACTGAAATGACAAGTGAAATAACTTGTTTGAAAAGATTATTTATGATTCAGTCACTCATCATGTGCGTAATTTTGTGCGATAGAGAGAATTGGTGTCGTTTCAATTTTCATCTATTTATAAAAATAAATATTCATCGATTCTAAAACCGGTGATATGCTTCACACCAATGCAGACAATACTTCAGTATTCCGTATTAAATACTATAAAATTAATTCGATGTGCATACGCAAACAAAGAAAATTGTAGAAACGATACTTAAAATGGAGAATATTCGAAAATTCGAGAAAACTTGGAAACAATTCGAATTTTACGAGCCACTATTTTGTTGAATTGTGTTCATGGCATAGACACACAGTTGATTAGATAATTGGCAAGCATTGCAGATACTTTTATGCAATGTTCTCGTTAGTTAGCGGCAGCCAGCATATGCACTATTAGCACTACAATTCACTTTTTCTATGTGATAGAGGCAAAAAAAGACCGAAACATACGCCATATGTGCATTTCGACTTGCACTCCAGTTCGGTGCGATCAAATGTGTTTTTCTTCTTGTAAAACACGTCATTTACACATGGAGAGTGAAAACCGTATGTTTGAAGTTATTCAATCATTTTCAGAGAAACAGAGTGGGAAGATGGCGACATTTGGGGAATGCATCAACTAAATTTATAGTGTACGTGCGGATTGATGGTAGCGCACACGGACCAACACATTTCAATAAATGTCGCTCCATTCGCACTCGGTTTGTGATTTGATTTGATTTTTGTTTTCGGTGCCAGTAAGTATTCGAAAACCAGTAAGCAGCCGCAAACGTGAAGAATGTTAGATAATAGACCAAGTACACCGAGAAGGTATAAAATCCAACATGACTGACTGGTGCGATTAACACTGATAGTACAAATCATAACAGACCTCGTTTTATTAACTGCGTCATCAATTCTCAGGAAAGTTGAGTAAAACCACAGAAGATATAAACGTTTTGGGAATTGCACCCAGTTAATCGTCGATGGAATTGTGAATGAATGAATTGTGTATCGTACACCAATTTGTCTTTGAACGAAACTGGTGAGGCATGTGGAAAATTACCAAAAGTATTTTTGCTTACAGCAACACAGTCAAGTTAAACAACTTTTCTCCCCAAAAAAAAAGTGTGTGTGTGTGCGTTACTCAATCAATTTTCTTGTAATAAATGATTGAATTTCATAAACATTCAGGCAAAAATTCATGAAACAGCCAAAAAAAGTTTAGCTGTCATCACACAAAGGGCAAACAATAAAGGAGTTAAATTTACACGTCGCGAATTTTTTTTTATATCATCATTTTGTGCTACTGCTTTTACAAAGTCCCTCTCAAAGTGAAATACGCGACAAGCGGAAGGCGAAAATCGCAACATAATTATGCATCACCGCAGGAGACAAAACGATTCTTAAGTTAACGGAAGGAAGTGAATGAAATCGAAATTTTGTAAGATGGTTATAAATGGTGAATGTGATAAATGTGGAAAAGCGCATAAAATTTTCTTACCTAATAGAATTTCAACGGTTGCTTCGCTCATGTAGTCGTGAGCATCGAATGTTTTTCCAAGTTCCAAATCCAATTTTCTAATGACTTGACGCGAATTTTCATTGAATAAGTCGATGAAACCTTTCAAAACGTTTAAATGGAATGTCGGTGCAATCAATTTTCGGTGTGAACGCCATTTATGACCTGATCGACGGGAAGAGAGACCACAACAACACATAAATATACAGACTAAATTACAATAAATCACAAAATTGAACACAGAATATGAAGACGAAATGAAAAATTGGCGTCCCTCCACTAAACGGCATTGTATGGATGCGTAATAGCATTTACAATTCATCTGAACAGCGTACGCGAACGCAATAGTAATACAATACATAACTTACCTGTACTGATGAGAAGACCGTCACCCAACCATGGTTTGAAAAAATCGTATTCGGCCGATTTATCAATGTACACATGACTGCTGAGAATCAATTCAACATCAGCCGGATTAAACAGGAACACAATCAATTTTGGTCCGATCCACAATTTGCACACCGAATCGAAATCGTACATAGCGCTCTTCTCCAAAATGGTCCGGAAAACGTCTGACATAGAAAACGAGCGTATGAATTAAAAAATATGAAAAAAAAAAACAACACCATCCAGCATTGGCATCGCAACTCAATAGTTGCGAAGCACACTCTTACACAACTCAACATGAGAGATGTACATTTTCATTCTTAATTCACATTCAGTTGACACAGCCACAATCACATTCACTCGTACAAAGTATGTAAAATAATAAAAAACGATACTCATACTTTCATCTCGGTAACTGAATTCTCGGTTCATGCCCGTGCGCGGCGCAAACGAAGCAAGCGTGCATAGCAAATATTTATTTGAATAAAACGTAATTGAAAAATATGAACAAAAAACGGGAAGTAAAGGCTATTTGCTTGATTAACAGCATAAATGGTTTATGTGAGAATTTTGTTTGATTAGCGGTTCGGTGATTTTACGCAGAGTGTACTTCGTCGCTTTGATTTGATTCAAAAATAGAATATATAACGTGAACGGATCACACAATATATGCCTTGATTCCGTTTAACAAATCGCCGTTCGTTCAATATAGACCGTATATAGACCGTATATATATAATGCTTGAAAAGCGGATGGTCGTTTGTCCGGTGACCTTTGCTTCGTAGAAGGAAAAATGAATTCCGCCTTGCGAATAAAGCAAAACTATGAACATCAATTGCACTTTCTAATGGCAATATCAAAAGTGAACTTTTCTGTTAATAAAGTACAAAAAAGGCATTGAATTCAAAAGCAGCACTGCATTGGTCTTTTTTTCTTTATTTTTTCTGGAACTATTCAACCCTTCCAATAAAAAAAACTACTGCATAACAGAACATTTAAAATTGATTCAATTAAAAACTATTATTTTTCACGGACGACTTACTTTGCGACTCTTTAAATTCTCTTTTGCTCTCAAACTCTCATAAAGAAACAAGCACACTTCATTTTTTTTTTGTTTGTGAAAAAAAAGCATACTCACTGTGCGATGATCCCATTAAATCGAATAAATTGCCAATAACCGGCAAACCAGGCGGCCCAGGAATATTTTCGGCGTGTTTGTTCAAATTGCGACGAGATAATTTGAAGTAAATCAACCAAAGCACAAACAGTGGCACTAGTAAAAAGTAGAACATTTGGCTGGCTGCCATTGTATTTGCCGTCGATCCCCAATCCGATGCTACACGTCCTGCCATTCTTCGTCGATTTTTTTTTTATTATAATTTTATTAAATTTATTTTATTTGACTTTTGATGGAAGTTCGATTTTATTTTCCGTAACAAAATCGTTTTCGTTTGATTTTTTTTCGCCGTTTGAAATTGAACCAAAACGACGACGATCAAAAAAGTATAATAATATCCTTAAAATGCGGGAGCTCTTTAAATCGTTTATTTCTTCTTCACTGATTGTGAACAACGAATGATTTACTATTGCAATTTTTTTTGATAATCGAAATTTGTTTCGTTTTTTTTTTTCGTTTTTAATTTAAGTAAAAGTGACGATTCCACCGAATAATCGTCAGAATAACTCGTTCAAAAAAAAAAACACAAATGATCAACTATCAGCTTTGAGTGCTTCGCGCGCGCGCCGTTTACTGTACTCACTTAAAACTAAATGGATGATTGCACTCACCACTAACTTATATAGTTTATGTCCACCATAAATTACACAGCCCACTAATACGTGCAAATCAGTCAACAACGGTCGCAAAAATAGAAGTTATGAATCGAAATATGTGTATGACGCATGTAACCACTGGTACTTGTTTAATACACTTTGATATCCAGTATATGCATGCACATGCACACACACACTATCGCAAACACAATCACATCGCTAGCGAAAATAAGACCCAATGCAAAGTAATTGAAGTTAAGTCAGTAGTATTTGATTTCGGCGAGCTAATTTTTTTCGAAAAAAAAAAACGAGAAGTAGAAAAAATAGAAAAAGAAACTAATACCAATGAATAGTCGCTTATCCAACGTCATACACTGACGGAATATTTGGTGGTACAATAATTTCATGTCGAGCTTATCTTAGATAAGAGGGAGCTTTTAGTTTCGTTACATATGGAATCAGATAATTGGCATGTTACGTTTGCTACTCTACAAATGCTTCGTTTTGCACTGTAGTTATTATGCTAAAGTGTGCATTGCACTGCTTAATTTTCGATACTGCATTCACATCGTTTTGATAAACTAATTTTCATGAAGGTTTTCATTCAACTCTTTGCCATGCATTCAATGTATTCAGTGGGAAGACTCTCCGTCTTCCGAACAAAAAGACATCAATGAATTCAGACTCCGAATGCCATCAATGAATTACACAATCATCGAAATTTATATCAGAAGCGAATTTAGTTATTCACTTGCTCGTTTGCATGCTTATCTAGCTCCCAGTCAACTCAGTCAATCATACGCACATAAACCATGTTTAATTTCAATTTTTATGCATCATTCGACATACGAATTTCACACTGTAAATTCAGTTTTAACGATGTTTGAAGTTTACCAATTCAGTGTAACCACTTCTGAATCCGACCAAACAATCAGTCAAACCCATAATTATTAAATTGATGTTTGATCTGACAAAATTTAAAGGCTAACATCTTACACCGCGAAATACGACTTTCGATTCAAACATTTTCTTATTATTTTCCGGCTATCGATGCCAATTCCCATGTGGCTTTTGTTTGCTTTTGAAATGGCATGCATACTATTTCGTATAATGTACGACAAACATAATATCAATTGAAACGTACATGGAAATCTTGTTCATTTTATTGTGCTCAGTTAATTGACATATCAATGAATATCAAAGAGTTTGCCTGTTAAAATATTTTGTATCACATTCACATGATCATGAGTAGTGATACTACTCATCGCTTGGCTACGTGACGTTGGTTGCCAACAATGAAAATACATGTTTAATATCAAAATTTCGATATTCATTTACGCTATTTTCATACAGTGAAATTATCTAATTTCGGAAGATTAATTTGGAAAAATGAATTTATTTCGTGTTCAAACCAGGGCGGAAAATAACCGGATCTTCTGCCGGTTTTCGAATCTTCTGAATTTAAAAATCTTCTGAAAAAGTGCTGCTCTGATTCGAAATTTCGGATCCTCGTAAAAATGCTTCTCTGAAATTAATATATGTTTTCACTTTTCAGTTCGAACAAATCAATGTTTTTAAACATTTTAACATTGATATTTTTCCTAATTGATTTGAAATGTTATTCCTCTTTTATGTTCCACATATTTTATTGAAAATATGCTGTTCGTTTAAAAAAGCCAAATTTGTTCATTTTATTTGCATAGAAACACTTCAAACAATGTACACCACTCATTTAGGATTCCAACGCCATAATATTCGGTGCTATAAAATTCGCAAAAACGTGTATAATTATTTAAATTATTTTGAGTCATATTACTTTCTTAAATAAGAAATATATTGCGCCGAAGAAAATATAAGTCAAATATATCTTTTATAAATCATTTACAACATCGATGTGTAACTTTGATTTGGGTATTTATTCCTTGTAAAAAAGCCCATACAAAATATTATGTACTTTTCCACAATTTAGCGAAATGATAAAAACATCTTCTGTCAAAAGTATACATACAAAAAGTCAATAGACTGGAATTCCATAAATAATAATTTGTTTTTATTATATGTATAAAAATAACAGTCATTGAATAAACATAATATTATATTGTGGTTGTTTTCTTGGCAAAAATGTTTGTAATTATCTATCATTAAAATAAAAATAATATCGATTAACGTGATCATACTAGTTCTGGAAGTATTTCCTTCCACGAACGATTTGCAGTCACAAATTGTTGATCGCGTCAGAAAAAACGAAGGATTTTCCAATATTATCATTTTCGACGTAGGTTCAGTCTGACTGAAATATTTTTACAAACAATATTCAGAAAACAATGAGCTAATTTAATTGAAGATGCAAATGGAAAGAGAACAATCGAAATTCGATTATCATTCGAAACGTTTGTTCCGCTTAATTTAAAATAAATAAACGAAATTTATATTCCATTGATAGCTCAAAACAGAGAGACAGCGTAAAACGCAAACAATTTTGCATTTTTCTAATAGAGAAAATATTTTTTTTTGTTCGAAAGCTGTACATTTTTTTTTGCTGAGAGAGAGAGAGAGAGAGATTATTCTTTTTATTTTGCAAAGCATTTTATGTCTCTAGTCTCTTTTTTTAATGATATGCGCGCTATTTTGAAAGCATACAGATCTAGCCCGGGTTTTTTTTATTCTCACCCGCAACGTAGCGAAGAGAGTTTTAACGCACGTCATTTCATTTAGAATGGGGCAATAACTTCTCAAATAGCTGCCAGCCATAAAAATCATCGGATTACGATATAAAATGTGAACAGTTGATATGTTTATTTTAACGTGAACACACTGATGCCATGGCATATTGTATATGTGTGCGGTAAGTGTAGTTAGTATATTTCCAACGCTGTATTTTCATTGCTCTAACAATATGGTGAAAAATTATAACAGGGGAGAGATAAGATGAAAAGAGATCGGATTCAATTGCATTACGTACAAACAACAAATTAAAATAATAATTCCAGGAATACAATTTACCACAAATGCGCATCGCAATCAATAAAATCAAAGTTACAAATAAAATGGCAATATTTATACTTTGAATAGATAGTGGTAGCTTGGCAATGAACCCGGTTGGGCGTAAGTTCAAATTAAAAAATCAAGACGTTTCGAGTGTAAATTTTGATTTAAGGAATTAAACAAGTCTCGATTCGATTTGAACGCTTAATTAATTATCACTGAAGATGTGTTTAGTCGTTTGTGTTGACGTATCGAATTTTAATTGTAAATTGTGCGTTCCAAATAATCGATTGACATTCACTCAAATTGAACTCATTTCGATAAATAATAAGCGCTTGTTATATATTCATTATCGAAAATTGTATTGAATTGAATTTTTTTGCATTCAGAATGGACATTTTTGTTAAACGGTCAAGACGTTGTGTCGATTGGTAATATTATTGGCTTCCCTTTTATTGGCTTGTGCAATCATTTAATAAATTTGCTGTGCGCTCTTATTTATTCGAATGTCAAAATGTGGGTTAGAAATACGCTCCTGAAAACTGTGACGAAGTAATAATTTACAAGAAATTCATTGTCATTCGTAATGAGTGACAGAATGGAAAAAGTAGAAGAAAAAACAATAAGCAGCCTATATTTTCAAATACGCAAATTCATTGGCAAAGTTTATGCGACCTGATTTTTAATGTTTTTTTATTGTTTTATTTTCCATTTGTTTAATCGAACATTGCGCTCAATTGAATCGAACGTATTTGTTCGACTTTTCCGAAACTATTTCCGATGATTTTCGTTTGGGATTTTCCGGCGATTTAATCGGTATAAATTATGGAGTGGAACTCGATTCAATGTAAAAAAAATTTAGTCTGAAGTATGTTGTACAATCGAATGTTTGAATAAATTGATTTTTTTTTTGCCCAACAGAGTAAGGGTACAAATAAATTGTAATGCGGCTATGAAACGAATGAGAAAAATCTGTTGCAAAGTAAACGATATGGTCAATATTTCCTTAAAAATTAGCCCAATTCGTTTATTTATATTATAAATTTATATCAACAACTGGAGCTGTTTTAGCATTTTAATTTCGAAGCTCATAGTTTAATTCTTGTTATCGTTTGTTTTTCTTGTCCAAATATGTGCAGCAAATAGAGAGAGAGACACACAGATCAATATTGAATCCAATGCGAAGTGGATTTAAATAGGTAATGTTTCAATGGAAAAGCAAATATTATGCTCTACTACTATTTTCATGTGTATACACTGTACATATATGTACCAAATAAAATGTCTTTAGTGCTCAAATTTGGGTCTTTCCACTTGAGTTTGCTAAAAGCAAATTTTGCGAATGTGAACATGAGATGTACATCTCGATGCTCCATTCAAACATAGATATAACATTAGCGTTCTGTATGTGTCCATTTAATGTTTTTGGTTTGTTTGCGAGACTGCGTGCGATGCACTGCCGGAAACAGCAATGTTTCAATGTTATCACAAGTGGTGGGTTATGCTTTGTAATTTGTTCGTGCTGGCTTGAATAATATAACATATATCGTCAAGGCATTAAATTTCTAAATGTAATTTCCGTGCAATATTGAGAAATATTTGTGAATTTGTGAATATATACAAATACACTATATGTGTGATTCATTTGAGCCTAATAACAACTTATAATTACTAAATACCACAAAACTTTGAATTAAAATGCATTTGGGATGCTTTTTGGTGAGGTATTTTATTTAATTGAATGACGATTACATTGAATACATGTAGTAAATATGCTCTGTGCAGTTTTCTCTCTTGTGACACATAAATCTCTTTTGCATGCGAAATGGATGAGAGAGACAGTACGCCAAGGAGTGTACGAATATTCGTGTTTGATGAGTGAAAGGTAAAATCGATAGAGGTCAAAAACATTTGCGCTGCAGTTTTTCGGTTGGCACATTTTATGGAGCAACAATTTTACTGCATTTACAAATCGGTTTGTTTTGTGTCGCTTTTATTGCTCGAAATTACACTTTTACCAAATTAGTCAATTTGATGATTGAGTTGCTGCATCGAATTATCAACTCAACATTTTCAGAATATGCAAATAATTGCAATTGACATGATTAACTGACTGTTGTGCATTTAATTAAATTAAATTTGATTTGTGCTATCATTGGAGTTGGTTATGTGATTTTTGAAAACAATCATAATATAATAAACCAACCAGAGCAAATAAACTGTGAAAGCCGGTCTTGGAACAAAAACACTGGATAAAAACATCGAAAATAACTGGCTTCTCGGAATAAATTTGTGGCGGAAACGTAGACAGATGGAATTTTAAAAGAAGACAAATACGTAAATATCAAACCAGATATTTCACTTGAATCCATCAACATGCTTATGGATTCAAATAGATATATGCACACACAAAAACACATTGTGTACGCGCAAGATAGAGACACCACACGGAACGAAGAAATTTTGTAGAACAAAAAGCGCTAACTGAAAATAAATACATACCAGAAACGACGTACATTCAATTCCGTCACGATAATGGTAATCATGACGTGTACGCCGAATGGAAAATATGTACGTACATGCACATAATAGAAGGAGGAAAGGAAAAAAACGCACCCACACAGACATAAATACACACACATTTTGTCTAGGCAATATTAACGACTGCAAGTTTTATTCATACAACGATACATATTGTTCAAATCGAGTTAAGCCGAGACATGAAGCGTTAAAATATAATTGAAATCAATTAGAAACAGATCCAACAATTATAATAGGTGATTGAATCGATTTATTCTCAGTGTACAACATTAAAACAGATAAACATTTGCCTATAAAATGTTAGATAGAACTACTATATAAACCCAACTATATAAATGGCAATTTATTGCGGCTGACCGACTTTGGCATATGTAAATTGTGAAATGAATTTATGAATAATGCTTAAGTTTTAACACGTGTTACGGACAATGTATGTATATATAAAAAAAAAGTTTGATACCCGTTCAAACAGAAACCAAATATATGAAACTATCCTCATAAAATAGAAATGCTGAATGCGTATTGTAATGTGTTTGTTTCACTTCTTTTTGTGTGTTTCAAAATCTTTTCATAAGTTGATTCATTTCATTTGATCATTAATGGTTTTTGTGCTGTATTCGTTTTTTGTTTGCGGCATCTACACCGAATTCCAAATGCGTCATTTATAAATAGCGCTTTCGTAGCGCATTTCAAGTACGGCTTCTTGTAAACTTGTATAGATTTTCTATTTAATAGTAATATCGTGTGTGTGTGTGTGTTTTTGACATTTTTACTTTGTATGGCACACGTTTTTAAACGGACGACTCATAGATAACTATTTGAATAATATTGTGTTTATTTTTGATTTGTGATTTTTTCACTTCTTCCATGATCACGCCAGCCAAGGCTGCAATTTCTTGGTCATCGACGTCATCTCTTCCTTTGTCTGAAATTGCTCCGCGTCGCGAAACCTGTTTAAATATTATGATAATTTTTTGCATTTAGCACGTCGACTGATAGATAGATAAATAGATAATGTTATATATGGTGAAAAGGAGAGAGGGTCAGTGAATTAATAACTAAATGAAATCAATGAACGAATAAATATAATTGAAGAAAAAAACAACTGAATATGCGCAATTGCGCATGCATTACGAACTAAATAGAGGAATTTTAATTTGCAATTTTATCGCAGTATGAACAGTATGGACGTTTTATGAACATTTTATTTTATATGAAAATTTTTCGTTTTAAAAATTAGATGAAGTTCACAACGTTTTGCTATAGATTTTATCATCATCGATCGAATAGAACAGAAAATGGAACATCGCTTGAAACACAATCTAAAGATTGATGCGATGAGTTTCATGCTGAAAAAAAAAATTGAATAAAAAACTTGAAGAAGAGAAAGAATAAGTTGAAACGACTGCTTCAAGTTCTAAGGAGAGAGAAAATCGTGATAAGACAGAAAAATTACTTTACTTGATTACAGTCCAGAAAACGTGTTGCGTAAAAAAAACTATTTTATAATTGTTCTTCCCCTTTTTTTATAATTGTTCCCCAAAGTCTCAATGGAGGGATTTTATGGCGATTTTGAAATGGTGACATTAATGACACGATAGTTAACTAGGAGATAAATCGAGAAACATTCAATGGGAAATTTAAATGGCTCCATTTAAATTGCTGGCAAATAAGTAGTACAGAATCACGGAAACATATGGACGCAATGAATTTTCTGTTCCGCCAATGGAGTACATTCAAGAGCAGTCAATAAAGCAGCATTTAAACAATTACTCATGAAGCATTTCGGTGACATTTCAACGTTGAATTTAGTTAAAGAGAATAGAATAAATTAGTTGAAAGAAGTAAGAATAGTAAAAGAACAATATAAAATAGTCAAGACATGAAAAATTAAATCGATGCAAACGCGCCCACAAATAATGTATAAAAGGAAATTCATAATCAATGATGATTGTTTTATGGCCGAATTTCAGCCGCCGAACCAAATATGATTTTATATCGATAAATTCCATTTTTATAAGCTCCATCTCCAAAAAAACATTGAAAGAATTTTACATATCTCAATTCAAACAAATGCCATTCAGTCAATATTTTTTTGAATGTCAAAGCAGTCTCTTAATAAATCACAATCATAGATTTTTTTTTTCTTCAAGCTGTGTGTGTGGCTACCTATATCACTGCGTAATCAGTGCCAAGTCATAGTCATTTAATAAATTTACCGTGAGTATGCGTTTAATATCGTTCTGTAGGGCCGATACGTCGCCGCCCAATTGCATGCGTCGAAGCGTATCCGCTAAGGACATCTCCTGTATTTTTTTCCAACTCTCATTGTATTGTCTCCGCACTATTTCAAGTATACATGAAAAAAAAGTTCAACAAAGTAACCGAATCAAAGAGAAAAAAATGGATGTATTCAAATGTTCAATAATAAAACTTAAAGAAAATTGTAATTCAATGTTATTGGACTTGACAAGAGTTTATATTCAAAGACAGTAGTTTATTTTTAGAATACGAACCCAGTTCAATAATAGTACTAGTCAACGCCAAACCCAAGAGAATGTACAAAGTACAAAGCAGCATATAATCGGCTTTTTCTACAAGTGAAATATGGAGCACATTAAAAAATCAGCTTTGAAGTTTTTTACAAGGCAATTAAATGTTTTACGCTTCCTTATATCTACTGTGTTCAGTGGGTGAATACAAACTATGTGCAAAAGTGCTCAGGACTTTGATTGTGTGTTTTATGTCATTTAGTTGATATTTGCAGCGAAAGTTCGTAATGACCCTTTACATATTACAGTATGTAATCATTTTTCTGATAAAGCTTGTTTTTTTTTCTCTATATATTTTGTCAGCACTTACGAGGCACCAGATCGCCCAATCCAATCGTTGTCATCGTTATGAAGCAAAAGTAAAACCCTTCGAAAAATCCCCATTTCTCTTCCCACATTTGCAGCATTAGAGCGCCGCATGCCAAATAAAAGCCCAAGAAGAATACCGAAGCCAATGCATACAACCATTTTTTGTCCGACGACGTTGAATCCGTATCGACTTTAAAGCATTCTACGATATGATGAGAACAGAGCATGCAAAAAGACATTACATGAGTGAAGAGTTTGTGTTTTTAATCCGGACTTTTGAATGTTTTGCCGGGTTTTGATATTGTGTGGCAAAGCCATTTGTGGTAATGATTGAAATTTCAACAATGCGCTAATGACAGTAGCATTTGACAATTATTTATTTATATATTATGATAAGCTTACATTTGTGGTAATGGCATTGGCAATTGTTGACGGGTTACAGCGAAAATCATTGTGGTTAAATTATATTCCCATGTCGATTAGCCGAGAGATAAAAATGTGATGTTTTAGATGATGGAGCGAAAAGCCAAACGAAAATTGATTTTAATTAGTCAGTTCGTTAAATTTCGATTAATTTTGTTTAGCGATGCGTTGTCGTTTTTGGTTGTCGGATTCAATTTATTTCGTTTTTTTTCATGAAATTCATGACGACAGATGATGAGATTTAATAAATGTGCGTATGTAACGAAACCATTACATTAACGAAACGAATACCAAAGTGTGGTAAACCGAATTGGTCGTTCGAATAAGGAAAACCATTTGATGTAATAAGAAAACATGGAAAAGGTTAGCGGTCATAAAATGCAAAGAAAGGGAATTCAAAACGACACACAAAATATTGCAAGGTGAACACCAAAGACTTACTGGTGAGTGATGGTAGTTTTTTTCCAAGGGCCGATACAGCTGTAGCAAAAACTCGACCCAAGTCGGCGATAACGGTGAGTGTAAATGGTATTCCGATTAATGCGAATAACATACAGAATCCTCTGCCACTGGTTGTAGTTGGATACAAGTTTCCGTACCCTGTTTGAAAAAATAACAATGCCATACACTGTGAATGAATACAATAGAAAACATGACACAGATTGTATGAAATACTATCGAAAAAAATCTAACGAAACTAATAGAGCCGCAAAAACAATGGCCAACACGTCAATTGCATAATACATGCACGCAGCGAGATTTTATTTCTATAAATATGGATTTTCCGCCAATCTAGATAAATGTCTAATTAATTGGATTGTTGGATTGGAAACGCAACATTTTTTCTCTCCTCACATTTGATCAGAATTATTTGATTTCGTGAAATGTAAAGCAAATTTCACATTGACACAAACACTCACGAAAAACCAAATGCATTGTGATCATGATTGTAGTGAACCGGTTTTTGAAGTCACATTACAAATCTGTGCACGCATCACAAACGATGAATTGTGCTATTTTTGTAGATGTTGATGTGTCTATAATTAGTAAAACTCATTTTACCTATTGTCGTTAGAATGGTCGATGAGAAGAATATCGCCTGTACAATAGTCCATTTTTGTGTATAGGGAAGTGTCTCATTACTGCCGAGTGTTACTCCTCCCTGTACTGCATCTTGTGCTACCTAATGTGAGATGTGCAAAATTATTTTTATGCCTTTGTCTGGCGACCGCTTCAAATGAACTCGACTGCAGTCGGTTCGAGTGAAAAATGCAAACAATTCAAACAATTCGCTAAACGTTATGTTATAACTAATGATTTGCAATTATTTCGAAATATGTACAATGTTGGGGTATTGTTTGTGAATTTCGGAAACTAGAATTGTTTGCATTCTATTTCTCTTTATATTACTCTTTCATATTTTTCCAAATGATACGTTATCACACGATTTAGATTTCGATTTCGTAAATCGGTCATGTTTGCCAGACTCGTTAGATTGCCGATCAAGTAATCACGTTCCATTATTACATTCGTATGTAATTTGTGTGCCCGGTCTTCTTCGGCTGGTGCTTCAAGCGAACGAAAAATCTGGAAGAGGATTTATTCAAATGGCATACAGAAACAATGAAAATACAATAATGTCGATATTTTCATCTAATGACATTGACACTATTGGAATGCAAGCGACGGTCACTGGCCAAACAAAACTGTTATTTAACAAACATGGATAAAAATGTTAAGTTTTTTTTTTGTGATTGCCATTGTCGTTCGGTGTGTCGTGTTAATAATGGTGGGGAGGTGATGACGTATCAATATAAGAGGCGAACGTGCTAATTTGAGTGTAATTGAATTTGCTTAAACGTAACGATGTAAACAATGAAGTGAACAGTTGTTGTTTTTTTTTTGTTTAGATGTGAAACATGTCCAAAAGAAAAATACATGTATTTCCCATGATAATTACATTTTAGGAACACCAAAAACAATGTGTGTAATTTTCCATTTGAACGAATTTGCTCGACAACGCGTTTTACACTTGTATTATCATTTGTTTAACGTGTTTTTTTTTAGTAAAACATATAATCTTTGGGTCGTCTTTATGACGTACCACTCAAAATGAGTACATAGCAGTGTGCCAGCACCGCAGCCGTCAACTCAAAGAGGAAATTCGATATTTTCATCCCAAAGCGATTTCACGACGAAGCTTTACCGCCCTTTTATTTGTGGCCATACGAATTATGTTCACTTTCGTTTGGTATCGTTTACTCCTTTTTTTCGGTTGCTGTTTGATTACTATCTGGATCGTGGTAGTGATAAAAGAGTGAAACCCAAGCATTCAATGCTCGTTGAAAATAAAGCAGCGCAGTGTATATTTAGAATGAAATAACGTATAAATGCAGCCAAAGCGTCAAAGGAAATTCATGTAATATCATGGAAAATGATGGGAAGTTGAAAGTGCCCATCTTATCTTTTTCAATATTCGCTTATCGTTTACTATTTTTTCTCTTGCGCCCGTTTCAGTATTGTGTTCATTCATTATTCTCGACGATGATTGCCAAACATACATACAGAGAAAAAAAAAGAAACTTATTTTCCAGAACGCCATCTTTATATTTATGAAAACGGTGATGATATTGCAAAAAGACCACTTTTCACTTCACCGTGTTCTGAAGTAGAAGCAAAGGAGAAAAGAATTTCAATGTAAAGAATATTGATTTTTTTTCTTTCAATGAAGTTCAGAGTTTGTCAGGAAACTCATCGACGTTATTGAATTAATTAGAGTCTAATTTGGAGATGGCATAGTTTTTGGCGTGAAAATATTTCCCCATTCCCATACATGCCCGACTCATTCGAATGCTGAGTATTCTTATCTGAGATATAAAAAAAACAATGTGATAACAATCGGGGCGAAACGAGTCAAACAATTTGATGAATCCAATTTGGAGAAATACGTAATAATATCGGGCTATTTACACACCGTAAGTGAGAAAAAATTCGTATCTGATATAAAATATTATATGGTCAAATCAAAAATGGCATACCGAAAAAGAGTGTTGCATGAAATGAACACCGAAAATTCCGAAAAGTAACAATGAAAACAAGAAAAATGTCGAAAAAATCGTTGAACTGAAATTGTTTTTATTATTGATTTACCATTGGTTGTCCTTACTCAGTTTGGTCGTGTGTTTTTTTTTTCGTGCTCATTCACGTATGCTGAAGTGCGAGTATTATCACTTTCAGCAATGTGACTCCAATGTATATTCCCAATTGTCTGAGTGAGTGAGTGAGTGTGTGTCATGTCGAATGAGATTTTGTTTTTCTATTGTTTTCTTCAAGCTTTAGTTGCTTTCATTCTTATAACGTTTTTTTTGTCTCTTTTTCTCGTCAAAGTTTTATGAGCAACATCGCCCCAATCCGTATTTCGAATGCAAGCTTATGAAAAGTACTGTACGTGCGCTTTTTGCTTTAGAGCATCTATCTACGTGTGTATTGTGCTCGAAAATTGAATATATTTCGTAACTGTTAACTTTTGTTGTTTTTATATTGTTTTTGTTTCGTGAATAGAAAAAGTTTTTCATGCCATGTTTCGATTTTGCTTTTTCATCAGTCCATCTATTGGTATGGCATTCACGGTGACATGCTACCATTCATTTCATTAAACATAATTATGCCATTGAAATGTCAAACATACTGGTTAATACCCGCAGACCGAGCGAATAAATATTTTCTTCTCTTTCTCGTTTTCTCTTTAACAATTTATACCATAAACATAATGCTCTTACTTGGTCTAGTCACAATTGCATAACAACAATATAATCTCATCGATTACTTCGGCATGTATAAGCAAATCATGCTCGTACCAATGCGGACGACCGCACACCCAAACACAAAATAAAACAAAGCGACAAATAAATCAACATCCAAAAAGAATAATACAGAAACAAACAGGTGGAGAGTAAAAAAGGTAACACATTGTCTGTTGATGACAATGAAAACGTTCATCTGTGAAACATGAATAAAAACTGGAGCAGGCTCAAAGACAAAAATCGTGTGTAAAAATACAAGTAGTTACAAATAAGAGAATACAATTTAATCCGTTCCGGGAATACTTTCAATGTTTATCATTATCTCCATCTTCTTTTCGCTCGGCTTTTTTGATTCATCACCAAAGCAATATGAGATGTGAAAAAGAATGCAGCATACATCTATGATGCTTGAAACCCTTGTGAAAATAGGTCCAAAGATTCAGAACGGATAGATATGGATTTTTAGATGAGAACAAAGAGATGACGGTTTGACCAAACGTTTTTTTTTTTGTCAGCGCCTCTTTATCACTTCTCAAGTTTATGTATTGAGTTTGTAATAAGCATTCATTTAAAGCAAAAACAATCTCATTAGTTGTTGTTTGTTTACGTTCAGCTTCAACATTTATGATGATTGCATGCACATGTTTTCCGTTTGAAATCATTGTTAATTAACCAAAACCGCGGGGTTAATGCGGTTCTCAAGTTTCCGATAAGTTTCAAAACTGATTCACAAATAATGTAGTTGAACTCATTTATATCAAGTCATGTTATCTTGATGGATGGGAATATAAATGGTATACAGCAATATGGTTGGTAGCACATTTTTCACAAGGGTTTATAGCCGCATCAGTCGGTGTTTCTCTTTTTTTTCTTCACTTGCAGAATGTGCGCTGGAATGCGGATTATATAAGGATACAGACGAAAGATAAAAAAAAAATATTGGCTTAAACCAGTCCCCATACAATCGAAAATCTGTCTTATTATGCTTTCGTCGTTCACATGCTATATCGTCTGTCATCTATCGTCTATGTATACATATCTATCAGACGGATTCAGCGCGGTGGCATTTGAAAAAAAAAATACTGATAGTATATCGTAGTGCTATTTATTATTTTTTTGGGGTATCTCAAGTGTCGAGCAGGAGATTTGGCATGACTTTTTTCGTTCTACTCTTTCTCTTTCTCGCACTAGCTCGACGTGCAACATGAATTATTTATATGTATATTGGAAGAAAACGTAGAAGACACATTTCCATCCAAAGATCCATTATACCATTTCGAAATTATATTAAAAGTCTGAGCCTAAATAATGCCATTTTCATATCACACACTCATGTGTGAAACAAATAAAAGAAGAAGAAAAACGCAAAAATCAACTCTCCAAAACACACTATGGTTCGCATACCACATCGCTTTTCTATGTTTGTATCCAAGGATTGGATGCGGTTGTTGCTGTGAATTGCCATCATCCAAACAGAGAAGAAAAAACGAATTTATGGTGAATTGGCGCACACAAATTTACTGTAGACGAATAGAAAGCACAGCCTCATGTTAAAACCATTTATGCAGTATGTACTACGTACGTGTATCACAATATTATTTCTTATGCGCGCTATTTTTCGCAGCGTTCTCGCCTTTTGCTTCAGTGGCTTTTTTTTGCTTTGTTTTTATGTCTTCCTCTCTTTCTTTCCATCTCTTTGTTTGTTGTATTTGGTTCGGCTGGTTGCCTCATCTTTTCTAATGCAATTGTTTATTTTTAGTTCGCTCTTGACGGAAATCTTTTCCTTCTCCCATGATGTTTATGTTGATTTTTATTGCTATTATTGTTGTTGATTATCTGCACCACTATATAGTATGTGTTTCTTTTGGTATAACGGTTTTTATGACCCAATGCCAAAATCATTATTATAAACCGTTTCCATTCTGTTTCAACACTGAAAATTATTCGACCAATTGCGCATGAACTCTCAGAGTTCAAATCGGTTCTCTTTTTTTTCTCTTGATGTGATGCTCACTTGATACATTGTTATATCGTATACGAGGTTCAAAAATTTCTATTTCATTGACAATTTTTGTGGTGGAAATGGCACAGCGATTACACGCAACAGAAAAAAAACAATGATTCTAATAAATAATGGATTTGGCAGAATGTCTCTTTATATTGAATACAGAACTAGATACAGCATGCATCATATAGGCATTGTAACCCACTTTCACAGTTTATGCGATGTGAGATGTTGAGGATGTGCCACATGCTACAAACGGCACCATATTTATTATTTTGTGATATGACAAAAGAATTGGAGCTAACTGGCTAGAACAGACGAGAAATGATATCGACCGTATTCTTTAAACGAGAGAAAAAAAAGCGAACAAAAAGGAATAAAAAAAAATAAGACAAAAAACAAAGAGTTCATTATAATGTTAATTTTGTAGGTCGTTTCACTTTTTGCATGGGATAATGGAGATAATTTTCACACAAATTCCCATCGTTTAAATATTTAAATCACAAATGAGTTTTTTTCTCGATCCGTAATATGTCATTGTTTTATTTAGATAAGTAATGCGGTAAGTTTGGTAAGAAGCCATAAGAAAACCATAGATTTATTGCCTAAAACGATAAAAAATGAAATTCACATATAGTTGGCGCTGCATTCTATGCAAACTTGTTTTCCGTTGCAACGGACTAAGTGGAAAGTATACGCTTATCACATAGAATGTGGCGCCAACTATATGTGAATTTTATTTTTTTATCATTTTAGGCAGAAATCTTATCGCTTCTTTATCAAAAATTAGGTTCCAAAATAAAAACCCAAACTTCAATCAAACTTCTCATTTGCGGTGGTCTACAATGGACAGAATGTGTATCCAATGTGTGGTTTCAATTGTGAAATGGTAAATTATTTTTGTTGTCGACAAAAGTATTTGTCTTTATATGAGCGTCGTGTGTGCGTTGTCTTTATATTAGCAACAATATGTCGTAAATTATTACCGTTTAATACGTTGAATGATGATGATAAATAACATTCTATATCCTCGTGTGCGGCACATACATGGTTTGCATGTATTCTTTTCACCTCATTATTACATTCAATTTCCTGAACAAGACATACATTCTCATGATTGCTGCACACGACTTAAAAGAATCACAAAACATAACAAATGGATGGAGTTGAATTGCGTTCAACCACAAAGTATATTCAATCGTTTCAAATTCGAAGCAGAAGTCAGCAAATAAAAACAATGTTTTTGTTTATTTTTGAGATAAATGTTTTTTCTTGCCGTCGTTGAGTGAAAACATGCAGTGCTCGTTGGTGGCGGGCGGATTTTTTTTTTCTCTCAATCGCATAAATTGTGCGGTCATGTATTGAACGGGAGCAACATGTGTTGTGTGTATGGACTTGCGTTAAACACGCTCTAAAAATAGCATCTCCATCTCTGAATGTGGTAATACATTATGTGTGTGTGTGTGTGTAATGACGACAACAATGGCAACAACAAAAGCAACACCGTCAATGAAGTCACAGCCACAGACAGTGCCGCTGTGCCACATCCAATATAACGCATTTTTCAATGAATAATATGAAAACATACAAGAAAAAACTGTTGAATAAATACAAAAGATGCGCACACTTACAATGCTAAATCGGCTATGTACGATTTATTTGAGTGGATTGTTCGGCCCACAGAGCCATCAAATCACTGCAAACGAAATGCATTTTTAAAATTGGTTTTTGATACACCAAGCGACCGACCGACCGACACACAGACACTCAAATGGCTTCTTCTGCGCTCAAGTTCATCTTGTTTTTCAGTTTTGAGTACCGGGTAGCAATTTGGAGTGGCAGGCGTATGTATGTAATAAGGAATCACGTAAAAATTGTTCGTTTTGCATATTAAATGAAATTTATGTATCATAAAAAAATGGTGAAAATTCAAATAAATTGGTACTCATTGTCGGCTCGGTAATTTAATGAAAAAAACAAAAGTTTGATTCGTTTTTCTTCGCACCAGTTGGGAAAAAGATGATTTCAGTTTTATTTTTTTGGTAGACATAGCGCAAAGTGTATGCCGATCTTTGGCCCGTATGAACACGGTAAAGCAAATACCATTTATTATTTCCCATGAGAAAAATTTATACTTTCCTAGTTGCCAATTGCCATATTTTTGCGGTACATAGCCGAAAAATGTTCATTTTTCTTTTGTCATTCTTTTACGCCCAGTGATGGAATGGAGAAAAAGACAAAAGCGGAAAAAAACAGCATCGATGCGACTACAAAACGTACAAATGAACAAAAAAAGTTTAAGCCATAATATAAATTTATTTCAACGCTTTTCTGTCGCAATTTATCCGAATCGAATACAATGTATGCCGCAAGGAATCGTCGCGAGAATGAAAATTAGAATGCGAATCATTCGGTGATGAAATGTGTTTGCGACACAAAATAAGGACAACACTACCCGTCTAAATTATGAATACACGCAATATATATTTATAATTTATTGGCATACATTTTTGGAGCACGTTGAAAAATGTTCCTATTCTTACGCAAATATGTCGGCGGTGTGTCGTGTGCCCTATGAATTGATCCAATTATTATAGCATGAAATGTCTACGACGTCTATGCTTTGGTTTGATTGTGATTTGCACACGTACATTTCGTATCGTATTATTCCATTGTTGGTTTCGTTGAGTACGCGCAAATATTTTAATATCATTTTTTTTATTTGCATATATTCCAAATTATTGGCTAATTTGGCTGAAACGTTCTATTCTTGTTCGATGAAGAATATATGTGTGTATTCTCAGTTGAACGAACGCTGTATACACGTTCGTACAACTGAATATTGAAGAATACCATAGAAAATGCACAAAACATTTAAATCTACATTTAAATCTACATTTCATTCTTCGAAATTCACGTTGTTATGCATTCGCTATTTCTCTTGAAAACAAGTATATTGTATCATTCAATTTGTAAATATGCACAACAAAAGTTCGAATTTCGATACGCCGAAGCAAACAAACGTTCAACAATAAAGTCAATCTGAAATATACTTACAACACCCCCGACTACACAATAAATCGAAAGCGATATCATCAAGCCAATGTGTCCGAATGCAGAACGTAACTTCAACGATTTCCACCAGCTGCACAATCGATGCCGAAACGTTGAACGTTTTTTTATCTCATCGAATACTTTCAATTGCCCCAATAGCTCTTCGTCGGCTTCTTCATCTTTATTATGTGCCATTTCGTCCATCTATAATTTCTCTTTTTATTTCTTTGCCAACTCGGCTGTCGCTCGTTCTCTTCCAAACAAACAAGAGGAAGAGTTTATGAATTTAACCTTGAAGATAAGCAATCTCTGTGTCCACTTGCGCGTCTATCAAGATTTACGCATCGATTCAGTCACTAAAAGTAATGATAACCGTCGCTCCTTGGCCAAGAAGTCGGAAAAAGCTATTTGCGAATGGGATATCCAATGACGATGACAATGACAATGATGATGTGATTTTCTGTTTTATTTTTTATTTTGACGCAGATTGTGTGATCGCTTTATCTTTTGAAAATACAACTTTGTTTTCACACAAATGCAATACTTTTTCCAACTGTTATTTTCTATCGTTTTGTCGAATTTTTAAATGCTGCATTGCCATATAGCACAAAATAAATTGAATTGAAACGTCTCTGTTTCTATCCGTTGAAATAATAAATAAATGTTGTTTTTCGTTTCGTTTAAATTCCTTTATCGATTGTTTGTCGAAAAGTTCAAAATGCTTAGCAGACGTCCTATTTGCTTGTCGGAAATGTGAAAATTTATGTACAAACAGCGAATCTCTCTGCCAGCATTGTTTTTGATGTACGTTTTTCACATGTATATAATACGGTTGGCAATCGGTTTTATTTCTATTTGCAAAACCAGGCGAACAAAAGTCTTCCGCGTAAAAAGGCAAATAAAACGCAACGAGAAAAACAAAACTACACCGTTACTTTGCTCTTCGACTCCGAACGAATGCCGAAAATCAACTGAATTATCATAAGCTTTATTTTGTGGCTATTTGCCGTTTGTTGACGGCAACAAGACAGAGAGAGAGACATAGACAAAAATCTCTCGTTCGATGTCAAAACGGCGACTGAAACACTTTTGCACAGATGACTCATATTGAATCGCATCCTCAAAACATCTCCTCGCTCGCTTTTTTTTCTTCTTCTTGTTTTTGACGAAAACGAGCAGTCAACTAGTGCTCCGTTTTGTTTTTGGGTTTTTCTTTCGCATTCATAAGTCGTAAGCTATCCACTTCGTACGTATTTGTTTTGTGCTATTCATGATATGAGCACATTGAATGCCATTGTGTCCATGTTGACTTTTTCGTCGTTTGTGTACACTGTACAGTAGACGAGAGCGAGTGAATGTTTTTTTTTCTCTTGGCCCCATAGCCCGCACAATCACATTAGTTTGAATGCGCGCGTGAAGTGAAACAACGTAGAGACTGGTAATAGCGGCGATGAATGACAAATTTTCCGCTATACTTTTAAATCCAAAAATCCCCACTGTGTTCTATAGATAGATTGTGGATTCAATGTACAAACCACCAAAATTTCATCTCAATACTTCGTCAACTTATTACGATTTCCACACACACACTTCGATCTATCGTTCGCTCACCGCGCACAGCATCGTTTTTCATTCTCCGTTTGTCGTCATTGGAGTTGGTGTTGTTGTTGGTTGTTTTTTTCTTCTCGGTTTGGCAAAAGGCGTTGTATAGATACCAAATGCGCGCTTTAACATAAGAATAAAATTGGATTTGTGACGTGCGTGATGTGGAAAGCGGCAGCAATAATAATGATGATACTTACCACTTGTAATCGTATTCGCATCGAAAAAATATTATGTTCGGTTCGACGAACATTATTCAAGTGAAAGTTCAGTTCATGGAATTAAGAGAATAACCGCTGCTGTGCCATAAACGTATCCAATGACGAAAAAACCGTTAACGATTCAATGTGAATCCATACTTACGCATTTATATTGAATGTAAGCTTTTGTGCAAAGTATGTCAAAGTGTTCTGTTTTTTACACTCGCTCACTCACCGCGCTGCGCTGCAAACAAAGTAACGAGAATTGACAAATGAAACAAGCGATTGAATTGTAGAACTTTGCTTTTGTTTTATTAGAAAAATATCAATATAATATCAATATCATGTCATTTTATTTCAATATACGAATCACTTTTCAACCCATTCTTTTTCATAATTTTTTTTTTCACTTTTTTCTTTTATTTTTGTCTTATATTTGATTGGGTTGGACATATGTTTTTGTTGTTGTTTTGTTTTAAATCGCAATATGTTTCATTTACATCAGATTTGTTTTGTCTTCAAGTGTTTTTTTATGTTTTTAAATTACAAATATACGTTTATGTTTGTGTTTATATGTTGAATATGTATGTGTGTGTGTATGTGTGCATATATCTAATCTCGTGTTACGAATGTCTTATAGATTTGTTGTTTTCTTCTTCTTCTTCTTTGTTTCATACTGTTTGTGTGTGGTGTGCTATATTATATACTATTTTGCTTCTACGTAGAAAGCAAATAAAAATCTCTCTATTCATCTCAAAATCGGTATCATGCTTTTCCGTTTCAAAAGCAAAATCATGTCAACTACAAACTAAAACAAAAAGTATATATTTCCATTTTCTGCTGTTTTGTGTGTTTATCTTTCGATTTTCAAACAATCCTTTTCTAAAGGATTTATTAGTTAATTGTAATACATTCTATCGATTGAATTGATATTAATAAGTTAATTACATGCCAAGTGTGTAGAAATCCAGATGGGACTCTTCATTTGTGGTGGTCGTTGGGAAATTGTCGGGATTTAACAATGATTGGCTGTCACTGATAAAATCATCGATTGATACATTTTCATTGCTGAGATAAACATTATTTCGCTTTGACGGTGTGGAGAACACAACATTCAGTCCGGGACGTCGTTGTGTTGCTTGCACTGTATCGCTGCTGGTGACCATTGAATCGACGGTCATTGAAAATGAATCGTTTGCATCTTGCATTTCCATCGACGACTCTTCGTTGCCACTGATCACGGCATTCAATATTGGATTATCAGTTCGTAGCATTTTACCACTTAATTCATTTGGAATGGCAGATGAGCCGTGGCCAAGCATATGCGAATGTTGAAGATGATGAAGATGGTGATGATGATGATGATGTGGATGGTGCTGAATATGAGCATGACTGTCGGTGAGCAAATGCATTGTTGGCGGCGGATCGATTTGTTTCAAACTGGCTTTGGTTCGGAATACACCTAAAATATTACCAGTTGTTAATGTTGGCAACGCTTGAGTCACAGTTGCTACCGTATTGATCGTATTTATGGCGTTAAATGTATTTATTGCATGCTCATCGGTTAAATAATAAGTTCGGGTGTCTGTTGTATTGGCCGACGTTTCCAAATTAATATTTTCCATGTTCAATGCATCATTGCAATCATTTGGTTTGCCCAAAATATCAATAATGTCCGATTGTTGAATTTCAACAAATGGAAATGTTTCCAATTGCATTTGTTGTATATTAAAATCGCTATTAAAACCATTGCTCACCTCAATCGAATGATTCAACGATTGTGTATCAACCAAATAAACTGAAGATGTAGCGGTTGCACTTGAATAGCCCGATGTTGTTGAATCAACCGTTGCGGGCGATTCAAAACCAATAATTGTGCCCGTATTATCGGTTTGCACTATTGGCACAGTGGGTGATTCACCATTTTCACAAATTGTCGTCTCTTGCATTTCGTACATGCCGTCATTATTCATGCCTTCATTTGTGTAATTCTGAATGACGTTCATCGTATGCGCTTCACTTTCATTTTCAACAATTTCCATATTTCCAACGACATTGTGTATGAGAGTGGTGACACAACCGTTATTTCCATTCATATTGTTCATGTGCAGTAAGTTTTCATTGGCTTGTGACATTGATTGCAATTGGGTGATTTGCGTTGCTGGCCGCAGTATATATTCAGTTTGTGTATTTACCGATTGTGAATAGGCCGGATGTTGCTGAGACATTGGTCCACATTGTTGATGATGATGCTGCTGCTGCTCCTCCTCCAAAATGGCCAATTCAGAGCCATTGTTTTGTTGATTAATTTTATCAAGGCGAACATATGCCCGGTAAACACGATCACCAACTTGCGGTGATAGTTGTGATGGTTGTAATGATTGTAATGGTTGTAATGGTTGTGTTGGTTGTAATGGTTGTGATTCCAACATTGTCTGATCAACAGACATTTCAACTTCGATGACATTTGTGGATGGATTTTCGGGTGGCGAACATACCTCGACCTCTTTTTCCTTCAATCGTTTTGATAATGGTGTCACTTTACGTTTTTTGCGTTCGTTTATCGGTGCTTGTGACGGTGATTCTTCCGATTCGGATTCATTTACATCATGTTCGACATAGTCGGCAGATAAATACTTCTTCTTGCGTACACGTTTCGTGCGATAACGAGCACCGGCTTTCGGTGAGCTTTCTGTACAAATTGAATTTCTTTTCGAAGGACTTGATTGCGGTGGGCTTGTTGTTTCTGACTGTACAACTTTACCGTTTGAAATTTTAATTTTCAACGGACTTTCATGGCTTCGTGGAATCGATGTGGCTGTGGGCGTCATGACTTTTAATGATGTTTCTTCTGATGTTGTATCATGTTTTGGCTTCGGACTTTGCGTTCGTAGCGACGGCGTCGGTGTTGGCGTCGGTGTTGGCGTCGGTGTCGGTGTCGGCGTCGGTGTTGTTGTTGGTGTCAATACTGGTGTGGACATTACGGATATTGGAATCGATATGGGAACCGATATTGGTGTATCCACCGGTGACATACAACCACTGTCCGTTTCAATTGCAAGCGGATCGGCTTCAATCAAAAGCTTCACTTCATCCTCGTCCGTTTCATCGACGGCTGCTTTAAGCGGACTGGGTACACTTTCTGCAACATTTTCTATGACAATATTTCGTTTAATATCGTCTAGGTTGACAATTTCGATGTCATCCTTAGCCTCAATTGCTGCATATTTTGTTTTCTTAACTTTATCTACTTGTTTTCGCTGTCTTTTTGTCGCTTGTTTTTCCTTTACTTTTACCGGCTCAACGTTAATGTTATTTGTCGGTTTGATGCGTGACTGATATGGTTTCCCCTTTTTCTTGATTGGTTCCGTTGTCGTCGTTTGCAAATTATCGTCAGACTCGGTTATGATTGCATTTTCTTCGACTAAATTAACCGTTTCTAAAACATCGCTGTTCACATTTTCCGTCTCCGCGGTGATTGCACTTGTAATCGCTTCATCGGTTGTGGAATTCAATTGAACTTCAGAACATGATGCGTTTGACGTTTCAATTTCATACTCTTCCGCGACATTATCACATGGTTCGTCTGTTGTAATGAGAATGTCATTTGATTTGGAAACTGTTGGCGGTGATTGCACAACGCTTGCTACGATATTATTGCTGGATAAAATTTCATTTGAAATGCACTTTTTAGCCCTCTTTGGCCGTTGTATTGCCTTTTTCGGCGTTTCTTTTTGTTTCACCGTTGTATTCACTTTCTTAATGTCTTTCAATTTCGGGCTTTCGACGATTTTCGATATTTTATCAACTTCTGGTGTTTTATCCACTTTCGAAGCTACATCAGCTTTCGGTGTTTTATCGTCTTTTGGTTTTTCAGCGACTTTTGGCTTTTCGTGTGCCTTTGGCGTTTCAATTTTAGCCTCTTTCTCTTTAACGCTCATTATCGTAGTAGTATCATTTTCATGACTTTGCTTCGGTTGTTCAGACTTTTCCTTTGATGATGGTGATTCGGATGTGGTTGATGATTTCGATGGTTTGGGTGATGATTGTGGTGGTGACGATGGAACACCGAGGAATGACACCCGTTTTCGACCATTTACCGGTGTTTTTGAGCGATTCATTTTTTGTAAAATACTTCGCGGCTGTTGAGTATTGCACAATTCATCATTGTATTCAATTTCAGTTGGTCCAACTTCGGACTCATTATAATTCCGTACGCTAGTTCTCTTTCGCTTTTTCATTGGAGGTGATGATAAAGTTTCCGGTGAGCCATTAAATTTTCGCTTATACAATTGCTTTCGGCTTAGTTTAACATAACAATTGAACATTTTCATATCAAATTTAACTCGTGCTGGCACTTCAATTTGCTTTCCATTTATTGTGGTGAATTCGAATCGTTCTTTTGCCGGTGGCGCTTTCGGCGACACATTTTTCTCGTCGGTCAATTTACTATCCGGTTCATTTGTCGATACATCTTCTGCCACGGTGTTTGTTTCCATTTCATTTTCGGTCTCTGTTGTTACTTCAGAATTGGTGGTTGGTCCCAATGTATCAGGTGTTTGTGTCAAGACGGATTCTTTTTGTGTTTGTGTTCGTGTTTTTGAGCGTGTTGTTTCGACTTGTGTGAGCGCTTGCTCAAATGTGCAGTGTCGCTGTTGGCGTGTTGGTGTAATTGCGATTTGTTGTATCGGTGAGCTCGACCGTTGTACCCTTGCTTTCTTCGTGTTTGTCGGTATCTTGGTGGACTTCACACTTTTGGCAACAATTAGCGTCTCATTTTGTGTGTTTTCAGTGATAAGCGAAGCCTTATTTACAATACTACTATTTGAACTATTTGATAGTTTTGTCTTTATTTCACTTTCTGCGTTAATACTACTAAGCTCCGGCGCTGCCGTTTTTCGATCCTGCGAACGACGTTTATTGCTTTTTGATGTGACATCGTTTGATTTTGTTGCTTCTTCGATGAGTTTTTCTTTAGCCATTGAATCGATCTTGGCGGGTGACTTTTGTTGTTGTTTTTCGCTGTCTTGAACGGCAACTTCATCTTTTTTCAATGTCAAACTTGCTAAATATTTATTTTTTCTGCTTCTACTGCTACTACTTCTGACGATATTAGTCGTGCTGCTGGTGGTAGCGGTGGTAGTGACGGTAGTGTTGCTGTTTGTACCACCCACTGTGCTGTTTTTAACGGTGTCTTTTTCCTTTTCTTTTTCCTTTTCCTTTTCTTTTTCCTTTTCTTTTTCTTTATCTTTTACTTTGACTAATCTATGGTTGACATTTTGCAAACGTTCGATGCCTTTACAATGATTTGTATCAGCCAAAGATTTTCCATTTGAGCGTGCATTCGTTTTTAAAGGTTTATCATTAAGTTTAATCGGCTGTTGTTGTTGGACCTGCTGCTGCTGCTGCTGCTGTGACGGTTTGATGCTTGGTTTGGGCGTTGTATTGTTTGTGACATCCGCTGAGGTATAGGGTACTGATGATACAGGTGAGCATGTTACGGGGGTGGATTGATTCAATTGTGGATCTGCTGCCTTTTTCGGCGAATCTTTATCTTTATTTCGGCTGTCAATCAGTCGGTTGACATACCGCTGGTACTTGTTGCGTAGCTCATGTAAGTACGTCACCTGCACAAAGAAAATATCAAAATAGAAAAAAAAATGATAAGATAAATAATAATCCATCAATTTTGTTGCTTGAATGTAATTTTCGTCGAAAAATAAACATTGAAATTGATTTCAATTGAAATGCATGCTATGAATGATTGAACTGAATGCTACTAATTTCGATTTGGAAGAGAAACAAAATATCGTTCGTACCAATTGACTTTGTGGGACGCACATAAAAACCAATTCAAAACAACATAACATAAGATAAACTAAGCATATAAATTGTCAATTGCCTAGGAACTAGAATTGAAAAAAAATGTCATTAAAAAGAATTGGACGGTTCTGCGGTTCACTAAATACACATACAACAGTGTTCAATGAAGCGACTGATCCAAGAGAGAGACAAAAAGAAATGAAATAAGTTTATAGAATGATGACTAAATGCACTGACTGCATGGGCAGGCAATGCGCGCATCCATGAACTATGTTGTTCATGACTGTGTACGATGACTACCAAATAAAATGTTTCGCAAAGGCGTGTTCACCGCATAGAAAAAGCCATATGACTTCACATGCATCGTTGTATGGAATGTTTATTTACATTTCAAATAAAGATTTGTCGATATGGATAAAACAGCAAAAAAATAGAAAAAAACAACAACAGAAAAACATACATCCTAGCAACACACAAATATTAGAACTTAAGCCGAACCGTGTTGGATTTTATGAAACACTTGAAATGAATGGCACCGACATTTATCGCGAATTCCGGTCGAATGTAATATCGAAACTGATGAACTACAATTATTTATGCAAATTGCTGTATACATTCCAACTGCCAAATTTTCATCTAACGGCTGTTTTGAGAGCCACAAAATTTTATACCGTCTTCACTCACCGACTTGCAAAAAGAAAAAAATGCGTTTGACGTCGGCTAAAACATCTCAAGTGACTTAATGAACTCGAGTTTATTTTCTCATTTCTCGCTTGAGGCACGGATGATGTGTTTTAGTTTGAAATTTATTTGAAATTCGTTCACATTTCTACATACTTTTCACATCTTGTAAAACACAGTGTAAATATCTTGTGAAACATTACTAAAATGACGAACGGAAAAAGTGCGGATGGGCGCACATTAATGACGATTATGAGCTGTCTTTTTTCTTCCATTGGTTTCACATTTCTTTTTGGCGACGGCTGACTTGTTGAATAAAAGTTTTTGAAAGGGCCCAAATCACAGACTCGTCACAAAATTCTACATCACATAATCTTCTAACAAACACACCTCGAGATTATGCTCACAAAAAAAACAAACATAAGCTTTGAATTTCATACGAAACAGAGAGAAAAAATGTCGATGACTTAGATTAATTGGAGCGTCTGTGTGCGGATATAAAAAAAATCGGCCTACATTACTGCATGGTTAACAAAACGAATGAGAAGTGTTGGGGGAAACAGTGCAGTAAAATTTGTGCATGCATTTCTTAAATTGTGTTTATTTGGTAAATAAAAGCAAATAAAAAAAGAAAAATAATCATGTTCACGAAATCAGAATAAACGTTTCATGACGTTAGAATGAACAACGAATAAACAAACAATAATTTTTGTTTTTGTACCAAAAACAAATAACAAACAACAAATTAAATTACAATACACTATCGCGCACGGCATATTAAAGCGGTTTCTTTTGTATGCGTTCAAATTAATTATTCTGACTGGTGAGCTGGCATTTTATAGATTTTCCGCCCAAAAATAGAGTACTTCATTATGCAAATACCAATGATATCGGATCCATTCTCTGTCTTTCTCTTTCATAAAAATGTCGGCGTGTCTGTGTGTGTATGCGTACACATGAAATGTGTCACCCTTTCGTGTCGGTCAATGCGACCTAGAAATTTCATCATTTCAAAAGTCAACTGGAGCGAACGTTTTATACATAGCACAATTACAATCACACACACAATGCCATTCACATGCATTTCAGATGATGTTAGTTACTATCTATAGATATATTTGATTTTTATTTTTAGTTTTTTTGATGGATATACTTACATTTTCAAAGAAATCCTTGCAACATTCATTGTGTTTTTTCTCGTCTCTGATTGATCGCTTCAGCAATGTAATCACATGCAAGCATTGTAGGCATACTTTTCGGTTTTCCTTGAATTTTATCTGTGAAAGCCACACCAAACAATATTAAACGTAGTCGGTCGACGAGTCACAAGTGACGGAAGACAACGGCGAAAGAGAAACATAAGAAGAATAAAAATAAGAAGAAGAAGAAGAAAAGAGAAATAAAAATACGAAACAATGAGCATTGGTCATTTGACATTTGGTCGACATTTCGAAAAAGAAAATGCAGACTGCAAACGTAGACAATATTTATGTATTTGTATATCACAAATTTAATTACTTCTGTGTTGTAAATGACTCTCAGATCCTTTTCAATGGTCGGGTCAAATGATTTAAGAGTGAATTCATTGCGGTTGCATAGAAAACAATATTTATGTTTTTCGGTGCCGCTGCTGCCACTACTGCCGCTACTGCTGCTGCTGCTGCTGTGGTGTTTTTCTTCCTTCGTCGGCATAATTTTTTTTTTTTTCAATTTAATTTCACACACAGTTACTTCTCATCTTTCAATCTCCACTAATAACTGTATACACAGAAACACAAGCAAATTATATTGAATGCAATACGAAAAAAAAAACTGAATGCGCACTACTTTCAATTCGACCTTTCTTTTTTTTTCTCTTTTTTTGTTTCCTCTCTCTTTTCCTCTGACACAACACCTAATCGTATTTTGTATATTTATGTTCGGCACATTTCGTGCTAGTTCCCAGCACACCTCTTACGCGTTCCCAATAACTTTTAATACGGAATTTCAATTGACTTTCGCAATACGCTGAAACAAACGATTGAACGCAAAAAAATCTGGCCACAAAACACTTTCATCACAGTCGACTTCTTTTTCTCTCTCACTCTCTTTATCTCTCTCTGTCTTTCACTATCTCTCTATCTTTGCCTGTGTGTATATATTTTCTTTTGAAGGGAACAACGACGTACATGCAATTTTAATTTGCTTTTCGTAGTTTTCGTAGTTGAATAGTCGTGGTCGTCGTCGTCTTTTTTTTATTACAGAGAAGGAAAAAAAATAAATATATAATTTAATATTGTTATATATTGCGCGTTCAAAATGCGTTTGTCGATATATTTGTGTGAGGCACACACTCTCTTTTCTCTTCCATTCGGTTCACATAATACACGACATTTTGTTGTTTATTTTGTATTCACACACTGTGCACGAGAGGAAAAAATCATCACTTCCACTAAATGAAGAGAAGAGAAGGAAAAATAATAATAGCGATTTCACAATATAACTAATTGCTTGGCTGGTTGTTGAATTTTATTCAAATTGTATCGTTTGTAAAACCAGTCATCTGGTTTTGTTGAACTGTGTGTTTAAAATGCGTCGTCGAATGTTCACAAAAGAAATTAATCATAATTTTCGATTTGTCGTAGTAGTCGTCGTCACTTTCAATGCTATCGATTTGTTAAAATTCCACCGACAAAAATGAAACGTCGAACTGTTTGCCTGGTTGAACGAGTTCTATATGCTTTGCTGTTCGTTACATGAATAACTACGTGAGCATGAATTTTATGTCTGTATGGTTGGTCTAGAAAAATATATTTTCCATCACAAAATAACAACGAATCGAGGCGAAATGAATGAATATGTGTTTTTCTCTCTTTCTCTCACTGATTTCATGTATGCATTTCGATGACTCGAATGTTAAATGCGCGACTCGACACACAAATCGACACAAACAGCGGGTTTTTCCATCCATGTATTGGTGAGCCGTTTTCTTTTTTTTTGTATTTCGGCCTTTCGCCCGTTTATATGCGCTTGCAGATATGGAAGCGCGTGTAACAGACATGCATATGTATTGATTTGCGTGTATGTGCGAGCTCTCGTATATGCTATGTACTTGTTCACCTCACTGTTTGTATACGTGTGTGTTTATACGTATACCGTTCACACAACATCTCATTCATCGGAACACAATCGCTTGTAACCGTATCGTAGACATAATGAACGGTTTATGTCAAATCTTGTTTTGCTTATACTCGAGTGTGTCTAATGCGCATAATTTTCGATTCCGGATAACAAACATCAAACCGGATTGTTCGTCATTATTTTTATGTTTTAAAAAAAAAAAAATGATTTTTATTGGACGCGATAAATATTTATAAATAGAATAAGAATCATACGAAAATTTGCAAATCATGACGAAATATTGATGTTCGAAAAGTAGTTTGAGAAGCGCAGATGCAATATCGGTTTTGACATTTTAGGTTATGTTCATTACGTTTTCATGACATACCAATACATTGATGTACGTATACACTGAATTCTGTGTCGACAACTGTCTAAATAATTAAGTAGGCGCCAAAGTAGCTAGTTTTTATGCGTCACACGACTCTCACTTGGGCAAATGTTGTGTGAGTGAGTGAATTGCATGGCGAAAAATAGCAAAGTGTCATGTGTGCATCGCATGTGTTAGAGCCGAATAAAAGTCTCTCAAGTGACAAGCTACCAAATTGTGTTGGGGAACCGAACACGAACATTAAAAAAAACACAAAACGTCCAAAAAAAGAATCAACAACAATTCCACTGCAATGCATTTTTGTACTGAGTGGTCGCAATAAACTCGACATCGATTTTGTAAATATACATTTTTAGCTGCATCGTTAAAAATACCATATTTTTTTTCACTTGTGATAACGGCCAACACAATCCAGTTGGCTGTGTGTACCGATTGTGGCATAAACATTTGTAAGTTGTTTGACATTGTTGTAAATATTTGAAAAGAGAAGACTTATCAGTTTGCAAGAGAGACCTATTGTTTTTTTTCTCTCTCGCAAAATGACAGTCCGGAAGAGGCTGGTTTTTGGTGAAAAATATTTTTGGTTTTACAAATAATGATTTAACTGCGGGTGATTAATTGATTTTTTTATTTGGCATTTACGCTACCAATTTATCTCTAACTTTATTTATGAATCACAGAAATACAAGCGATGAAGATAACAAATGAACAATATGACAATAAACAAGTGTTTCGTGTTTGAGTGACAACCATAAATAATAACTCATTCACGAACAATATCAATTCATTTCAGATAGTTTTTTTGTTGTTTGTTCAAATAGAAAAAAAAAACGATATTCAAATAGTTGACATCAGGTGATGGAGAGATGAGAGCAAAATCAGATTATTCACCATATTCAGTCGGTTGATTGTATCGATTGTTGTGAGGATAAAAGTTCGTCATCATTTCTCTTCTTTTTGAACTTTGTTTTGATTTTCTTCAGCGTCATTTTTCCACATATCGGTGAATCGGTCGGTCCCAAACTCGTTTTATTTGTGACATAGTCCGCTTTTGTAAAATCGGATAATTTTTTTAATTTTTTCACCGGTTTCAAGCATACCGCTGTCGTAGCAACAATGCCACCCGTTTTAAATTTATGGTGCGTTTTATTCGATGTGCTTTTCGATTTCGATTGAATAATCTCGGTGTTGGAGCGAACGATTGCTTTCGGTTTAACGTTTGCGTTTTGTGTAAATGTGCTTTCGGGCGATTCGGACGTTGAACGATTCAGTGCGGGTAGTCTATATGTAAACATATGAATAGAAAATTGTATTGTATTACTTTTAACTGGCAACAAAAATGTTCTAAATTTCAAAAGCTTACTTTTTCTTTCTGGATTTTTTCAAATAATCAATATTTGATGATTTTTCGCTGGTTACGATAATTTTTGGAATGTTGCTGATTTTCACATTTTTTCGTTTATCGCGTTTTTTTCGTTTGTTCTCGTCTTGTTTCCATATCATTAATTTTTGACTACATTCGCTGTAGATACAAAAATATTAATTAAGGTTAGCACGCAAATAGCATAGATTAAAACAAAAATTTCTATCGACATTGCGTCAATCAAGGAATCAGACACACTTACACAAATAGTTCCTCATTGGCATCTAGTTTTGGTTGCTTTTTTTTATTATTCACAACCGATATGCCCCACGATAACGGCTGATAATTATTAGTCTCGGTTAGCTGATTTGAATCGTATGAGTTCGACATACCGCTCCAAACTTGTTTTTTCAGCGATAATTTAACTTTCAAATTCTCAACCGTTTGTTGATAGTCTACATTACTAACTCTGTTGTTGTTTTGATTTTGAATGTTTTTTTGTTGTTCGTTCATTCGTTCGTGTGTGTGTATGGGAAAAGAATAAGATATTGAAATGAATTATAAGTGTGTAAACAAATAATGTATGAAAATAATACTTTTTCATATTTTGCCAAGTGCTGTGCCGTTTTGATCCTTTGATAGCTGGCAACTGGGATACGGCAATGGTATTGAATTTCTCTTTGATTTCGGATACTATTTTCGACGCATCCGGCGATTCAGTGTTTGAGTCCGATCTTTGCGTAGACATAATGACCAATTCGTTGGTCATTGGTTTTTCGTTAATTTGTGAGCGTTGCCCAGTTTTTATTTGCATTCGAAAGCTATTTTTGGCCGAGGTCATGCGACTATCAATATAATCTTCACAATCACTAGTGCATTCCAAATATGGTTCAGCCGTCGGTAAATCGATAGCTGAACGATGATATTTATGTGACTTTTTTAGCGTTGATATCGTCGGTCGACCGGTCATTTTTCCCTTCGTCCGTTGTAACTGTTGTGGTTAATTCGTGTAAGCGCAACAAAATAAACATAGCTTAATATTTTATTTTATTTTTCGTATATCAAGTATTTCGTATATACCCTTTTATTGAGCCTATTTTTAGACGGCGATACAGGCGATGATGGTGGAACTAATGGCACTGGTTGACAACAAATAAACCCTTCTTCGTCGCTGTTCAGAATATTTAATTCATTTTCAGAGCAACTGCTATTGCTCGTATCGCCCTCATCACTGTAAATGATATGCAAATCAAATAGTACCATATGTGGCTTAGGCTCATTTCAAGTCATTTTACTAAATTCAAGTCAATTTTTCAGCTTGAGTATCCATGTACCTTGAGTAATCCGATAGCGGTATATTCAACGGTTCGTCAGCATTTGACCCTTCCTCATTTAACCTGCTTAAAATTTTCATGCGAAGTTTTTCCTATACAAACCATAATATACATGTAGATTAAGTAAAATTGTATTTCTGACTCTGTCAAAGATTGACAATAAAAAGGTATAATATTACATATGATACCTCTTTAATCTACTGGTTTTCAATGATCTACATTTGTGTCATAAATATTTTGCCAACAAAACAAAAAAACGTTATCAACAACTTAAAAAAATATCAATCAATCGTGCGACTTTATTATATGATACAGTGTGTTTATGTGCGCATCAAAACATTTTTAATATAAAAAAACGAACAAAGCAAATCATTCAGAAGCATTTCAATCAAGTTCATGTACGTAAGTGAGGGACATATTTTTTTTTTATTGTTGAACACTATTGGATGTGCGGTGAATGAAAAAAATAAATTAATCATCATCATTTGTAACAATTGCTTTGGCAGCACGCCTTTGTAGGCGTTCGTGTTTTCGCATTTTTTTAATTTTCTTTTTCAATTTCAAGCGTTTCATTACTTTGTTTGGGTTTTCATCCGAAAAATCCAAGAGCGTCTCACAAAATGCTCGGCCAATTTGTTCAAAGTCCTGTAATGAAATTTCCAATGCAATTATTATTGGTCACATTATATTTATCAAATTGGTTAAAGGTTGTCTCGCTTACGGCTGTTGAAAAATGCGTCATTGCCCGACTGCCAAGACTCGATCCGCCAAAACTTGCCTCCATCGTATAGCTACAACAAGCGAAAAGAGATTATTTGATAAGAAATCGCATTTTTTGTTTTGTTTTTAGTTGTATGTAGATGTGCACCTATTTGTAACGCCAAGCATCCATACAACGATCCGACCCGTTCCTTCTTTATTTCGTTGAACTTTGAACTTGCAACTTTCGAACGAGAACTGAAAGAAAAATTGAACGCATATCAGTTTTATTACGATGATATGGCAATGAATGAATCGTGCACTGTAGTTACTGTACGGTACACGTGGATCTTATCAATGCAAACAAACCTTGTCAGCTACATTTTTGTGTAACATTAATGGAAATACTTGTTCGGCAAGTTTTTTGTCCGGATCGCGCTTATTTTCACAGCCATAGATAAAGATATTGTGTTTGCGTGAGTGAGCGTGCATGTCGCAATACAAGCTAACACCCAATTCTTCGGTCAGTCTTTTGATCATTGTTTTTGTATACCAAATTGATGGATATGTTTCACGTATAACGGTACGATATTGTCGATTGAGATCTTTTCCCGTTAAACTTGACCGTGTATTTCCCACAACGACCCCATCCGGATTTAGCATCGGAATTAATTTGAATATAAATTTATGACGAAGTTTTTTTGCGATTAACGAATCACCCGTCAGAAAATCCATAAGCCCTTTCATCATCCAACTGGCTGGTGTCTCCCCCGGATGAACACGTGCCGAGACGACAATGGCACGTTTTTTCTTTAAAACGAAAGAAGAAAAAAAATCAAACGGAAATAGAACGGAGACATACATTGTTAATGTGTCAATATCGTGAATGGGGGTGAATTTTCTTTCAATCGAAGGGTTGATTTTAAAAGGGAAAACGGAATATTAACGGCACAATGAAAAGTGAAAATTAAATTTTCAATGTACATATATGGTCGTCGATGTTATTTATACCTTTGTTGAGTCATCGTCTGCAACAGGTGCTGTTACGGTTAAACAGTAAACATTATTGCCAGCAAGTGATCGACAAAGAAGCCTCAGTTTGCAGAATTTTGATTTTATCGGATGTTTTTGTATTGACATTAGATAGTCCTATCGGGCGAAATTCAATGAAAAACATTTTCTTCAATCGATAAGTAACAAATAACGAAAGAGCATATTTATCGTTATCATAACTACCTGTAGGTCGCTATAAGTGTACGGATAACTATGTGCAAAATAAACGGTATCGTTTTCATGTGGAAATTCAATATTGAATGTTAGGGTATATGTGCTATTTTCATCGTCGTCGTCGTTTGTTGGACTAAATTTAATAAATCGATAAACAAAAAAGCGAACATGCCAAATAAAACCAAAATTTACTGTCGTCATCGTGATTCACATGAGCTGTCATTCTATGCGACACAATGAACAAGTTAAATATGGTATACGTACGAGCTGTCTTCATTCTTAAAGTATGCAATATTCTCTCCACAACGTCGCCAACCGATTTTTGATTCTTTTGCATCGATTTCCGAGTACATGAGCGGCCGCATTCCTTCATTGTACAAACTACCCGATTTCACTAAATTCACGATCGATAATCTAAATATTCGTGCAAACGATGAACACAACAATGCATAATATATAAATATTTTATCAAATTGAATTCACAACAATTTGTTTGTCATGCAATGACATCCATTATGCTATGCCCAAAGTAAAATTGAAATTGAAATAAAAAAAACCAGCCCAAAATAGCTCTTACACTCGAATGTCTTGTTCACTCTCTTATTATATTGAATATACATGATAAATACCTGTACGTGATACCCTTCTTCACATTGGTGACACGAAAATAGAACCATTGCATATGCCTGTTGGTGTATAAATCTGGTCGCAAGTATAATTCATAGTAAACGGGCGTAATTTTTATGGCTTTTGCTAGATTGCCGGATTCGAAGCGTGACTCGAACACTAAATCATCATCAGACACGACATTCAGATGTGCGTTCATCAAATACTTGGAGCTTCCAACACACGAGCGGCTAAACTGTGTCATATTAAGACAATCCCCAAATGATTTATAATATGAAATGTTGATATTATTATTATTGTTGTTGCTAGTGTTTTTGGAATTATGTTTGGTATTTAACAGTGCCAGTGTCGGTGCAGGTGCCATATTGTTATCAATTTGTGTCGATGGTGACAAGTTGGTGCCGCTGACACTTTTGCTTTCTCTATTGATTTTATTGAGTGTTTTATTGGCATTGCAATCAAAATGTGGTGGTGTAGCCATCGTCGTCGTCGTCGTCGCCGTCGTCATAGTCGACGATGAATTGGCCAGTACATCGATGTTCAGCATATCTTCACTGTTTAGCTCGCATGTATGCTTACCGTTTTCATAATCAGGGAGTGCATCATCGTTTTTTTCGCAAGAATCGTCCGACAAGCACTCACCGTCTGATGAACTATTTGAGCTATCATCGGAACGTGTACGCCGACGATGACGACGTGATTTTTTTGCTGGCACATTCTCTTGACATTCGTCTAATGAATTCTGGTGTGTGACATTCGATAGACGAGGGAAAAAGCATAAACAAAACAAAAAAAAAAAAAAAAACAAACGAATATATATTAATTTAATAAAACTGCAAATTAATCATAAACACACAGGCGATACAGTAGTAACATCGAAATTAAATTATATCATCTTTGTGCATATTGCGTCCGGTTTCAAATGATGGCACGGCACATCTCACTACTTCTAAACCGAATCACGAGAGCAATTATGTGACTTTGATTTGATGCAACACGTCATTTGAAACCCAAATTAAAATTAATTGCATTTGACAGCCACCTTCTCTCCTAAAAACAATTTGTTTATCTTTCGGAAACGAAATAAAATAATCAAAATGGAAGCCAAGCCATGGGCATCTCAGACGGATGTCTTTTTCGAAAAATACATTAATTTACATAAATGATAGATTTCAAATTAATTTTCGGTTTTCTCTCACATACCATACGTTTGCCATACGATTTTGGTTTTTTTTATTTTTGGCGTCAACCACAGTTGACACTAAGCCAAGAAGATAGTGAATATTTATTTTCACGTTTCGCGCTCGAAATATTTTAAACAGTCGCTCACTCACTCACTCACTCAGCCAGTCAGTCAGTCCGTCAGCAAAGTTTTTACAGCCGGCATAAATGTTTGTTTTTATTTAAGTGCGCTCGCTGATTTCAATGAGCGTATCACACTGTCATGACTTGTCATTTCATTATAATGTGTTAAAATGTGTTGACCATTTTTCAATGTACACGTTTCAATTTTTTTCCCCGTTTTCTTTCATTTTATATAGTTTTGTGATTGGCCTTCAATGAACTGTTGAAAATGTTCATAATTTTATTTCCGATGCGCTATTAACACATCTTGTTGCGCGAGCGCGCTCAAACATCTGTATCCTTGAACTACGCACAAAATGCAAGTTTATTTTTGATTGAAGATCGTGCACGTTTTTGCAAAAGGCACATTTATAATACAAAATCATCTGTTCCGATTCGTCACACTGTGCCATAAGCGCTACTTATTTCTCTTTTATTTTCTGTTCAGTCATTGACATATGAACAGAAAAAAAATAAATAAATGAAGAAAGAAACAAAACACCAAACAACGGTTACATTCTATTTATAATGAATTGACCCTTGTAAGCATTCACCTATTCGTATGAAGCAATGCCGTGAACAAAAATAATATAAATACTGCTACTTAAAAAGACTAAAGCCATTTGTATATGCGATATTGATTTGAAATTTTATTTTCGATTTTGCAAAATCACTCGACTTTTCTTTTCTCGTTCGAGTTCTTTTTTTAGCGTGCATTCATTCACCTCGACGAAATCGTGTGTAAAGTATGAAAATACTCACATAATTTACGGCACTTATTGGATTATAGTAAAAAACGACTGCACCATTTTCTTCGCCAACTGGCCGTGGTTGGATTTCTTGGCCGGTGAATTTATAGTACGGCTCAGGTGCTGGTGGAACATATGCAATGTGATAGACTCGATCGTCCAGAACCTAATATTAAAATGAAAAGATGCAGAAAATATGAAAATCTAAAGAGATAAAGATGAAATGAATCAATTGAGAAAAACGGCACCGAAGGAAGCCAAAGTGATTTCATGGTTTTTGTGTGTGTTGTATAATAAATGCAACAAAGGAATTTCAATTATTAAACATTGACCTGCAATTGAGTGAATGAGAGGGCGAGAAGGTGAATGACGATAAAAAAAAGAAAAATCGCTTTGTACTTACTTGACATTCGGCAGGCCATCGGGCGGTCTGCTGTGAACACTCATTGTCCTTATCTTTTGGCAAGGCAAACAGATTGCGTGGCTCCTTCAGACGAGCTATCGCTCGTGATGTTTGCAAATCAGTATTCACTTCCAGCTGAGTGGTCTTCAGATTATTTGAAAGGAAGCTACCTAGGAATCCTGTGACAAATTCAATTGAACAATTTATATAAGTGAGAGAAAATGGCATTTATTTTTGCAGCCTCAGTGAAAGAAAAATATTCTAAAAATTAATAAAAAATAGAGAGCAAACTATTAAAAATTATTTTCGTATATGCACTCATGACCGCAGTGTCTGATCCGAATTTCTAATTCCACTTAAAAAATAAACTCGCATTAAAAAAATCGCACCACATTTTATGTTTATTTAAAATGTAATACGTGTTGCAATTGGAATGAGTTCGAAATAATGTGTGTTTTTTCCTCTCTGTATATGCTTTTGGCTGTCGTAAATTAAAACGACTGGTGGATAATAAAACGAAAAATGCTTGGGTAAATTGACATGACACACACAGCATGGATGAGCTTGTGTATTGAACAATGATGCACACGTCCAACTGGCGTCACATATTGTAGCGATTTTTATCGAAAACATTTATTTTATAGTTTTGTTAATAATTTTCGACGTGAAAGAGCAAAACGGGCGGATGACACCCTCGGCTAACCGTGTGAACATAGTAAAATATGATATAATATTGCCGTCATCGTCAGAATGTTGGTAGACGTTGATCAAATATTTTTGTTTGTTTTTTGTTTTCATAATGTCGCCTCTCAAAAGCACGCTTGTTGCGTTTAACATGCAAAATATATTGTATCACAGTTAAAACGGTTCTTTTTCCATAAATGCTATGACACTCTAGTGTCAACATGGTATTCAATGTGAAATAAAAACGCTTCGGGAAAATGATTATACACCTCGCGACTTAGATAATAGTCCCTATTGAGAATTTAAAAGAAAATCGGTGTGTTTCACCATTTTTCCGCTGCTTGAATGAGCAATTTATTTATTCACGTGCCACAAAGGAATATATTAGGTTGTTTCTCTCATCGTTTCTAATAGATTTTCATTTTTGGTTTGAATTTTCAATTTTACCTGTGCTTTTATCGTTCGAGCTGTTCAATCACTTCTGTGATAATGGATTTTGCTATAATTTATGCTGCGTATGTAACGTTTGAATGGTTTTTTTTTGTGTACCGATATCCAATAAAAAAAGAAAATTGCTGCTATCTATTTCGACGAATCTCACTTTCTCTCTCTTATGTTTACTGAATGGCAGTAGAGCCAGCTTGATATGTTATTTTCAAGCTAAACACAAGAGATGACTGATTTTTAATTCATCGTTTTGCTACTCCTTTCGTTCGGAAAACGGAATACAAATAGCACACTCAAGCAAAGTGAGTACATACATAATATACACAGTTAATATTTGATATTTTCCGAGGAAAATCGACTAGGCAATTTAATGTGTGCACACCTACAACAGCTAACAACCAAGTATCTCTGACTCGAGCGCGCTCTTTGTCAGCTGGGCACGATGCAGTTAAACATCATTCTTTTTTTGCTGTATAACAACTGTAATATTCGCGATGATTTCATTTTATCTATGTAGTTGAATCATATTAATAGCAAGAAATCGTCACTTCTTCGTGCAAACACTGATCGTTTTATATATTTTCGGCACAAGAATATACGCTAACGAGAAAAATACCGACACATACACCGAAACGCTTATAGCCGAATCGTGCTCGTCGAATAGCGAAGCCAAAATGTTTGTTATGAAATAATAAAAAAAAAAAAACTTCAATTCGTTTGTAGCAAACATATCTTTTTGTTCGCTATTTTAAATATTACTCACTCGTTTCATTCGAAATGTTATTTGTTGATATGTTTTTATTGTTTATTTCGAAGGAGTCGTGCAAATTATACATAAATATTATAGAAGCGCGCATAGCATATTAAAACAATATGTGAAATAAGCATTTATTTTGCTTTGCGTTGACTACAAATAGACACAGATAATGAACAACGTATTTTGGACGACAAATAATTAAAATATTTGATCATAAATGTGTTTTGGAAATGTTTCGAATGTACCACAAGCCAATTAATTGCTGATTGATGTATAGTTGTGAGTGAAAAGTGCTCATCACGACGCGGGGCGTGCACATCAAAGCATTGATATTGGTTAACCGATAAAGCGATATAGTGTTCAGAATGTATGGTATATGTGAGTCAAAACGAAATGCGTGAGACATGATCGCCCTTTTTTCAATGCAAATTAGATTTTGTGTGTGTGTGTTGCCATGGTCGCACCATAATTAAAACTTCGAAACGCATTTCAATGCTTCCATTCAAATCGACAGCAATACAATCGCTTATTTCGATCGATTTACACGAAAGTCGGTGAATGCAAAGCACAACCATTCAACATTGTTTTAAGCGAAAACGTTTTCGGAGTATTTCTATGGAATCCATAGTATGGATTTTCATGATAGTTTGACACATGTGTGCTCACTTTGGAAAGTTGAGACATATTTTTCGGCATTCATAGTCCGGTTTTTTTCTTCATGTAGAATCGAATAGTTTATGGAATTTTATCTAAAACTAATGTACCTCGATCAGGAAGTGTGCAAACTGGAAATAGCTGCACTTGCAATGTTTGAACTTGTTCCGACACAGAACCCATCTTTCCGCTCATTCAAAAATTCACCACACAAAATATCAAAATGAAAAAAAAAATCGCTAAAGATATCACTTGGAATCGCACTGAACTGAATGTTGATTTCCGCACGGAGTCTCGAAAAAAACTGCCACATATTCTGTGCGATTCAACGAGAACGAATCACTTATTTAGGAAGCATGTTTACAGTACAATTTTTTTTTACAATGAAAATGTCCAAAAAAAAAATACACTTTTTCTGTGAGAAGGGAAAAAAGAAGACTATTGAAGGACACTCGAGTGGATATTGCACGAAACTTTCTGTGTGCGATACAGTCGTTTTGCGGAATTCGAATGAAGTGCAACCGAAGAGACGAAATAAACATTGAATTTCCGAGAATTGGAATGCTTTTATCGATTTGTGGCTGGCTGGTTTGACGATGGTTTTGCGCTCCGTGACTCATTTCGATTTGCCGAAATTCATTTGAATTTTCGAGCGATAAGGAACCGTTGCATGATTTAACCGATTCAATTCAATACCACAACGAAATCCGGTTGCCAAAGGATCGCGCATTCAAAATCAAGACATGTGTATGTGTGTATGCTTCAACTTTTGTTAGATATTAAATCTAACGGGGGAAAAAAGACGAACAACACTGAAAATGCTCTTTGTTTCTTTTTTCAATCAATAAACAATGGAAACATATTAAATTGTGATTCAATGGATGGCGTATCGTTGATTTTGCTTACGGGCTATTCTTGAGTCCTGTGTGTTTACGTCTTTGGATTCAAGAATGTGAAGCACATTATATTGTGACGATATCAATATAATAGAAATACTTGGATTGCTCGATTTATTTGTTTGGTTCACAAATCGATTTTCAACTTATTAAAACTCACAACCAAAAAATATTTTTCTTTCACATATAAATGTTACCTTCCGATAAGTCCTCGTTGATCAAGGCATCCATTTCCAAGTACAAACCAAAATCAATTGTTCCAAAGTTTTCGTATTTAAATTCATAGTATGTTCCGCGCTGTAATTTGGCTGTTAATTGTCAGCTGTTAGTCACCGTTAATCGCTCAAATTCATCAAAATTATGCCACTTAATTTCATCTGTTATTTACTAAATAGCCCACGAATTCACGCTAAATGAAGCTATAATTAACTAATTGGGCGGTTGAAACAATGCGTGGCACACATTAGCCAACAGAAACTAAACAGCCACACAATCACAATGGCAACGGAAACAGTTAGACTGTACAAAACGGACTGATGTAATGGAATCTTTTCTGAATAAAATATATCAAAAGGAACCCAACGAACCAGTTAAACCCAAGCCAAACCGCAGTACATTCGAATGAACCTAGTTCACCGACGACCACCTTTTTTCTCGCTCTATGCAAACAAAAAAGTCCAATAAAGCTAATGTAACTGAACAAATATGCATGTTAATATGAATGAACAGGGGAAACGTTTTCAAAATATCATATTCATATATACAGAATTTCTGTTCTATTTTTCGTTTCGGGAACGAAATACGCGGCAACAGTGCTCATATGAATACATAAAAACAAAATAAATAATGTTGACGACAATAGGTAAAACAAACAGTCACTCTCAAGTCTTGTTGCCCTGGCAAACATTCATGCAAAATTTATTTGGTTTTTAACGGCATGCCGATTCATACATCGCCATCAAAATGGAAGGAACACCGATTCGACTGAGAACGCTCGTTGCAAATGCACGTGAAAATAAAAGTAAATAGAACGAAAAGTTTTTTTCGCAATTTACATGATTGTACACGCACCGTATCGTTTTGCTATCATTGAATTTAATATTCATGAAATGAAAACGTATCGAATTCAGGATTAGCGATAAATTGCTCAAATTAACGATTAAACTAGAAAATTTGTGTTTACAGTTCATTGACTCAAAGTCGTACACATTTTCCACTTTAAATCATAGTAGTGTTCATTATGTGAATACAAACACGTTTTCCGATTGCTTACCAAGATCAAGTCGAACGCTGTTATTATCAATCAATGGTTTTTCCACAAATTTTCATATCGTCATCAAAACATTTTCTCTCATAAATGTTGTATTTTGCTGATTGATTTCATTACTTACAACACGCAACACAAAACACAATTTTCATTTGTATTTCTTCATTTTTAAGCCGTTTATCGTTTATTTCGGACATCGATTTTAATGGGAAAATTCAACCAGGTTTGAACGATTTACATATAAAACGAATAAAGAGAAACAGTCATCGAACTCATGCCAATCCATTTTGAATATTAAAAAATTCATCAACTCACACTGAATCGTCATTGTAACGATATAACAAAATGTTATTGCAACATATAAAGTTTACATTTTTTTCTCTCTTGGTTGGCTCATTCACGGAAAATTGAAAATCTTATTGCTCCCTCACAAATGGATATTCAATTGAAGGATTATCCATTGACAGCACAAAATCGAATTTTCTGACAGTCTCTCGCTCTGCATGAATTTGAATATTTACGTAAAAACTAAATTGGAATTTGGTTTTTGAGCATTGGAATATATCTTGACGTTTAAATGAACAACGATGCGATTTAATGCATTTTCGGTTGTCACGACGACAACTTACTATAGTCGAATGTTAAATCAATAATCCTTCATACCGAACCGTTAACCATTGAATGCTTTTTTTGTGCTTCTAAAGAAATGATCCAGTCAAAGTGCAGTTTCGCTCTCTTAACTGTCTGTTTCGCTTTTTATCATTGTAAAATACGACAAAAATAGTTACTGCATCAACCAAAAACCATCAAGAACATTTTCATTTTATATAAAAAAAAGTTACTATTATTTTCATTCTGAATGCATCCGAAGCAGAAATTTGATATTTTGTTTTCTTTTTTTTCGTTCTGAATGCAGTGATCGGAAATTGATTGGAAAATTGTTGTAAACAAAAATGGGTCGAAAAGTAACAGTTGCCGTTTCAACGCTCAATCAATGGGCTCTGGATTTTGATGGGAACCATTCACGTATACTACAATCAATCATCGAAGCGCGTGAGATGGGCGCAACATATCGGACTGGACCCGAATTAGAAATTACGTAAGTACTTTCCGAAAATGTATTGCTACCAAAAAATGATTGGTCCAAAATGATGAACAATTTACCGAATGTGATTTGATGCGCTCGAAAGTGATTTGCGGCCAAATCGATGCTGAATCTCATCATTTTCTAGAGCGCCGAATATGATTTTCATTTCTCTATATCATTAGTTTAAGTCTGAATATGTATATATGCAAAACTGACGCATAATTTTTGTTGAGTTTCCAAACTAACTTTTACGCATTTCACAGCGGTTATTCATGCGAAGACCATTTTCTCGAGCCCGATACATTTCTGCATTCATGGGAAGTTCTGCTACAATTACTACTCTCACCGTTATGGTAAATGTTTCTTTTCTTGTTTGTAAATGTCAAAACCAAATGTTTCACAAATTCGTTTAATACTTTTGCTTTGCAGTCAGAATATGTTGATTGACGTCGGTATGCCGATACAGCATCGTAATGTGTCATACAATTGCCGGGTTCTTTTTCTCAACAAGAAAATCATTTTTATTCGACCGAAATTGTCGAATTGTGACGATGGAAACTATCGTGAAACAAGATGGTTTACACCCTGGGCTAAGGTAATTTATGTCATTTCTCGTGGATTCAATCCAATTTTTTTTTTTGGTTTACCTTCGATTTTAATAATATGATTTTTTGCCCAATTTCAGCGTTTTCAATTGGAAGAGTTCTACTTGCCTCGCATGATTGCACGAAAAATAGACCAAGAAACTTGTCCAATTGGTGATGCATTAGTCGCAACTCGTGATACATGTTTGGGACATGAAGTGTGCGAAGAATTATGGAATGTAAAAAGTACACACATTGAAATGTCCTTAGCTGGTGCTGAAATCATTGTAAATCCTTCCGGAAGCTATATGCAATTGCGAAAAGCGTATGTGGTAACTGATCTTGTAAAAATGGCCAGTTCAAAAGCGGGCGGTGCATATTTATACAGTAATTTACGTGGTTGTGATGGTCAACGTATGCTATTCAATGGTTGTTCGGCAGTCGCTTTGAATGGCGATATAATAGCGCGCGGAAAGCAATTCTCGTTGCAAGATGTGGTAATTTGTTTTTGAAATTACTTGCATGTGTTTTTGTTTCACCATCAGACAAAAAAAATATAATCTGATTGAAAATTGTGCTGCAAAAAAACCATGATACTAATCGCATTACCATTATCTAAATCACAAATGCAATCAATTTTTTATTCTAATATGTAGGAAGTGACTTGCGCAACGTTTGATTTGGAAGATATACGTGCATACCGAATTGCGATACGTTCGCGATGCCAATCAGCCGCGTCAGCAGTGAATTATCCACGAGTCAATATTGATTTCGAGTTAACAAAACCTTATGATTTACTTACGTCGACGAGCGCACCTATGGATTGGATCTATCACACTCCCGAAGAGGAAATAGCCTACGGGCCTGGAGCTTGGCTGTATGCGTTTTGAATTAATTATGATTATGTTAATAATTGAAAGCATGCAAATATACATTTTCCCTTTTTTTCATGGTATGTTTACAGTTGGGATTATCTGCGTCGCAGCGGACAGGGTGGATTTTTCTTGCCGTTGAGCGGTGGCGTTGATTCGAGTTCAACGGCAACAATTGTACATGCCATGTGCCGAATGATTGTGAGCTCGATTCAAGGCGGCGATATACAAGTACTTGACGATGTACGGAAAATTCTTAACGATCCACAATTTGTGCCGGAAAATGCAGCCGCCTTGTGCAATCGATTGTTGGTGACATGTTACATGGGCGGCCAAAATTCAAGTGAAAAAACACGCAAATTTGCATCCACACTGGTATGAATACACAGTAAATCGATTATGTGCAAGTGTCTTATGAAAATTTCTTCTGTTTATTTATACTTTAGGCAAGCCAGTTGGGAAGCTATCACTTGGAAATAAACATTGATTCGGCCATCAGTGCCTTATTGAGTATATTCCAACTTACTACAGGAACATCGCCAAAGTTTCGTAGGCATGGTGGATGTGCCAGACAAAACTTGGCACTGCAGAATATCCAAGCTCGAATTCGAATGGTTTTAGCGTATTTGTTTGCACAACTTATGCTATGGGTGCGAAATCGTCCCGGTGGATTGTTGGTCTTGGGATCAGCCAATGTTGATGAATCGCTGCGAGGTTATATGACCAAATATGACTGTTCAAGTGCAGATATCAATCCGATTGGTGGCATCTCCAAGACGGATTTAAAATCATTTTTGAATTTTGCCAAAACGAAATTTGATATACCAATTATTACCGAAATCATTGATCAGCCACCAACTGCTGAACTGGAACCCCTTGAAGATGGCCAAATCAGTCAAACGGACGAACAAGACATGGGAATGACCTATGTTGAATTGAGCCAATTCGGAAGATTACGGAAGCAACAGTATTGCGGTCCGTACAGTATGTTCTGTCGTTTAGTGTCAACTTGGGGAAGCCACTGTACACCCAAGGAGGTGGCCGATAAGGTCAAACACTTCTTCCGTTGCTACGCCATCAACCGACATAAAATGACCGTTCTCACTCCATCAGTGCATGCAGAGTCATACAGTCCCGATGACAATAGATTTGATCATCGGCCATTTCTCTATCGAGCCAATTGGTCATGGCAATTCAAAGCGATCGATGAAGAGGTATTTACACTCTCTAGAATTAAATAACAGTTACAAATGTAACACCAAAAATGTTTGTTTTCTTTTAGTTGAAAAAGTTGTCGATTCAAAAGACCAGTAAAAAAGATGCATCACGAGATGAACAGGACAATTCGATACCGCGACGTCATTCGCAGAAGGAGATCAAATCTTCATTGTCAACACTGTCATTCAGTGGACACGATGCATTTGGCGGTGAAAAACGACACTCACTTCGATCCAATAGTTCGGTTATGGGAAAAATAAAAGACAGGACTGGCATTCCCGTGTAAATGTTCACAAAATATTCCAGTATAAAAGCAATGTTCAATTAGACTGTTAGTTCATTTAGATGAATTTCATAACTTATGATTCTAGAAGCTTTAATTTCTTTAGGGAACAATAAATTTAAAGAAAAAAAAACACAAAAAATTGACTTAAATCTTTTTGAGATTGCCAACGGAATTTAGTAGTGAATTATACAATCATATCATTCTTCGAAATTATAGTTGCCTCATCAAAATTCTATATTCTAAAAAACATCGATTCTAAATTAGCCTTCAAAACAACAATTTGTAGCACAAACGGCACTTGGCCCAACTGATAATAAAACTTTTTTTAGAGACAACTTATTAGAACCAAACACTAAGTAGATATTTCTCTTTCAAATGTACAGAACGTATACAGCATGAATAAATCTTTAGAAAACAAAAGCCAACACCACGTCATTTTCATTTTATGCTCAACAAAGTTAAACCAATATTTTACCAACCGAAAAGTTATTAAATTTAAAATGAGACCGGATTTGGATGCCGTATTTATATTTCGTCTTAACATATCAACTCAAACAGCCCCGAACCAAATATGATGTATGTAAATATATTTAAATGTTTAATCAATTTTCAGCTTTTCATGAGAACCTGCACAGTGCACATTCAAGGGTGAGTGCGATGAGACTGAAGCATTGTTTGCTTTCATAATAACAGTGTGTTCGCAATGATTACGTTAATTTGAATTTGACCTGAGTAATCATTTTGTTATTCATCCTTTCGAAACCCCCCGTTATACCATCACAAAATATTATACGTATCATATCATATCACCGGGAACGGCAATCCATCAAGTGACGCAATACATATGCATATGTTTTTGCGTCACTTCTACATATGCGCTAAAGAAATAAAAATCCAGATGGCTGACTTATTTGCAATAAAATTAGGTTTCGACCTTTCCGACTTTGCACGTATGTCTGAATATATTAATAAAAACGCGTCACTAAATACTTTTATCAGAACATTTATTGCAATATTGCGTCATAGTGGGAACTTAACTTTTGTATTATTTGAAAAGGACTAGCCGTGTGGAAAGCACATGCATGATTTAATGGTATTAAAAGCGTCATATGTTTTCATGGTCGTTCATTAATTCCTTTAAATGAGCTGGACTTCTTTTTAGTTGCATGTTATTTGTGGGGATTTAATGAAACAAATAAAGTGAGGTGTTTCTGTGCACCGTATTTTAGTATGGTTCTGAGTTTCCCAGTGTCTTTTACCCAATTCATATAATAATTTTGCATACGTGTATCATTTTCCTGGGTGGTTTATATATTAAGTTTTATATCACTTTGGAGTGTTCCAATATACAAATTTTGGAGTGATTGTGAGTATCTTATGGCTAGTACTTATAAATTATTTCGAAAAATTGTTTCAAACTCAATGAATATTTTTTGCTGCTTATGCCTCTATTTCGTGTTGAAATTACCTAAAGTGTATAAATTGTCAAAATTTAGAATTAAAATTGGCAAGAATAAATCAAAACAACTCTTTTCGATTCAAAGTATTATTGACAAAATGTACCAAACGAAAGCAAACATTTTCATAACCAGTTCATTTGTTAAATATATATATGTCTCCCTAGACACATGCTATCATGTCATGCAGTTCAAGTTGGGAATTGCCTTCGGAAATGTACATTTAATAAAAAGTAATAAAATAACGAAGCACCAATGAAAATCAATGAAAATGTATCTTATGTAAACAATGTCGGTCGACGGTCGACCCTCATTGACTTCCATTAGCGTATAATTTTTTCATCACTTTTCATTAATGTGATACGTTTCATCACAATTTTTTTTAAAAAATTCATTAATTCGCTCATCCCTTGTGCATTGTTTTGCTTGCATCAATGTTAAAAGCCGTCGCCGAGCAAGTGAAACAATCGAAAACTGGATGAAGACTTTGTTTTATATATTGAAGTAACATTACCAACCCCTGTGTACAAATATTATACAACAAACATGTAGAAATGTATCGTATCTCTTAACACATGCTGGTAAATTTAAATCATTTATAGCATAAATGGAAGAACCCCCAACGTAGTAATGTGTTGGTTTGTATTCGTGTATGTTTTTTATTTGAAAGAACATTATGCGATTACAATAATACGAGTGATTTTCATATGAACGATTCGAACACGCATGCAACAACTAAAATTCCAATGGCGAATCGATGATGTTCATTTTAGTAATTCATTCTAAATAATGAATGTCTCATTAAGGGATAGCGTCTATCGTTATGATTAATTCATTTGATACTACTGAGCAATCATTCTATGAAATCTATCCCAGATTTAATGAATCACATGAGTTTTTGCAAGCGAAACTCTTTGTTCATAGATCCATTCTGCTTGGAAAAATTTGTGTAGATATTGTGTTGCTTTCATTTTGTCACTTAAACAGAGTTAAACAGAGCTGTCTGTCGTTTATATAATTTACGAAAGATATTACAAGCGAATCAAATATCCTATGAAAAATCCAGATTATATCGATTAAAACGATCTTCATTATTGAGATTAAAGTTTGAAATATAACACCTTTATTTTGAGTTTGCCAAAAACAATGAGACGTTTTATATTACTGAACTCTTTTCTTAAAAATGAACTTTAGCAATGTCAATTACAATTACACAATACACATGTATGCACAGCTGAATTTACATCGAAGAGAAGAATACTATTTTTTCAGTCTCCTCCGCAAAGTAGCGAATGTGACGTCAACGTCAACGTAACAATCGAATATGCAAAGTCAAAAAGGTGTTTTACTTTATTTAAAATTTAAAAACACATTATATTTCGTCGATTATTTTGAGAATTTGAACTCGATGCAAAATTATACCGCTTTGATTTCAAAATCGAAAGATTTTCCATGCCACTGTCAGAATAACTGTAAGTAATTAAAAAGATTAGTTGCAACATATCAAAAAATTGTATCCTCCTAGTAATTTACCCTCTGACTATATTTGTCTCAAATCCGCAATCATTGGCTATTTTATTTGAATACTTTGTTGTAAATAAACTTGATGTGATTGTTAAACCATGATCTTTACAAACTATTTCTCGACACTCAACAAGCTTCTTCCCAATGCCGCGTCCCCGATAATCCGACGAAACGACCATACCACTGCCTCTTAAGTATTCGCTAACTCCGTAATGTTCGAATACATTAAATCCATTAGTTAATTGAGGACTTTGATCCCAAGGATACTTGATTCTTTTCTTTATATTAAAAATGAATTTCATACAATTTGTTCATAATTAAATTCAATTTTCTCACTTACATACAGTATGCTTAAACCAATAATTTCTTTTGATCCTTCTTTAAAACACGCCACAGACATTCCATAATTTAGTTCATCCAGCCAACTTTCCCGAAACTGCACTACATCAGTTGCATCTATAGGAATTATTTTTATAAATTTTTTTAACGAAAATAACGATATAAATAAATATATATATTATATACATACTCAAAGAACCAAAGGTTGGTGCATCTCTCAGATAATTTTTTTCCATAAAATCGACTGCTTCATTGTAACTTATTTCGGGTACATATTTTATATAGTAGTTAACTAAATCATTTTTCTTTTTGTCTTTTCCTTGAAAAACCATCAATGCTTTCTCCTCTTTTTTCAAGTTGTATAAAGCTTTGATCAAATTGCACCTGTCTTCGTTATTTTTTGGCATGGCTTTTATTATATTCGGAATAAAAATTCCAAAAAAAATTAAAATAAAAAAATTGTATTTTAACATTTTGTCACTGCAAAATTTTGTTAGGAATGTCTCGTTTAGTTAAGTTTATTAATTCACGTTACTTTGTGATGAAAAGATATACTGAATTGTAGAACTGTTGTTATTTTTTTTATATACAAAATTTTTGCTATACTCGATGAAAATAATTCCATTAAGTTTCGCAAATATAATAATTTATAATTTTTATCTGGAAAGAAAATTGCCTTATGAATGAATACACGATCATAACATGTGTTTTAAATTGAAAGTTATTGCGTGTGAATTCAATTTGCTGACACGTGTACTCGCAACGATCGATGTTTCATCAAGTCTTATCTTGTATTGCTTCTTTGGCGAAAGGGCCACAGAAAGCCATTAAAACGTGATCAATTGTTTGTACCAGAGTAATTGGCAAAATCAGCCAATTCAATTTCAAAAGTATTTCATTTTGATGATTGCAAATACGCAGAGACCACTTTATTTTCATGGAATGGACGTTGCTGTTTTGAACTTGGAAACGTTTGCAGAGGTAAGCATTTTATTCCGATACAATATATAATTTGCACATTACATTTTACCTATACTATTTGCAGTGTTTGAAATGTATCTTCAGGTATTACATGATTTTGAAGACCCTTACATCCGTTTGAAGTGTTGCCTTTGGGTAGAATAACTATTTGACTATTATCATCATACGCTTCTTGATTTGCCACCTGTTAAATGTTATGCTTAAAAAAAACTCAATTGATTTATTTTATTGATCTATTTTTCTTTAATAATTTGATGTGTGTTGTGTGTAGAACAGATTTTTCCATAAAAAATATTAAATGGATATAATAAATATGCTTAATTCGAGCTTAACAGTTACAAATGATTTTAGAAATTTTGATTTATAGATATTCTGCAGTTTATTTTCATCGAATAGAATGCGGTAATTCTAATGTGTTGAATTTGATTGTGATTGTGCGTGACTAATCCTATTACTTTGATCTTGGTACACAATTTTATATTTCCAAAAAATAGTATCCATTTATTTCTTCATTTTTTTCAATCAAAATCAATATTGGACATTTGACCATTCGGAAAACCAAATAAAATGGTGAAAATACAGAAGGGAATTTTCATTTCTGGAATTTGTTTCAAACATCATTTAAAATCTCAATGTATGTCGTATAAAAAATTAATAAAAAAAATAAACTTATTATCAAAAGATGTTTAGTATTTTTTCTCTCTCTTTCAATCAAACTACAAAGCATTTGGAAGCGCCAATTTGCAATTCGTGTTATTTGTTAGATTAGGTTCTAAATTAGGGCAAAAAAAATCCGCACTCCATTGTCAAGTGACTGAATCGTAGGACAAATGAAGTTTTTCTACAATAAAAATTCTTCGCTTTTCTGCTCAAAGAGAACGAATTTTCCTTTTTTTTTCGAATTTCCAAACAATATAATTTTTAATTTATCAAAATATGTTAATTGTCTTTTCATTTATTATCATATGTATTCTTCAATTAATATTGTCTAAACTTAAATGTCTCAGTAAAACCTAATTAAAATTTTAACTTAAATCAAAGGAAAAAAACGTTCGCAATGGAACTGAATATTATTATTATTAATAGTAGTAGTAGTAGTAACGATTAAAATAAAACGATTTAATAATAAATGAACCCCAGTTTAACCATCACCCAGATTGCACAAAAAACCCGATACTTTGTTTTGAGTTTCAATACTGATTGATGTCGAATCTGAATGAATGAACTTTGTTTTGTATTTTTGCTCTAAATTTTGTTCTGTATTTGTTTTTTTCTTCTTTTCGTTCACTTATTGTTTTGTTTTAAAATTTAATCGGTGCTTAATTTGGAATGACATATGGACTTGGTCCGAATTTGATCACCAAAATTCTTCGATTTGATATTTTATAAAAATTCCTGTTTGATTTTTTTCTTTCTCTTCTCAAATTTGTGTAAAAATATATCCATAAAAATATGAAATTTTCGTAAACAAAAAAAAAAACTATTTACGTTCGTTAATAGTCATTCGTTAGAACGAATCAATCAGTTTACCAGTCGTTTTGATCTCCTCTTCATTTTTTTTAAAAACAATATATATATGTATAAGTTTGCGTTGTTTGTTTTATTCTTATAAAATGAGATATAAAATGTATGGAATATGCTTCATTTTGTTCATCAAATGCTACAATTTCTTTTTCATTATTCTTCTATTCATTTTAATTTCATTTGTTTGTTTTTTTTTTTGCGAAAATTCTTTCAAGTGCGATTACATTTCCTAATTGTGATATTAATTTCTTCAATTTAACTCGTTCCTAAAATATTCATATCAGTTCTGTTCGATTAATAAATTAATTTTAATATTTGACATACTTTACTTGATCCAGAGCAAGTGAGCAAATAATTTTCGTAATGAATAAAAAAATTGTACCACATCGATATGGAATGAATCTTTGAGCTATCAATATTTAAATAATAATAAGAATCCTTAACACGCGAAAAAGAATTAAACGAAATTTGTTGCGCTCCGAAAAATGAGCGCCGATTATCATTTGAAAAAGAAATCTAAATCTTAATAAACAATTTCGATGAGTATAAAAGAGATTAACAATTTTTGATGCTATAAATCCTTAATGATTTTTTGATGATTTTTTCTTCTTCTTTTGAAATATTCGTATCCGCGATGATTGTATACGATGCTCAATTGTGGACAGGCATCGGCAATTGGCCCAATAAGTTGTTGGCAAATGTTGAGTTCGTGAACTTGAAATGACGTTTATCGTAGAATTTCAAGAGTGCCGGCGAGTATGGATGGTTATTCTTCAAGTGCAAGTAGTGAACTTCTGGTTCGTTTGTTGTGTGACCACATTCTTCGCAAACGTACATCTGAAAATTAAAAAAATAATTGACATTTAATACACGATTGCAATGCGCAAATATTGATGAAGTAATTTACCTTTGTGCGACGCTCTTTGTATGCATATTGATGTTGAACGCCATGCACTTTAAGGCAATGTGATTCGAGTGAACAGCGTTGTGTGAATGATTTTTCGCATAAATTGCACTTGTACGGCCGTACACCGGTGTGTGTTCGCGTGTGTCGTTTCAAATCGAATGTATCGTTGAATCCTTTGCCGCAGAATGTACACAAATACCGTTTGATATCCGAATGACATTTCATGTGTCGATTAAGTAGCCGTTGGAGTGCAAATGATTTCGAACATTGTCGGCATGCGAATTTATTCTCATCGTTTGGACCATTGCTTTCGGATGATGCCTTCTTTTCTTCTTCGTTTGATCGAATGCGATGACTGTGAACGGTATCAACAGCCAATGGATTTTTGAAGCCATGACCACCGTTTACAAATTCAAGCTGCACTTCTGGTGGCAATCCCAACTATTTACGAAAAAAAAAAGAAAAAAAAAGATTAATATGAGGAGAGACCATTACTCTGTATAAATAAAAAAAAAAGGACGTGGCCATTGACTGTTCGAGGAAAGCATACGAATTGGATTTGAAACTCAAGTGATGGCTCGGGAAAAAATTATTGAAAATGTAAAATCATTTGAATTGATTTCAACACAAGCATAATATTTTTCAGCGAGATGACACAAAAATAGCATCTCAATATTCCAATTAAAATGCTTACCCGTCGTTTGGCTTCGCTAGCAACCACTTCATTAACAGGCCCACTTACACTTTGTATGATGGGTTTTGCATCGGGTGCTTCAACCGAACCGGGTGACGGCAACGACATATTACTATGTGAATCCATGTCATAATGGCTGATCGATAATTGTTCCGAATGGTGTACCGGATGTCCTTGATGACCGGATTGAATTGGCGCTGGATGGGATGGATGCTGTGGTTGCTGTTGTTGTTGTTGTTGATGTTGATGCTGGAATAATTGTTGAATGTCACGATTCTGTTGATATGGTGGCGGATGATTGGGTTCATGGTAGCGACTATGACCATTCGGTAGATTGAATTGTCCACGATCATAGCTGCGATTAAGTACAATTTCTGGGAATGATTCAAGGCAATTGTTTTCATTTGGATTGACCGACACCGAGTCCGGTGTAAGCGATGGTGTTGATGCAATTTCCAAATCATTGCCCGAACTTGATTGATCATCGTTTGGCAACCGCTGTAAAAATGAACTCAAATCAACGGCATCAGTTAAACTGTCAAGCAATGCATGTTCGGCCGGTGATGAGAATGTAAGTGTTGCTGTAAATTGTAATGGATCCACGTTGCCATTGTTCATTTCGCCCATCATACTATCGTTGACATCATACGGATAGTTTTGATTCGATTGCATCATATTCGGATTGATGTTGTTCATTGCATCGTCATCGATTTCATCTTTCAAAACGAGACCATACGCAGCATTGTGTAGCATTGAAAATTGTTTGGCCGCATTCGATGATGCCGTCGATTCCGATGAATAATTATTGCTTGAATGCTCCTGAGTCGTATCACAGTCCATGTTCATATTCGATGCCATCAATGTATTGTAACCATTTTGTGCCAAGAAATTTGCGTTAGCTGCATTGTATGCATTAATTCCACCATTACCGCTCTTGAGACTCTCATAGAATGGTGGCAACGATCCGGTTGGTGGGCTATTTGGACCGTAATTTGAGCGATTTTCACGATTGTCACGTCCGCCATTGCCATCATTACCCCCGTTCAAACTACCACCAACATTGCCATTGTTGCCACCCAAACCACTTCCACCGTATCCGTTTAAACCACTGCCATTGCTACTGCCACCATTTGAACTTTGTTGTCCTTGGCCCGAACCGCCGCCTTGACCATTTGATCGTCCGTGTCCTGCTGCTGCTGACATTATTTTTGAATCACTTTGTGAATTCCATATAGAGTAAATGGGTCGCGAAATTATTGCACTTGTCCGTTTAATTAAACGATATTTCATTTCCTTCTCATCGACCAAATCGTCTTTTCGCTTTGGAATGTGATAATCAATGGGTTGATCTTGTTCCGGTTCCGAATGTGCTGTATGCTCAACAATTGCCTTTGGCAATTTAATGTCGGTATCTTTTCGATTGCTTCGGCTATGTGCCGATATCAATTTCGATGCACTTTCGGTTGATGATGATGGTGTACGTTTGATGACCGAACACCGTACTACGGGTTCCGGTGATGGTGAACGTGATGGTTTCGGTTTTGTTTTTAAATTTATTGTGTCTTCTGTCGGCAATGTTTCCTTTTCTTTGATTAATTTCGGTTGATTGCGCTCTTTGTCGTGGCTTTTATTTGGAATGCTTGGATATGATTTACGTTGAGCTTGTGTCAACACGTGTCCAATTGCACCATATGGAATACCACCACCCAATATTGATGAAATAAAACGTGCCGGTCGTTCTGGATCAATTGCCTGTCTTTCAGCCGAACGTTTGAGTGAGGCCAACAATGATGATGTGCTCGACCTCTCTGTTTGTTGATTCTGTTCGCTGAATATATCACGATCTGTAAATGAATGCATAGAAAATTTTATTACAAAAAAAAAACACGTTTAACATAGATGACATAAAAAAAAGAAATACAAAACACAACAATTTGGTTAGGAAAAATGTCAAATCTACGCACAATCAAACGGATTTTTTTTTATTGCCATAAATGTACCAGCACATTGGTTGAATATTTCACAGTGACTAACTGTAACTCGATTATCTCAATGCGGTATGCAAAATCTCTGTCGGTGAGGTCGTTGCTGTCGTCGCATTCGTCGTTGGTTTGCATGTATTTGTGAAAAGAGAACAGTGAAAAACGTAGTACAACGATTGACGTTGTTCACCACCGAACAACAATGACAGGAATATTTTGACAAACACAAGAGCGCCACTGCCATGTGATTCGATTATATCGTCCAAATATTATTGTTATTGGTATTATTATATTCGAAATGGGTAAACGTATGATACAAATTTACCGTTTGAAGAATCGTTGAAACATTTATTTTTTCGCATCGAATCCACTTAAAATAATAAATGCATTTTATATCAAGTCATTTTGCTTGGTTTGTTTTTCTTTTTACGCCAGATAAGCTAATTAAGGCCTGAGAAGAACGAAACAAATAACAAAAACAAGAACAACAGCATCAGTGTCACACGAAAATGCCGCGCTCATATTGTGAGTGTTTATATTGATTGCGACTAACGGATTTTGATCGTTTGTCGTGCAGTGGCTGACTCGTTAATCTGAATTCACACAAAAAATTGAACCAAATTTCCGTCAAAAACTAATTGACTGAAACGAGTGTGCGTATGATGATTATATACTGAAATTGTGTATTTTATGACTTTTTTCGGACATTATTCGGTCCACTTACTTTCCCAGATGTGACATATGATAATCTTGAAATGATACCGAACTATAAAAGTGAATATTACAATTAAAATGAGCGGCATTATTTTACATTCAATATATGATACAATTAAAGCGATCGAATCTTAAAATCGATTGAAATTTGAAAGGTAATTAATGCGACCAGAAGAAAAGTGGTTAAACATTTTAAGTTAACAGTTAGCTGCACCTTATGACGTTCATAAGTCTATTGATTTAATTAAAAAATTCGAAATAAATTGAATGACCACTTTAGATTGGGAAAAATTACGGTGAAAATGACAAAAGACGTCACACTCTTTGCGTCGGAAAACTGAAAAATCCGTAATTCATTTGATAATGGCAGCACGATTCTCTCAAAATTCAATTAAATTATAACAACCGCTCATTTTTCCCTAGATTTTTCCAAAGCCAAAAAAAGAGTTTATTCAAAATGACCAGGCACCGTCCATTTGAGAATTGACAAAAAAAGAACAATATGTTCTTTCAAAAAATCAACGAAAAAATCCATCGTTGAAACTGATTAATCGGGCATTGTGTGGAAAATAACAAAAGAATGTCCAAACATTCCCACAGGTGGTTTGCCTTTACTTTCACTATGCATTGTGCATATCGTTTTGATTATAAACGAAAAGAAGACCCAGAAATGGAGAGAAAAAAAGTTTCTCCATCGATGCCTCTCATTTTCTGTGCATCATACGGAACAAAATGTTCCGCAGTTCACCGCATATATCTTAGCTAACAATTGACGGTGTCATAAAAGAACAGCTTAAAACGGTACGATATTTACAATATATCTGTATTCTTCATCGCATTTCATTGTATGGTTAGTTTTTTGTTTTATTTTATTGGTGCTAACGAAATTTGTGACTGTGAATCAAGTTTTATGCGAACCGAACGCAAAAGATAGAGTAATTAAATTGGCCGTTTTACAATTCATTTTTTATGTGTGCAGTGAAAGACTCTCCGGCCATTCACGCAAATCATCATTTAAAGTTGATCACAAGAATAAGCAGTTGCGATTGTTTATTGTGAGCTCCCTGCCATTAGTAAAATAAAAAATAAATCTTATGCTGTACATGTGCATACATTTTATGCGTTTCGTTGGGATTTTTATTGACATGTCTTCCTCAAGCCAGAACAGACAGAGATCAGAGCACCAATACAAACCACCGTACACATTGTATGAAGCACACGGGTTTTTCGTTTCGTTCATGTCTTAACCTTCAAATGTCATAGCGACCTTTCCGTCGCACACAACGGATGTGTGTATGTGTATGCTTAATGCTTGGGTTTGTATATTGTATGCGTTTGACTGCGTGCGTTCTGCTTCTCTTCTTCGTTTTGTTTGCTCTTTCGTGTGACACACACTGTGCAACTTTGATTAATATTTGATTGGAGCGTTTTGCCAAAAGACACTATTTTTTTAAACTTTGAACAATCCCATCGTTAAATCGTGAATTCGTTAGTTTCGATTAAATTTATTTGCGATATCAATGAGTGGAAAAATACTAATTTCGTCGCCGTCCATCCTCACATAAATTTAGACATGACATTTCAAATGGTCTTTTCAGCCATCAAAAGTGGAACTTCGCTCAAGAATAATTTAATTTTTTGCTATTAACATCAGAAAAACGATTTTTTCCGAAATTCAAAAAGCGAGAAAACAACGAATAACCGAATTTAGAGCACACAATATTTCATAAGCTTGTTGTGATGATCAACAGCACCATGAATTCATTTATTTTGTGTGGCACGTGTAATGCGCTCCATCTCTGTTCACATTCAATCAGAACCAATAGAGTTAAACGAGTTGAAAATGTGCTGGCTGCGACCGAAAAAGTCGGTCACATCGAAAATGATTCAATTTCTCTTTTTCAGCGTGTGTATATCGCCAACAACTAGAAAATTATTGCATAATGTTCGTGGCCGTATGTTCATTTCGGCGTGGTTTTTTTTCGGTTTATATTATGCTATACTTTCCACTGAATAAACCGTGTCGATGCAACGGCACAACAAAAACATCATCTATTATACACGGAAACGACGACGATGATGATGATGAACAAAACAGAAACTTTCACTACAACGGCCTTGGCTTCAAATTAGAAATGAGAATTTCTCTCACAATCAGCGCATTTTTCGTTCTCTCTCTCTGTCTCGTTCCATTCGTTTCAATGTCTCTTTCTTTCTTTTTTTTGACTCGGCATTACGGTTTTCAACTATTACGCTAGATTTGGAATGTTATTACATTACGAAATAGTTTCATTTCTTTTCATTTCTAGTCTTACCATTTGTGGCATCAAAATGTAGGCGATCTACATAGCGGATGTTTCGACTGGGAAATGTTAAATTTAACGAAAGTAATTAGAATTTTAAGCCCTGACACCAAACATTTTTCAATATTAATCTCTTATTGAGATTAAATATTCGCCCTCGAACCAGTTGGAATTAGAGACGATATTTTCAAAAAAAAATGCTTTACCTACTGTCAGTGAGTTAATGGACAGAAATTAGTTGAAAAAAATGGCAATAGTACGCTAATTACGAAGCTGATAAATGCAAACATTTGTTTAACTCGTCCATCCGTTTGGCCACAGAAAGATATATGGGCAAATGGGCTTGTGGAATGTGAATACTTAAACAATATCGATCTTGAGCTGTATCGATGTGTAAATCGTTTCTTTGCATAAATCAAGTTTTAGTATATATAATCGCGTTTATTGTATCCCTGTAATATTTGTTTGTTTGGCGTTTTTGCGGCCTCTTTTGTCGAAAAAAAAAGAGAATATTTAATGAAATAACAGGCGACAGCGCCCATTTTTTTCTCCTTCACGCTGCAGGCCGATTTTTGTGCGCGCGTAATGAGACAATATTTGCTTGTTTAATCACAACTGAATGGTTCGTGTGTCGGCCATTTCAGTCATGTCAAACAAAAGGTTGGACTGTTTTATGTACCAAAGGCTCATATTGATTATTTTGCAAATGGTGCAATTGGTTTTAACACTTGACTAGTGTGTGCTATTTTGCTTTTTCGGCGGCCGTCTTGAAAATACATACAAATGTATTGCGTTCGGAACGGAACGTCTTGAATAATATTATTATATTACATTTGTTTTATGATTGGGATGCAGAGAGACAACGTTTTATTTTTGTGTCCTGTTGGAACAACGAATGGAATGCTTGTGACCGAAACGATTAAGATAATATCACGTTTGCCCGCAGAATCGAAAAAGGATTGTAAAACACAACACAGATCATATATAATGCCATATTTATGTGTGCCTTCAACGCGAATATTGAACGCTCATTCAAGCCGTTCGGTTCTTCGTTTTTTATGGGATTTTTTTTTCTCTGCCTTCAAATACCTTTTAGTTGGCTTTTTTCTTATTTCTCATCTTTGCCAAGAGGCTAGCGGCATATCATCTTTTTCTCGACTATAGCGGCATCCAAAGAATATACAGATACAATCGAGCTCGTATGTATGAAGTGAAGCTAGTCAAAAATGTAGGCCCTCGACGCAAGATACGAGAGAAGTGAAAAAAAACCCACCGAATCGACAAAGAAAAGTAAATCGTGTGTGTGAGAGACCCAAAGCCAAAATACATATATTTTCAATTTAAATGCATGATAATGAAAATAAAACATCAGAAGCAACAACAACAAAATAGCCGCAATAATAGTAATAATTGACGATGCACGACCAAGACGACGGCCCAATCTTCTAACAGTGAAAACCGGTTCGTCGCGCATATATTTCTTCACTTTATTCAATATTATTAATGTGTACGTGTGTTTCTCTCTTTGTGTGTTCACTTCACGAAGTTTTGGATTTTCTTTTTTTTCTTCTGTATCTTTCGCTTGGTATGACACTTCATTTCTTCGTTTTCTTATTCGATTCGTTTGCTTGCTATGATGCCCCGTTCTTAAGATAAATTGTTGGTTTTTTTTCCCTAAATTGGAAAACGTTTCTTCAATTCAACGCTGTTCGAACATTTTTCTTTATTCTTCTTCGCATTGAAACGGACATTTTTTTTCCAAAAATGTGCTTAGAAATCATGAACCTGTTCAACAATTTCACCCGTTTCTTGTCATCCCGAAGCGATATTTTTTGACAAAAGACC